ACAATATGGCATCAATAATTACATGTAACGAGTGTTTCACTGATTAGCACAATCGCGTAACAGATTTGTGTGTATGTTTGAAAACATAATAATGTACTCGACCGTAATCTTAAACTAACATGGATTTACAATTAATATACCTAACAATGGCTCGTTAATGTATGTGTCTGTACAAAATAGACGGGTTGAACCGAAGGTAGCGCAATAATAATAATAATAATAATTAATAGACATTATAGATAATTTGTCGAAGGACACGACATGAACGATATGTCGTACAGACAAGTAGTAGTATACCGCACCTGTACGACTTACTCCCACGGTGTAACTATTATAATCAAATATACTAACTAGATTGCTAGTCTGTCTTGATTGTTGTCGTTTGTTAATGTGAAGAAAACGAATAAAATATATATCATTTCGGAGATTTTGTGAAATTCATACATTATGGGAACGTCCAATGGCATTTTTAATAATATTCTAATCAACGGCAACCGTCGTGTGTTTAAACAAGGACGTGTCCTCGACACATGCGGTGTTCATCTCAAGTGTACCTACACATTTTATGAACACATTATTATAAGCTCTATATTATATCTGTGGCTTGGAGCAAGAAGGGCCAATGTCGCTTTATGTAACTTTCGGAAAATGAGCTTTGAAGTTTTTATTTTCCATTAGGCTCTATGTTAATTTTTTTATCAAACTCTTCATGAGTAATTCATTTTTTGGCCTCAGAGTGTGATTTTTTCACAGTATATAAAGAATGATTCAATTTTTGCAATTAGCGGACTAACTCGTTTATGCACAAAATTGGCCCTTCTTGCTCCAAGCCTCAGATATTATTTTAGTATTATATTGTATAGTTTTACCGCACTGACACCGGTTGCTTAATCGACCGCAACGTCACGGAGTTTCACCTTTGCATGCAAACAATGTTGTTCCTGTGTGGGTTTGCATGGTTAGGAACGTTTATAGTCGAATTTGTTGTGTTTGACATTTAAATACAAAAAAAAAATATCGTGTACATTACTCGATATTTTGTTTTCGTTGGTCTTTAACATAAGCTCTCCGGTGGTCGTCATTGTTCGACGACAAACCTGTTATTACCGTTTAAAGTGTATAATATTAAGTATCAATTTTTTAGTTTTCTCCTTCTCTTGGTTGCACACGACCGTTTCATTCAAATCGAACCGGTCGCCATTAACTTTATATTCTACTCGAGTTCATTTACAGATATTATTTCCATATATTAAATATGAACCCTCCCTTTTAAACGATCACTGACCAAAAAGACAGGAGGTGTATTTAATTATGGCTTGTGTACAGATTATACATTATCGGTTTGTCTGGTAACAAATAAATTATAATATGTGCACCAGCAACGACCGCCGAAACTTTTTTTCTTTTTTTTAGACGGCTAAATAAGAGATACGCCGTTAAAATAAAAAACCTATTAACCGTATCTTGATAGTATATATAGGTACCTACTCCGTCTTGTTACACTATTGCGCAATACTGATAATAGTATGTGGATCAATTTGATAATACTCGGTAGATTTAGACTATAAAAAACTAAATGTACTCTCGAGCGATGCTCATTGCCAAATCATTAATAACACTAAAAAAAACCCACTCGGTCAATACTTGTTAATAGTAGTTCACAACGAGGCTGGAGAACGTAAACGAGTATCCAAAATTGTTAAGCTTGACAACTTTGGGTTAACTAACCTTGTAATATGGCAAAATGTGCTGGCTGGTAAAATACTTAATGTATGCGTTTTTGAAAGGACTGATATGTAGTCTTTGAAGTGCAAAATGTTTTCGCGGTTTTAATTAAGTGGTTTGACGTTTTGTTTTTTTCAAAGTCAAAATTTCCTAATGGAACAACAAGGTTGGGTACAGCGCTATAAAACGCCAAAACGATTTTAAAAGTGATGATAATAATTTGCTAACGTTGTGACTTCCCCTCTAGGGCGATTCCGCTCCTTTGTCAGGATTTCATTACATCATTTGTTATAGTTCACAGTACAGCTAAATTAATTACACGATGGGCTGTGCACAATAAACTTGACGGCATTGCATATATAAAATATACTAATAATAATAATATAATTACCTCGTTGTATAGACATGCTATTAACTAACCAAGTGCAGTATCATTATTTCCTTTTTAAATTAATGACTTAATTAAAAATAACACAAACGGTCGTGAACGCTTTATTAAACCCATGCAACATAACACAATGACATTATATTGGCAAACTTTTGGGATCAGCAAAGGTAGTATTTAAAAATGTTAATTGAAATTTCGATAGTTTTAAACGATAATTCAAATCGATTGATATCGAACAATTAATCGATTTTGGATAAGAAAAAAAAAATAATAACTAACGGTGACTGCTAAATATTCAAATTAGAATATGTCGATTATATTTTAACAGTGCGTTGAGCGTTCATATAATAATAATATTTTTATCCACTATTGAACATATTTTTTATGGATTGATAACAATATTCAATTTTCACCTATCTACTGTAGAGTATAAATAATTATTAATGATTACAAAAACATAATAATATGTAGCTTTATTTTTAACTATTTATCGAAAACGTAGTAACGATAAAACCTATAATTAGTAATCGCAAGTCGTTGATCTCGATACTATCAGTGGCTAATGTTAAAAATGTATTATTAAATGTCACGATTACGGCCATTTGTTACGGGGTAAAACGTGGCCATTATCATGATTGAATGAATTAATATAGAAGGTTATATAGGCATTCAATTTTGACCTAATGTATTCTACGACAATTTTCAATTGTATTAATTTAGATATCAGTGTGTACAGCTTTGCACTTAATCTATTATTCTATGAGCCGTTACGATTTTTTATGTAACAAAAAACTTGACGGGTAATTTTGTGATACTTGTGATACTAATAAAACCGTTTGTCATTTCAGTACAATTAAACATTTCGATATCGCTTATTCATTTTTGCTATCTATACAACGTGTGTTTGTGACCATACGCCCATATAGAGAAATAACACTAAAACAAAAAAATAAAGACAAACACAATTGTAATCGAGTAAATCGGTTCAGCTGCGTTTAGATAGATTGATGAGCAAAAAAATAAATAATTAAATGTTTGACTTTCCTAAAGAACATTTTGGCCAATAGTTCGTGTCTATAGTGGACGTAGTTTCTTTGATAGTATACAAAATGTCTTATCAACCTAATCCTTTGACCGTTTAGATATAGATTCGTTACTATTATCAATTAATTTTCGCACCAGAACTTAATAGTATATTTATATGTATATATATAGTGTTGTTTTCACGACCAGAAACAAGCTCTCCACTCTAAATAATTGTGTCAAGCACGGTTTTTTATAGCGATATTATAAAAAATATGATAATAGAACGATTGTCGCACCACAATGCACATTTTTAAAGTATACTACAGCTATTCGGTAGACCGGTGAATGTAGCACAGTAACACTTGTAATTTGTATATTTATTTGAAAATGAGGTAATAACAAATTAATTTTTGGCAATGATAAGTAATTTCCCGTGTGTGGAATGCATAGAATATATAAAGAGATGAACTAACATAATACACTAACTTGTATGCGACAGTCAGTGAATTGAACAAAAGGACTAAAACCAGTATAAGCACACAAAAGAAAAAAAAAGTCCTCATCGTTAAGCGATTGGTACTCTTTATCGCTGGCTTTATAGATACATTAAGTCGAGATTTTGTAGTTTTAGTATTTTGGTTTTTCTGGTGGTCTAAAATATTGTCTAAAATCTTTACACTGGTGAAACCCGTCAAGTCATATCTTGATTGTTTACTTACAAGTATTTCACTTGTAAGCCAACGATATGACAAAATAAGTTTATACCCCGGTTTATCTTAAACATTTTTTTTTTACAAGATACTTTATTATATCATTAATTCGATATATTATCACTATTTATTGACCGGTATTTTTTCCCCTTCCAACTAGGCAGACTGATTTTAGTCCTACTGTTGGCGTCACATTAAAACTAAAGCTGTAGCCACCCCCTGGAATGTCGTTGTTGCTTACTCCATAGTAATAATATTAACTCTTGAGCAAAATAATTATAATAATACCTATTATCGCAATACGTACCATATATTCAGCCGATTTCACCAACATTTGTTAAGGATTTAACTTACTGTTAATTATATTTAACTATTAGTTAGGTAGTAAAAATTGGGTTTCATCGAGATTTAGCTTGTTAAAAAGTTAATTGGCATGTTAAAATGCCATAGATCGAATTATTCATTACTAATTGAGTTACAATATTATCACTTATCAGCTATCACATTTCGTGATAACCAATGGCAATATTGGAATCAAGGTAACCGCTTTGGTAACCCAAGTAACATTTTGTTAACTTAACAAATAAAATTTAATTATAATAATGTTATGTGGTGAAACTTACACCACATTTAACCAGATGTTAAATTTAAACATGTTGTTAACTAACATTATGTTGAGAGTGTATTTAATAATAGTTAGTGAAACCGGCTGTATATATTTTTAATGTATAGTTTGTACGATTATTATTATATGGTGGTTGTATCTATTTTATTTATATAATAATATTAATTTATGAAAAATATGCGTACTAAGTAGTGTGTGTGTTGTAGGTTGTAGAATGATAATAATGCTCATAAAACGTCGATGTGTTTGTGTGTGTCTGTGTGTTAACGTGCGTAGGATTCGTTTGACCTCTGATACGCTCACAGCAATAGAAACTAAAAATAGACTAATTTATCTCGACCAGTGCTTCTCAATTTTCCTATTAATATAATATTATTATAACGTTAATAATATTATTATTTGTTTTCCTCTGTTCGTCTTTTGCCCCCCCCCCTCCAACAAATAACGTTTAAGCCATTTTATCGTTGTGTATTCGTGAAAAAAATTAATGATTTTTTTAACAATTTTTGTTTTATGTTTTTTACAGAACCGCGATGTTGACGCATCCATTTGAGTTGCTTTCGAAAATGGAGCTGTTGGTCTGCAGGTAAGAGAGAGCTATTAATATTAGATTAAAAAATAACAGAAAATAACGTCGAATAATTATTTTGGGACTTAGCGATTAGTGTGTTGTGGCAAATACTATAAAATATGATAGTACAAAATGGCCACCAACCATGTAACTGTGTTACTTTACTGTGTGATAACAACTGAAATAATTGTGTTTCACAAACAGTATCATAGAAAAATTCACCATGTTCTAGTACCAAGAACTATATTATAAAAAAGTAAATTTTTATAAGAATGTTGGTTACTGTTTTTTGACGTTGTACAGCTGTATTTAATTAACTCGGGGATGATACTTATTACACAAAAACGAAGCGGTCATGAATCTAAATCTGCTATAACCATAATAAATTATAAATCTATACATTATAATTTTTTTATGCGAGTATATATAGATACAATTTATTAAGATTATAGCAGGTTTAGAACATGGCAGCCACGTTTTTTTTGGTACACATTGAAGCTGCCCTTTCCGATTTCATTTATTCTGCGGTTTTTGCGTTGAAAATATTATGTTTTTTTGCAACACTAGGTTGCTATGCTAATACGGTGCCCAGGTTACCAGTCCTGGGGTTCTTTTTTAAAATGCATCGTTTTCAATTTATTTTTAACTCGGCATTAAAATACACACTCCGCCTAGATGAAAAACTGGAATCGTTTTCTAACCTTCTAATCGTCCACAATAGGAACCGGAGATAAAGCTATTCCTAAAATAAACCTCAGCGTCCCTGCTAACAATGCCGTACAACAAACCGCGGTCCGCCAATAATAATTCAATAAAGTTAACATTAAAAAATAAAATAAAATGTATAATTATTATTGTTGTCGGGTGATAAGGCTTAAATATTAAAATCATGCTGTCAAAATATAATGTAAAATATTACAACGATCAAAGCTGGATCAAACTTTTTGCAATCCAAAAGCATTTAGATAATATACTTTTAACCTGTCAAAACATACCTGATAACATGATTGTGAGTTCATAAAATCGTTATAAAAATAAATACAACGTAACAATTATTAATTTTTATTCCCACTTTATCAGAAAAAAATTGTATTTTTATCATTATTGTTTCCGTATATTTTGATCGTGTTTTAAAAATGGAAATATCGGTTGTTTAAATAGCCATAATATAATGTAGATTAATTATGTGCATTAGTTAGTTATCTGAGAAAAAATATACATCGTCCATTTAGTATTACTTTACAGTTTACACGGAAAAAACAAATTGTTTTTAATTATCTTAATAGAAAAAGTAAGTATATATTATTGATCTACACTACTTGCTAGAGATACAGTCTTAACCGTTTTTGTTATCTAAAATAATAAAGTTATCGTCGGGTCAATCTGGGGAATTTTTTATTTACAAAACTCAAACGTCACTGTGTTATGATAGTAATTGATAGTATACATAGTTGATATGTTACCATTTTTCAATTTTGCTGGTTTATACACCAGTTACAATATTAGATTAGTCGGACACCTCATTTTATAGTATAGAACTTTAGCAGTATGCTGGATTATACAGCTGATCTTGTTTTGGGTATATCTTTACTAAAATCACATCCAAGAAAATGCCTGGATGCAAATCTATGGATATTTTATTATTCACTCCACGTAGGTATCTTTATAATTCCTTTATTTATAAAATCCACCCAATTCTTTTTCGGCCCAACTCGATATCTTCTGTACTATTAACTAACTCCTCATTGGCTTAGTAGTTTAGTGTCATGTATTCAGTCAAATAAATTATTTTTAGTGAAAATTTATAGTGATAGTTATAATACCTAAAGTGGACAAATAGTTTACATTTACTTGACTTTACTGCATATTATTATTTAGTAGTTTTTACTAAACATTCAGCTAAGTTTACTAAATTTATAGTCGAAAATACTATGGTATTTTTAGTAATGGTAACTTTCAAGTATAGCTATCACATCTATAAAATATAGATTGATATTATTAGTTGATTGTTTTGTTTTCTCAATTAAACTAAAAATATCAATTTTTGTACATCAAAAAATTGTATTGACGTATAAATTAATAATTATAAAATACTGAAATAAGATATTTTGAAATCGACACTTTAGCGAGGCCATTTTAACTTTGATCGTTATAGCATAATATTTCCTTTTGTCAATTGAGCACACGAGTATTGATTACTTTTATGATTGAATTTTTAATTTATATATTTTTTTTTATAACATATATTTTAAATAATTTATAATTTCAACGCCAAAACTAATTAATTTTTGTAGTGACAGATGTGTTTTAGTGGAAACTGGATTTTCGCTGTGATAAAATCAGTGAAGATAGTTTTTTTTTCCATGATCGTAGATTAAACTTAAAGATAAAATTGGACCATTTGGCAATTGTTTATTCCACTTGGTCTTATATTTTTTTTTTTTTTTTACAAAGTTCAACTTTTTCGAGCTGTGATTGTATCAGGAAATAGCTTAACTGTTAACATACTGGGTATAATGAAAACACTCACGGATAAACTGATGATAATTAAATTATAATTTACAAAAGAGAGATTTACCCAGATTATTTCATTAGATAAATTTAATTTATACTGCGCTGTTTGAATTATTATTAATAATTAATATATTTTGTATTTACTTATTTTCCGATTAAAGTTTCAAACTTTTTTAATGTAAGTATATAGCTGTAAAATGCGATTTTTTTTTGCCAACATTTTGTATTTAAAAGCATAGTATTAGCTAATTTACTGATGGGAATTATTCGAATATCTGATTATTCAATTTTTCGAATTTAAATCAAAACCCTATTAACTGTACTTAAATTTTAAAGAAGGAGGGGAGGAGATTAATCATATAAGATACTCAGCTGATATTAGATTATTGACAAGAGAATCGACTGATAAGTGAGGGGAAGGAAAACGAAGACATATTTCATGGTCCAATGTATTTGCTGGTGTCCATTATTTTCATTTGATCGGTGGAACTTGTTGTTGTACTTTGTACCCCCAGTTAGTGTTTTAACTTGTGCGCTAATATGGTTCCATTTTTTTTTCTCATCTAGGTGAAATGCAGAACAGTCGAGTGAAGGCGGTGCACATCATCATCCTGCTGTTGCTCGCGTTCTTAATGCTGACAGATCCCGTAACGCCGACCAATGATACTAAGTACACCGGCAGCTCCGTGCTGAAGAACTTGACGGTCGGATACCTGACCGCCGCCAAGGGCAATCTAGACAACAGACAGGGTCTGTCGATTTCCGGGGCGATTACGCTGGCGTTGAAAGAAGTCAGTTAATACACAAACACCGAGTGCACTAATTATTATTGTTATTGTGATGACACAACCGTATTTATGTGGTGGTTTTTTTTGTCCGTAGATCGAAAACGACCCGTACCTTCTGCCAAACGTGTCGCTGGTGCTGAAATGGGACGACACGCAGGGCGACACGGTGCACGCGACCAAGACAATTACACAAATGATATGCGATAAGGTAGCCGTGTTTTTCGGTCCTGAGGGCAATACGTGTCATACCGAAGCGATCGTGGCCCAGGCGTGGAACATTCCAATGATTAGCTATGTAAGTCATATCATAGTATAATATAGTAGCGCTATTATTATTACTGTTATTGTTATTTTACCTATTATGCTAATGATCGTAAGCGTGTAGCAGCTACCTCTACGATGGACAAACGCGTTGTCACGGTGTAACCTTTCCCCCTTCCCTCACCCCCGGCCAACTCGACTGTCCACCGGCTTATAGTGTCAACGCCATATGGATCGTTCATTGTAAAAGCGGTGTAAACATTGTTTTGCTTAACGGAGTCACATTTAGTCTTATCTTTTATTGTAAAAGAGACGCAACTCCAATAAATGCAAAAAAAAATTTTAAGTTGAAAAATATGTAAATTTTGCACTTTTCTGAGTAACCGAGCAGTTTTAGCGAAAAAGTACATTATAGTATAAATGATAAAAAAATACATTGTTCGATGTAACACTATTTTGTTAAATGTTACTTGATTATGATTGAACACGTTGTTGGGAACTCTTATTGACTTTATTCCATTTTTTCAACCGTTAGCGGTATAATCTACCAGGATCACCCAAATTTACTCTTTTAGTAAAGTATTCATTCTTTAATCGCTAAAAGTTTTCTTATCGTATTGCGTGCGGTTTTATTTATTGGGAAGTCGAGTAATTAAAAATACTATTAACGCTGTTATATTCTGTACCAATCAAACGGTTTTTTTTAACATTTCATTGTTTTTTGAATGCACGCGTTAATTCGTTAGAAGGATGTTTTTGTGTTCATCTTAGCTTAACTTTCTAAAGAATGTCGAAATGAAGTATTTGAGAAATTTTATAATTACATGTTTTCCTCGGGTATCTATCGACTATCTACATAGTTATTTTTGAATTGTTATGTTCCCGGAACTGTTATTTACTAAACGATTGCAACAGATATACGATATTATAATAGTTAAAAATCTTAAACAGTAAAAAACTAGCACGGTAAAAATGTTCCCAAAAACTTTCATGGCTATACGATAATAAATCTAAGTCTAAAACCGTAATGACTAGTAATGATTATTTAGCAAAATTCTTTATCCAACGATATTACCTATTAATACAACCGACAATTATTCCTTTAAAGTTTGAATTCTAGTTCAACTTTAATGCTTATAAGTCTATTAGCAAGCAGTCATATTGCGGCAATAGTATTACATTTTCCTTATTTATCAGTATATCTTTAATATTATACTACTTAGTATAAGTATGAAATCGCCAACAGGTTAGTTAGGTTCAACAACTCAACGATTGAGTGTAAAAAAAAAAATTATTTTTGTAATTAAAATTTTTTTTTTTATTTAGTATTATAATTTTTTTATTCGTCCTTGATCTTAATCGTTCAGGAATTTATAATCAGAAAATCTAAAAATAACATTGAAAATCGCATTAGATTGTCTCGATCAGCCGGTAAACTTGTGAGTGATAAAATTAATTAATCGCAGTTCACCATATTCAAAAAAACTATTTGCATAAAGTTTAAAAAAATACCAATTTAATTATTTCATTTCGGTATTAACTCAACAAGAGTTCATTGCAATGTACGGTTGACCTTTTTTGTGATTTTTTTTTTGCACAACGATGACAATTTATGAGATACGACTGATGTAGTGCTGTGGTGATTTAAAAAAAAAACCTATTAATACCGCTTGCACTTGTGTTGTTTTAACCTTGAAAAAATACGTTGTTTATTACATTTAGACCTGCTTGCAGATTTTTTTAATTCCATGTACTATATTATGCGTATACTATTGGAAAAACTGGTACGGTGTGGCGCAGTGGACACCGCAGCTGCCGCAAGGCGCCTGAGGTTAAGCTGCGACTGGTACCGCTTGATCCCGGATGGGTGACCACCCGGGTTTTTAGCGGCAAACCACACCACTAGGCCTGACCGGTGAGGACCAAGTTAGCTATAATCCCGGTCAATAATGCCACACGAATTTATTTACTATTGGAAAAAAAACGAAAAACTTCAAATTGAACCTTTGCTGTTTTCGCATTGGCTATTGGACGTCACTTTTTAGGTCCTTAAAAGATAAGAATAATTGCCGAGAAATCTACTATCTGATTTACTATATCCCCCCCCCTCGTCCACACTCAGCTTCTTAGCCGAACAACAGCTTCTTAGATACTAGATTTATATAACTTGCAGTATAATAAATCATTATATGACAATAAGTAAATTGAAAAAGATTATAATTTTATCAGTATTGATTGACCCAGGAGCTATTGTAATTTTAAGTTACCACGTTGATTTATTATAAAGATTTTATCTATTCAATTTCTTTTGGTAATTAAACAAAAAATTGACAGTATGAAATTATAAACTTCTAAACGTCGTTACCCTCCCGTCTTGGGACATAGATACCTACAAATAATAAACTTTATCTTCCGGCAGAGGTGGGACCACACAGAAATGTTAAGACTGTCTAATAAAAAACAAATTTTACATTTATTAAAATGTAGTTGTCTTTGAAAAACAATATATATATATATATATATATAATTGGTCGTGATTACAGAAGTATTTTTTTCTCTGCGTTATCAAACAAAAAATGAATCCTTTTTCTTGGGTGCTTAATAATTTATCAAATCCAATACCGGTAAAGGGGATACGGATTTCATTTCAATAATAAAAATACTTGTATGTTTTTATTGAATAGGTAATTTCAATTGGCTCATTATCGTTTAGTTAAATTTGTTTAACTACTTTTTCACCCGCAAGATTTTCAACGCCGTCTACACCGATAAAACACAAAAACGCGTACCCTTTCTTGTTAATAAAAAAAAAAGTACTATACAATTATTTTTGTTTTGTTTTTTAATAATATGCCGTTTGTCCGTTTAAATTACAAAACTGTATATTATCGTTTTCGTGTCGGGTATAATGAGTGTTATTTTTAGCATCGAAGGTCGGTTTAAAAATGTTGGAAAAACAAAAACTCCACTTAAATTATGCGGCACAGTATAAAAATATATAGGTTATAGCGTTGTTTTGTTGCCTACCAAACACGTTCGGTGGGTATAGGCTAAACGCAAACAATTTAATTCTCTAATTACTACACATATTTTACTAAAAACAACTGTAGAATGTAGATAGATAGGGTACTTAAAGCGGTACAATAATAATCGTTATTATTACTATTATTATTACTATTATTACAGTGTATAGATACGCTGTATATCTGTTGAGTGTATGTATACATATTATATTGACTGTAGATATTTGTACATCGAGTTTATAATCCAGTAGCCAATCTCAATGCTTAATCCAAAACCTATTAAAAAAAATCGCCATGTGGGTAAACGCGTTACTATACAAACTGAATTAAAAAAAAAAATTAAAACTCAGTCATGTTTATTGTACTAGACTAATTATAACTATTAACGATATATTGAGTAACTATTGAAGTTACAGGTGTATAAGTTATCCATGGAAATGAGAACAGATTTGCAACCCACTCTCTTTTTTTTACATTGGAAAGTCATAAGCTGGGGTTAAACAAAAATTAGCGTATCTCTAATCCCTTCTCATTTATTGTTATATTAATACAGTTTGTCATAATATTATAATAATTTCGATTTAATTAATATAGTTTGTCGAAGGTATTTTGTTACTTGGACCTCTGAAAATAGGAGAATCGAGAACTCTCAACTGTGGCATTGAAAACAAAACCGATTTCTTTTCAAAATTCTAGCACAACACTAGACCTACTAGCTACGACTACCACCCGCTAACCAGTCACGACTTTTGATGCGTTTAAATTGACTCAAGTCCAAAAAGCTAAACAATAGATTACGGGTACTCGACATTTTTCATTTCCTTGGGTATTGTTTAGAAAAGTTCGGTATAACCTTTCAATTTAGGATAAGTTTTAAACAAAGAACAACCAATTGTTTAAAAAATCTAGATAACTGGCTATTATATCCAAATGACTTGTTACCACAGTGAACCGCGACTACGGTGATCTCTCTCTCTCTTTCTTTGGCTAGTGTCTAGAGAGACATACTACATGTACATCCTCCACCAAGGCGACTGAACTTGTAATTTCAGTAAAAATCATAAACCTTACTTGGGGACTGTGTAGTAGTGGACTTTTTAGTAGTCTCGCCCGCGTTTTTATCGATTCACACTGTCCGTGGGTAAGTATACAATTTGGCTTTACCACGTGTTAATAGTTGTATCGCGTGCAACACGACGACGGTGGTGGGTATAGGTTTTTTTTAATATAAGTATTTCTTTTTTTTTTTGGTTTTATAAAACCGCCGCAATATTGTAAACACGCCCATTACACTTTTCCTCTTCACCTCCGCCCAATGTTGGCGTTTCACTATTACTTCCAGGTTAAAAACAGGTACACGCACCACTGCCCCGGCACGTTATAATGTTTTTAATGTAAATTGGGGATATTCGTTTAAGACAATAATAAAATCGAATCGCCAAGGTCTCCGTCCGTAGCGGTCGATTGTGTTTACAATAAGGAAAACACCATAATACGTTTAGGAATGAAATATATAATATAGTATAAGGAATTGTAACATCGCACAATGGGTTGTCCGATGTGCGGTAAGACCACAGCAAAAAAAAAAAAGACTTATGAAAAGAACGTAGGTACCTGTATTATAATATACCTACCTATAGGTATGTAGTAATAATACTTTTTCTCTATCACAGCCTACGCCAACGTTCGCAGTGTTGTACGTCTCACTGGATTTTGATTGTAACAACAACAACAAGTCTCGTGTGTCTTACCTACTACTTACTACCTTCTACTCATTCTTCGGTTTAGTTGTGTTTGGTTTTTTTCCCCACTATTGATCCAATGTACACTGTATGTACAGTCACGTTCCTTATATAAGCGCATTCTACACACACACCACCCCTATCCGGTATTGGGTTTGATGTTAAAATTCAATGTTGATTATTTGTTAATATAATATGTTCAGTAGTTCTAAATTTGTACAACGACAACAATTTCATTCTAGGTACCTTCTAACGCATAATACCTATGTAGGTACATAACTTCAAAATTAATATATGAATAATATGCCGCTCATTTATACTTGGTGTTTGACTGATTTAAAAATGCCAAAATATAAAAAATATATAGTGTAAATGATATATTAAGAGATTAACTTAAAATTGGCGCTTTTCAAAATACCTACATTTATTTTTTAGCGAGAGATTTGTTGAATTAAAAATAAATGTAGTACTAATTTTAAGTTTGAAGGTTTCTGATCTCCTTCAATTGGTCTAATCCTAATTATATTTAAAGAGTAACTCGTTTCGGACGCTTCGTTCCAAACCCCAATGACTATAGTAATATATACTCTATGGCTGTTGCCTGTTAAAATTTGTCTCCATAACGTCTCACAATAAACGCCACGTCCAAGACTTCAGCGGGCAATAACACAGAAAATAGACAAACCGTTCATTGTAAAACCACAAATTGATATTTGCGTGACTCATATTATTGTGGAGCTGTGTTCTATCCTTGGCCACGGATCGTGTTGTACCCGATTCTTGTATTTTTTTACTGCCCAGTAACCGCACAACGCCGAATTTTTTTCTATACCTACGTTTTGAGGTGAACGATATCGGTATTTTACATTCCAATTATGTTGTTCTTAAAACTAACAGCAATAATATTATCTACATTATCATCTATGTCATCTATGATGGTATCCGTCCGAAAATATTGCTATTCCACCGGATACGTGTAATTTAAATAGGCTGTCAATGGGGAAATAATAAAGTTAACTGTATTTTTTTATATTTGTTTTCCAGAAATGTGCTGACTACGAAGCGTCGGGAGTGCCAACGTTTGCCCGAACAGATCCACCGGACACGCAAGTAAGTCGAGACCGTCTTGGAAAATTATTAAAATTACAAGCATTGTCACTCTTGCAGGAAATATCATTAGAGCTGACTTGTACAACTTTTAGTCTTTTATTATAAAGACTACCACAACAACCGGTGGCACGTGTAAAGGGGATAGGTATAAGGAAACGGGGCTTAGGCGCCTGTAAAATAAATTCGGTTAGACTGAACCTTAGACTTGTATTTTGTTAAACATCATTTAACTAAAATTACAAAATCACTAGCACCCCCCTCTCAAATAATCTATCTGAAGCCCTAAAGATCAAAATAATAATTTGTTCCAATTTACTTGTTACTTGCTGAGTTAATATTAGCAGAGTAAAGCAGTAAAGTCCCTGAACGTATCAAGTCTTAAAATAGCTACTTGCGCCTCTGACGGCTATGTTGTGCACTTTTATCAAAGAAAACTGAAACTCAACGCTTACTCATCGTGTGTTCTCTTAGATCACCAAGTCGATCATATCGTTGTTGCGTTATTACAATTGGAAGAAATTCAGCATAATCACCGAAGAAGGATGGAAGTCTGTGGCGGAATCGCTCAAGATACAAGCGAAAAAAGCCAACATGACTGTTAACCATTACAAAACGATCATCAACTTGTACAAGTGTTCAGAACCTAACCAAAAGTGCTCCAACAACGCGTATTTTTACGAACTGGTGCAGGAAACCAAAAACAAAACCCGAAGTATGTATACCGTTATTCGTAAAATCGAAATGAATGCAAATGGCATAGCTTTTAGGTTATTGTATTTTGATTATACTAATATTTTCTAATTAAAAAAAAAAAAAAAAATGTAAATGGGAAAAGTATTGTTTTAAGGGAAAATCATTGGTGTAATCGCTCGGGAACTATACTACATATTTTGTGATCCTCAATTAATATTAGTCGAACAACTACTTTGGTTGCTTGATTTTCGCACCAGGCGTTTAAAAAAAAATAATAACGACTATATTAAATAAGTATGTTGTATTACAAATAAATTTTATCCCCGTTTCTAGTCTATGTGTTTCTCGGCAGTCCCAGATTGCTGGTGGACATGATGACCGTCATGCAGTCGTTGCAGTTGTTCGAAAACGGCGATTACATGGTCATTTACGGAGACACCAAAGACAATTCCATAAAAGACCTCCGGTATTACTTGTGGAGTCAGTATAAAATGTTTTTACTTGTGTTTTTCGGCACTCTGGTACTATTGGTTTTCAATGTACATTGGGCGTGTGTTGTCCACAGGGCAATCGGACATGTCCGTGTACATGAACTGCATGGAAGAAAGGAGCTTCCTGAAGAGAGCCCGTTCGCTGTTGGTGGTGGTGGCCTCGCCGCCGTCTCCTTCGCGGTACCAGCTGTTCACCGAGAAGGTGCTGGACTTCACCAGTAGGGATCCGTTCAAGTTCCACACCCCCAGCGTGTTTAAAGACGTGTCTTTCGTCAAGTTTGTCTCCATCTACGCGGCTTACCTGTACGATTCCGTGATGCTGTACGCCCGCGCGTTAGACCACTTGCTCAGGTCCAGGGCTAGCGTTCAAAACATGACCGCCGAGATCATCGACGAAGTAGCCTACAACGGGACGTTGATCATCGAGACGATCATCAAAAACATAACTTACCAAAGTGAGTGACACTCCCGGTGTGTGTGTTCCCACCGCGGAATAGACTCTGTTCTTAGTTGCGATTACCGATTTTGTTTCCGTTGTCCAGGTGTCACCGGCTCTACGATCAAACTGGACCAGAGAGGAGATTCCGAAGGTAATTTCTCGGTGGTAGCTCTGAAACCTTACAATTTCGTCTTTCCAATGGACTCGGTCAACTTCACCTGTCCGTACTACATGGTGCCCATGGGTCAGTTCCATTTTCAGCACACCGAATTTCCAGTAAGCCAACGCGACCAGCAGTTGTGCCACCAGCTGTTTTTTTTTTAATTTTTGGTCACAAAAACGCAACGATAACTGTTGTTGTTTGTTTTGCCCGCAAGCGTAGGAGTACAAGCTGAACTCTGCCAGCCTGAAAATCGATTGGCCCGGCAAGAGCCGGCCGGACGACGAGCCCAGCTGCGGTTTCAACAACGAGCTGTGCCAAAACGACTTCCAGCGGAGCTCCATCATCGTGGCCGCCGTGTTGGGCCTGATGCTGTTCTGCGCGTTCGTCATCACGTTGTCCATCTACAGGAAATGGAAGATCGAGTTGGAAATCGAAGGGCTGCTGTGGAAAATCGATCCGTCCGACTTGCTCGGGTTCTACAACAAGGACATCGTGTCGTCTCCCAGCAAAGTATTGCTTAATCGTTCCACGCGCCCCGTCCCGAACAAAAGTGGTGTAAGGTCACCAAAACGCCGAAGAAACGTGCTGGCTGCTGCGTTACTTCCGTTTGTGTGTGACGCTTACACCACATTTGCTCTGAACGGTGTTCATGGTGGGACACATTGGCCAGGTGTATAATAATTTTGTATTTCCCCTCCCCCGTTTAGTTGAGCTTGGTGTCGGCCATGTCGTACGAGTCCCGCGCCGGCCTCCAGGTGTTCGCCATGACCGGCCATTACCGTAACATAATGGTCAGAATCAAAGAGCTCAAGTTCTCGAAGCGCAAAGACATATCCAGAGAGCAAATGAAAGAGATGAGACTGCTCAGGGATTTGAGACACAGTAACGTCAACTCTTTCATTGGCGCCACCATCGAGTCCACCCGAATACTGATAATCACCGACTACTGCGCTAAAGGCAGTCTTTACGTAAGCGTCTTGCAAACGGCTCGTTGGCGTTGTTTTTTTTGGTATAATACTGACATGTTATTTTGTGCGGCTTTGCCCGTGTAGGACATTGTCGAAAACGAAGACATCAAGTTGGACAAAATGTTCATAACGTCTCTAGTACACGATCTCATCAGGGTGAGTTGTAACCGGTTTCTATATTGGACTAATAACGTTGTTATTAATGCTAATTATATTTTAATTTATTTGAACGTGTCAATCGTTAGTGTACCCCATTGTTGTGCAGGGTATGATATTTATACACAACTCGCCTTTAGGTTGTCATGGAAACTTAAAATCGTCTAATTGTGTCGTAACTAGTCGTTGGGTGTTGCAAGTCACCGATTTTGGACTACATGACTTAAGGCAGTGTGCGGAAAACGACTCTATCGGCGAGCATCAGTATTTCAGAAGTGAGTCGCCCAAACTGTGTTCAATATATTTTTTTCTTTATAATATCTAACCGTCGTTCGGCTATGACCGTAAGCATTAAATGGTGGTTCGGGTGGATATTAAAAAGATATTCAAGTGCACTTGAATTTTAGAGCTAACACAAAAAAAAGCAACAGCTTCTCATCGGCTTCGAAGTTATAGATAGAATACATAAATATATTTAATTTTCAGTCATACCGTTTGCGACTAAGTTATAAGTAATAATTCCTACGGTGAGTATATTGTGTTTTTTTATTTTTTTAAATTTAGATTTGTTATGGAAAGCTCCCGAGCTGTTGAGGAATCCTGGTGCTTCAGTGAAAGGCACGCAAAAAGGGGATGTATACGCGTTTGCCATTATTTTGCACGAGATAATGTGTCGACGAGGTCCTTTTGGCGCTTGTGGCGTCGAAGAACCCAAAGGTTAGATAAACGAAAGGTAACAATTAGCGGGTAAAAAAAAAACTAAATCTGCGGGTACCTGTCGACAAAACTAAACAGAAAAAAGTTTCTGAGGACGTTGCAAAAACCGTTGTGTACATTATTGTATACAATTATGAGGATTCTCATTTATAATTAGCATTTTTGTCAGACCACCGCAACTTTTATAAGAGAAATTTAGTTTTGTCATAATATTCCAATATTGTGCTTTCTCCAGTTTCAACGGTGATAAGTTTAACATAGTTTTGTTGGGGAACTATGAAAAAAAAAAATCAAACGTTTAATGAGGAATACAATTTAGAGCCTTGTTCTTCTTCAATATTAGTACATTTGATATTTTTATCAAACACTTTTTCTTTTTTAAAAATCTGTTTCCAACAAAACGTAGTTGAAATACGCTATATTATTTACGTAACTTATCTATAAGTTTTTTAATCTGTTACTGCGGCTTCCTCTTAACAAAGAATAATCTAAACATGGTTTGACATTCTTATTTTTCTATTTTGTTAACCAGAAATCATAAGACTGGTAAAGTTAGGTTACGAAGAGGTCAACGGCGTGCCATTGAGACCCAGCATTCATCATTTGAGGGACAGCGAAATTGCAGAAGACTACATCATCCAGTGTATAACAGATTGTTGGGACGAATATCCGGACAATAGACCGGATTTCGGCACCATAAGGGCCAGGTTAAAGAAAATGAAGGACGGAAAGTGCGTGTACCTAGAAAATACATTATTATTATTGTATATGTACCCGTTTCGATAATGTTTGCATATTATATTTTCTGTAGGCAAAAGAACATAATGGACCAAATGATGGACATGATGGAAAAGTATGCCAACAACCTCGAGGATCTAGTCAACCAACGTACAAATGAGGTTTACGAAGAAAAACGCAAGACCGAAGACTTATTACACCGAATGTTACCTGCGTATGTTTTTCGAATAACATAAAAAAATGAAAAAACTTGTCTAAATCATATGGCGTGTGCTTCTTACAGGCCAGTGGCGAAGCGTTTGACTCTGGGCTACGGTATCGAACCTGAATCGTACAATTCAGTTACCATTTATTTTAGCGATATAGTCGGCTTTACCGCAATGTCCGCCGAAAGTACTCCTCTGCAGGTTAGTTGTGTGTGTTGCTCGAGTATAAGACGTTGTTTCGTTAAACCTATAAACTCATTTTAGGTTGTAAACTTTCTGAACGACTTGTACACCTTATTCGACAAGATCATAAAGGGTTATGATGTTTACAAAGTCGAAACTATCGGAGACGCTTACATGGTGGTATGTGATCGATTGTTTTTCCAGAAGCAATCTTGTCAAACTTTTAATGACTGATAACTTGATTTCAGGTGTCGGGATTACCGATCAAAAACGATAACAGACATGCCGGCGAAATAGCGTCTATGTCTCTGAATTTGCTCGAAGCGGTACGAGATCATAAAATAGCTCATCAACCCGAGTCCACGTTAAAACTACGCATTGGAGTCCATACGGGTAAAATAAATTAATTAAAGTGATTGTAATTGGAAAAAAATAAAATAGAAATTAGGATAGCGATAAGAATTATGACAAATAGAATACAATATTATGGTCTGTTCCCACTGGCTTTTATTTTATTCGTTTTGTTTATTCTAGGACCCGTTGTCGCCGGTGTGGTAGGTCTGACGATGCCCAGGTACTGTTTGTTCGGTGATACGGTAAACACAGCATCCCGGATGGAATCCAATGGGGAACCGCTGAAAATCCACATAAGCGAACAGTGCAAGAACGCCCTAGACGATCTGGGTGGATATATAATTAAAGAACGAGGTTACGTGAGCATGAAGGGCAAAGGCGAAGTTCTGACGTACTGGCTCGAAGGGACCAACGAGAACGCTATAAAACGAAGAGATGTATGCATCATTTAATAATATATCCTACCTAATGGCGTGACTTAAGTAAAACGTTTTAAAATGTATTTCAGTTTTAGTCATGTTTTTTTTAAATAGACAGAATTATTTGTTGAACAGTTGACAAAAGTTAGTTTATTTAATCAACAACAGGAGGTTGGCTAGTCGATATCTTGGGTCAAATTACGTTATGACGTCCTCCATCGATGGATATTTAGTACTTTATTTAAATCAATATATTTTTGTATTATTCAGGTGGACTTGACCGAATTACCTCCTTTGTTTTGCGGATCAAGACGCCACAGTCCAAAGATATTTGCCGGTTTCGGGGAATATGGTAGCAGGCGACCATCGTTTGCTCCCCGAGGAAACTCTGTAGACAAAAGCGCCAAGGACAGTCAAAGCTTTCTCTTAGAACAACGGCCTTCTCCTTTACCTCCTTCATTACGGGAACCACTGCGCAGGAGAATGGTACAGTCGGCTTCAATGGATCCTTTTCCAAACAAGCAGCTGAGCCGAGTGAGCTCGTTAATCAAGAGAAGTTGTCGCTCTCTGGAGGTACGGCTTTGTTGTATATTTTCTTAACCAATATAATTTACTAAACGGCCTTCGTTGTTGTTTTTCCAAGGACTCCAAACTTATCGAGCACTCTGCTAAAGAAGAAATCTGTTGTGGCGACAGCGGTACCGAAACTGTAGTTAACGGCAGTTTGCAGTACACGCCTCTATTGACTGACGACAACAAAAGATGGCATTCATTCGAAGACATTGCACAGGAACCTCACAGAAAAAAATTAGTATCCAGAGGTTCTATTAGAAGTTGGTTGGTTGGCTTGTTTAACGGCACTGCGGCATCTTGTCGGAGCAGCGAAGTGTCTTTGCGCAAAGTATACTCGGACATGCAACAAATTGTGGATAAAGAGAGCGTAGTGTGAATTTCGATCGGTTGTAAAATTGTTGCTTTGCACAGTACAGTTCAGATAGGAAAAAGGTATTATTTGCGTTATAAAAAAAAAAAAAATAAATAAATAAAAACGAATAAATAAACTATTAATATTTCTAAATACAATTTCACTATAGAGAAATTTATACTTGTAATCAAACAATCAAAATTCAATTGAAGTGTCGTTAATAAACTTCACAATCCTTTATGACGATTTAGTATATTCATATTATGTATTTGTAACCTGTGTACTCTGCTTAAACAATGCACGTATTATATCATATTGGCTTAGTGTTGCCAATCATATAAATATATTTATTATATATATATATATATATTTATACAAATTTTACACTGATCTTTTTTTTGCGGGTTTTAGATAAATTATTTTTTCTTTCTTTCATAAATACATCTATGAGTAAACCCAAAGAAATTAGAATTTTTCATACTTGAAAGTAGAATTAAGCCGATAAAAATCACATCACAAAATTGTAATTGATACTGTTGATTATTTATTTTATTATAAATTTTTAATTATTATTATTATTATTGTTATTATTATTATTATTATAATTATTACCTAATTATTGTGCCATTTGTAATAAATAACTAGGTGCCTAATAGAAACGCTGTGTCTTAAAATATTCACTTTTGTTATAATTTACTTTGTTTTTACTCGTTTAATAATAAAATGTACTAGTTTTATTATTTTTTAATGGTCAAAGTTACTATATAATTACAATAGGTATAATTTATATAATATATATATATTTATACATATTTATTTAACCAATTTGTTTTTTTTTTTTTTGTTTAAGTTATACTTTTGTTCAAATTTTTAGATTTATATAAATTAAAAAAAAAAACGAATTGAATAATTTAAAGTCGTTTAATGTGTCATAATTTTTTAGAGCTTAAAAAAAAATAATTAATGGTAGTTACACATAGTTACATTTATGGTATCATACTGTTTTGTTATTAGCTATTTTTTTTATGTGATATTGTAAACGTTATGTTTGAATTTGTGTTTGTACACTATTATCTGTAGCTTTATTCGTTTGAGATTTTGATCTCGGAATATTTGAAATAATCTCAAATCACTATATTGTTCTTTATTACTTTTTTTTTTTTGTTAGTACGCACCTTTTTTAGACAATATAATGTTTTTAAACTGCGTTTTCGTATTATTCCAGTATCGATAAGTAACCATGGTAATACTATTAACACCTTTATCTTGTCTTTTCGTTTTTTTTTCTTTCTACAAATCATTATAACTCTAGAAAATATAAAATATTAGAGAAAACAAATATAATTGTATTCTTATATCAATGCATTGTCTTATTATTATTACGCCAGAGAATTTAAATTACTTTGAACTTTAAAAACTTAACTTGTACACAATAGGCTATTATATAAAAAAATACATAGCGTTTTTCCGTAAAAAACCGTTGGCTTTAAAACTAGCTATGTTTAATATAAAATCGGTAGTACTCAATTACTGTCTGTCCAAACGCTTTTCTCCGTTGTAAAACAAAATAGTCATTGTTTTCTTTAGTCAATTGTTTAATGTTTAGCATAATACCATTATACATAAATTATAAAATATGACAAAAATACATAACATAAGTAATTAACTATTACTTGCATATTAACGTAACAAGATATGGGTCATGTACTCGACGATAGATTAATTTTCATAACATCCAATTTCGTATTGTTATTAATGTGTCCACCTAATTTTATTAAAAAAAAAATTATAAATTAAAAAACTATAAATAACCACATTACAAATGGATGCATATTTGTTTGTAATAATAATACTTACAGCCTGAGTACTTTGTCTTTCCCGCCAGACGCAACTTTATGACCATCTGGAGACCAGTCTACGGCAAATACTTCGTCGGCATGTCCTGGCAGGTCACCTTCTAATTTCTTATTCTTTACGTCCCAAACTGGAAGCAAGTAATTTCATTTTTTAACCACAAATGAATTAGCGGTCGGTTTTTTTTTTATATATAATTTTACTAAGGCGTAACGCTTTCAGATTTTATTGCACTAGAGTACGAATAAGTGAGAAAATAAGTTTTGTGAAGTTTAAGTGCAAACACCAACGCTTAACCAAGCACAGAGGGGTTGAAATTTAGCGTTCTCTTTGCTCAGTACTTTATTTTGTTTTTTCCTCATTTTATGTCATAATTTGATTTGTGTCACATTATTTGTAAACTACATAAATTAATTAAAATCTACCTTTTAACGTAGAATCTGCACTTCCACTAACGAGCAACCTCGAATCGGCAGACCAACAAATCATATAAACAGCTTGAACGTGACCTCGCATTGTTCCAAGAAACCTTAAAATAAAAGTTTATTTAACACACTAAGTCGACTTTTTTAAACGGAGAACAACTTACTTTCCAGTTTTCCCATCCCATAACTTAATAGATTTATCAAAAGAAGCTGAAGCAACATATCTTGTATCGGGAGAAAATTGTACGCAATTTATCAATTGTTGATGGCCAGTCATTCGTTCTAAAGTAAAATACATAGTATGAATATTTTTTAAAACAAAAATTTAAAACACTCAAGTAAGAATTTAAGCTCTTTACCAATATGCCTTTTGCTGGTTTCTGGGGCCCATAAAAACAACGTAAAGTCATCAGAACCTGAAATTAAGCGTTCACCGCCATTAGCCACAACTTGGTCAAAACGTCTCTTGGCTTCTGCTAAAGGATTTTCATCTATACAAATAAAATTATACAACATAATCATTTTTTTTTGTTAATAATTTCTTATAAGGCATTGGCATTATGTGAACAATAAACTTTACTAATATACTTTGAGTGTTATTGTATGGTGGCTGAGGTACCATTGCCGTTTTCATTACATAATCTGTACTCAGGGCTAAAGTGTTTACCCAATGTGCATGTCCTTCGAGTGTTCGACACAGAATCCCCTACAAACAAAATAAATCGTTCAAATTAACACAGGTCAATTGTTATACATTAAAATGATCGTACATCATCAGCTCTCCAAACTTTGATTGTTCTATCTTGTGATGCACTGTACAACAATCCTGTTCCGCCCCATTTCAAGCAAGTTATACTACGCGTGTGACTGGTAAGAGATCTCTGACACTGACCAAGAATGACATCCCAAATTCGGATATCACCATCTTTACTGCTGCTAGCAAATCTAAATAAATATTTTACATATTTGAATAGGCGAATTTAAGAGAATAAAAGTATTTAAAAAACAAAACATTTTACATTCTACACTCGGGTGATAAATGATACGGAGCCCAACACAACGCCGTAATCCATTGTTTGTGTCCTGTCATTGGGGGACCCAATCTTTTGCCCGTTTCGACATTCCAGGACATGATCAATCCATTTTTACAACCAGACACTAAATATTTACTGTTAGGCGACCATGCGATGCACAATACCCAATTTTTATGTCCTACAAGAACATCATTAATTTAAATGTGAATTATACATTTTTTAATTTTCTTATACAGTAAATATCAAACCTTCACAAGTGTATAGAGGTGTCTGCATGTCGAGATCCCAGAATCTCACGGTCGTGTCGCCCGACCCGCTAGCTAATTTACGACTATCAGGACTGAACTGAACTGATATCACTGCTTCCGCATGACCCGGTAATGAACTAAATTATAACAAATATATATATAATTTATCATAGGAACTTGAAAGGTTCTAAATAATAATAATAACAAAATATACTTTATTTGTTTACCTTGAACATCGAGTGATCGGTCGTACTTTAAAAACGGCTTGCTGTTGATAAATTATGTCTATTACTTGTTCGGTGTTTAATTTTTTATTGTCTAAACATTCGTCCAAGTCTTTAACGATTTCTTTTTCGTCGACAAAAAATGCGTACGGCACCGATTCTTCCTGTATAAACACAAAACCAATGTATAAAAAGGAAAAGGGAACTTGTATAATACACTTACTTGTTTGAGAAGCGAATTGCAAATCAACTGCAAATGATTCACAGTGACATTTCTAGGCAAGTCCATCATATTGCCAATCGTGTCGCCCGTTTCTGATTTGAAACGGGCCAACACCGTACTGGCGGGGTCTGCCATTTTTTTACTAAACCCTATTAAATATTTACAAACAAATTGTCAGTAGTAACTGAGAATATTTACAAAAATACAAAACACCTTGTGGAACGTTCAATATTATTCTTCCTCACTGTCCACTGTTTGTTTACTTCACTGACACATGAGAGAATTAAAACCTAACCTAAAAAAACTGATTCCGGTTGCCGTATCACACAGATGTTTTATGGATGGCCACAATTTTTTTTTTGTTATCTTCAGAGGTCGCTTGTTAACAATTTTTTATTCATCAGTTTTTCGCCTAACCAAATTAAACTGCATCGCACACCATTGGGATAATTATTGCTTTATCGTTTTCGTACTCAAAAAAACCCAAAAATTCACCATGGCTCGAGTGTTGTCACAACTAAGAAAATTCAACAGTAAGTAATTGCTTACCGCGTATGTGACATTTTTAATAATCGTATAAAAAACTGATACACGGATGTGTGTTTGTTTTGCAGATGTGTGTAAAACGGCTGTGCGATCCAGTTCTGGTGAACACCATCCGTCTTACAGGCCTGTGACCATGGACGATATGCCGGTTCCTAAGGGTTCCTGGCAAGAACATTATAGCAAAGCCAACACAAAATATAACGCAGTTCTCGTTGCGGGCTTCTTCTCGATCGTTGGTGCAATTTACACCGTAAGCCATATACTTTACTGCGTAGTACGACTATGGGTTTGCTTAATGTGATCAATTTAATTGTTATCTCGTATCAATTATTATTTCTTCATAATATTATATGCATATTTGGCCAGGTTGTAGTTCCACGAACGCAGCGTTTCTTATCAGTGTGCAGTAGTTTGTACTTACACGGACGGCAGGTCACAGCGTGTTGGGCACTCGCTCCGCTAAACCAAAGATTATCCTAGGTTTGCAGGCTACAGTCTAGGAGGAGGTCATAGGTTAAAAGTTGGTCAAGGAATAAGAATTGATAAGAAACTCGTCTGATAAAGATTCGTCAAAAACTGCACCCTAGTAATTGTTAAATTAAAACTACTCCTTAGAAATTGTTGATACTACCATTGACTATAAATACTGAATAAAATAGACAACTTAAATACTGCAAAAACAAGTTTTATATGTAACAAAATAATTTTAATGGACGACTGACGTATATATATATATATATATATACATTGGGCGTCATACCTTCCTGAAAAGGTTTAATTGCAAAATATTTACAGATGGTCAATATTTACTAAGTTGGAAACAACTATGTAAATACTTTTACTAATTTGTTTTTTTTTTGTTTTACAGTTGAAAGAAAACGTTTTCTTCAATGCTTTCCCACCTCCATTACCTGAAGATGAATAGAAACCTACTTATAAGTACCAATTCAGATATTTTTTTTGCTTTGTAGTAACCGACATGATTATGAAGCCAGATGTAATGATTATGTTCTTGATTTCTTTGAAAATAAACGATAAATTAGAAATTGTAAAAATGATTTTTATTGGATACATGTTATGTGTAAAAAATAAGAAATTTCATAATAGATATTTTTTTTTTTTTTTTTTTTTTTTCCACATGCACCCATAGAACACTGGGGGGGGACGCGCCCTGTGAGGAATTACTTCCCCCAGTCTCCGATGCCATTTATTGGGTATACTAAACAATAAACACAATCATAAACTTAAAAACTAACACACCCACTTCGGGTGGTGGCCTAATAACAATATTCACATTAGGCCACAACGAAATTTAGTTACAAGTTTATTAGTCTATACAGGTTTATGTACAGTCGATGGAATGTTTCCGGACCAGTGACTCGCGCACACGCCACCCTTGCACGCCGGGGCTCTCAATTGGCCGGCCGCTGTCTAGCCCTCTCTGCTTCATAATAGATATTGGATTTTAAATAAATGGTGCATTTTTAAGATAAGAAGGTTCAATTTGTGATTATGATGTTTTATTAAGATAGGAACCTAATATCTATGTGTTCAATTAATAATTAAAATTAATTTTCTAGCTGTTATAATATAAAAAATTAGATATTTCATGTATTATTTTACTCATTGCGCTCGATAGTAAACAAATTAATAATATTTAGTATTACAATAAAACAAGTAATTTTAACCATATTAATATTAGTTTAATTGTATATTCAATTTTAAATTCTCCTTTTTAAATGGTATTACATTAGGTAACATACGTTACTTCACAACAGTTCAAAAAGTTTAATAATTAATAAGAATTTAGTTTTAAACCGGTATTAATTAAAAAAAAAAAATCAAAACAAGTATGTTGAGACCGCAGAAAAGTAAAAAAGTGTTTATATAATTACACTGTAAAAAAAAAATTGTTTACAAGTAATTTTTTATTGTAACAGAAGTTCACATCCGGTGAAAAAAATTCCTAGTTAAGTTCAATAGAAAAAATCAAGTTTAAGCTCTTAACAGTATTTTAACATATATTTATTGAATTTAGAAACCAAACTTATAAACTTTTGTTCAAGTATTTATACTTAATTACATATAGATAATGACCCAGAATCTAAAATGTTTAATTTGATCTTCGATTATATATATATATATATATAAAAAATAATAAACTAAATTACTTATTTTATTTAATCATCTTCTGATTCTTCACGGTTATTATCAAATGGATACGGTGGCACTGTACAGTTGGAAAATACATTCTTCTTTAGCTAAAACAATAAATAAAAATTTACAATTCTTGTATTTAATTTTCGACTAGTTAGATCTAGATTTAATAAGAGGAAACCTCACTGTTTAAATTGGTTAATAGCCAAAGCCTTTTACTTAGGGTAGGGGGTATGAATTTAAAATACTATTTCCTGAAAAATAGAATTTTGTTGCATTTACCATACGATTTTGAAACACTTACAACGTAAAGGGCTGCTGCCAAAGAAACGAACCCAAATGCCAAAACTTTGTTGTAGTAATTGTTTCGTTGGCAGTTATGTTCTTTCCAACTTCCACACGGAACCGGCATATCGTCCATTGTCTGAAACACGTATGGATATTGTTGACAACTAGTTTTGCCTTCAGTTTTACTCTCTGCTTGTTTGCTCTTCCCGCGAATCAATGCTGCAAATAAAGACGACATTTAGATAATTGCAATACGGGCTGGTTCATATACAACACATACTTTGATGTTGTACTGGTTTTAGATGTGAATTAAGTTTGAAAATGTTAGCGAAACGGAACGCCATGACCGATAAAACGGTTTTTTTTTCCGATGAAATTAAATTTAGGTAAGTACACAAGTCACGATATAAAAAATCAGAAAAATTCAGAAATAATGGTTAATAATGCATAAATAACCCTCACGATTAGGAGCTCAAAACCACAGACTGACCAAAGCGCTCGAAACAGTTAAAATTCCACGGAGTTTCCGTCCATCGATGATTTAAAATTTATTAAGTCCTTGGAATTTAACGTAATAAGTACGATATTTTTGACAAGGGCTTTCTTTTGGAAACTACTCTTTTGCCTTTTGAAACGTACAAAACACGATAAAAACGGAGAAATGCCAATGGAAATCAGACAGAACAATGATATAGTCCATCGATGGATATAGTGCCGATCCATCGGCTAATCACATTTTACAAACTTTACCTGTGACTTGTGTAATCTTTGTGTCTAACGTTTATGTCGTGTCTATAAAATTTAACTTGTGTATATAATACCAATTATATTTTTGTCTTGTGTTCGATTTGCCTTGTTAATATTAACTATCAAAAATCATGTCACTGAAAGCAGTGTCCTTTGTGTATGAGGAAATTATAGCTGGCATATACAAATGCCTATGCTGTACCACGAACGCCGAACCCGTAGCGAATCCGGCCAACGTCGAAGCCAGCGGGGACGTTGCCGGTGGCCCGGCCGTCAAGCCCGTCGACACGCGATTGGCCGAGGAACAGGTTTGCAAACCGAGCGTGGCTGACTTCGGCCAAACCACCATCGTGGACGCCACGTTTAAAGCCAGACTCGCAACGTTGAAGGACATCACTGAGAGTATGAGAAAAAGACCAGGTTTCCCTGACCAATCTTATGATAAAGGATTTTATTATTCGAGTTTTTAACATACCGTGTCGTATATTATATTTCACTGCTGTTATTTGTTTCATTAATCATATTACCTATTGTTATTATTTTGTAACAGTTTAAAATCTAAATTAAATATTCCGGTCTTTTAAAATAGGCACCAAGTTGGAGAATATAAAAATCTACTTTGGCTTTTTTTAAAACCATTAAAAGATTCTGACAACAGGTATTGCTAATGGTAAACCTAGATATTCACGAAATCAATCAAAACATTGTGTGATTGGCTGTACAACCAGCTCTAACCTTTAAAGGTTTTTAATTAACTGGCAGCTAACGTTAAATAGTAAAACGCTTTAAAAATTCACAGCCAGGTCGTGAATCATTTTTACCTATAATTTTGTTTTTAACACAGCTTTCAGCCAGCGTTGGGAATTATACGAATTTCAATCACAACCTTACAACCTATTTTCGCCATCAATGTGTCATTCAGCGTCAACGTCTACAACTACTGACAACACTCCAACACTCATTAACATAATAATATAATGCAACAATACTTTAGTAAGTTTTACTAATTGAAAACATAATTGTTTGAAACCAAAATTAACCGATTTCCACAACTTTCCATACAGACTTATCTTTTATAATCGTTTTCGATATTCAAGTTAAAAAATAGTAGTTTTTTCAGGTATTAGGCTAATGTAAAGATTGATTATAACTTTTTAAGTTATTAACATAATGTAAGATGATAAGATGATAACAGTATAAGTTGAACTCCTTCCAACCAAGTGAAGGAAAGGACTAATTTGTACGCATCATAGTATAATGGAAATATTATAAAGAATACATACAGTTTGATTCAGTGCTTGACTTGAGAAAAAAGTAGTAGAGGTACTCTAGATACTTTTAAAAAAGTAGCGTCCCTAGCATTTCAATATCCCTCACATTACCGTGGGGGGCTTCGCCCCCACACCCCCTTTAACGGTGCCCTAAGCAACATTAATAAAAAACCATTAAACAAAAAAGAATAATATAAAAATTATCTAAGTATAACTTGTCTTATTACAAACGGTTACAAACTTTGTTTTATATAATTTAATAATTTTTCATTTTTAAAAATCTTCAATCTTCATTTAAAAAATTTCACGGTACCATTGATGAAATGTAAATATAAAAATCTGTATTTTCTAAACGGTACAAGCTATAGAGCTACTAGACCTCTTAAAATGGCCACTGTACCCTCAAGTTAGAGTAGGTAACCGCTAGGATAATTTGGGGTGAACAAAATCTACACACAACCCTGGAACACTTAAGAGACTCGCCAAAAGATAACGTGTTTTGCGCGATGTCTCATGAGAAAGTGTATGGACCATTTTTTTTTTAATGAAGCCACTGTTACAGGCAACTCGTATCTTTAAATGTTGAAAGATTGGCCATGTGATTTTTTTTGTGGGGATACGTCAAGAGAAAAGTCTTTATGTCGCCATCGCTTGTGAACATTGAAGATTTAAAGGCACGCATAACTTTGGCTGTGCAGACAGTAACTACTGACATGCTTCACAGTGTGTGAGGAATTTGAATACCGACTTGTCATTGTTCGGGTTACTCAAGGCGGACACGTTGAACATTTATGATTTTTTTTATTTAAAAAAAAAACTTGAGGTTATAGCGGTCATTTTAAGAGGTCGCGCAGCTCTGTAGCTTGTACCGTTTAAAAAATACAGATATTTGAAACCGACTTATTCTTTTGTAATCACCCGGTATTAAATCAATGACAGTACTTTTCTAGACAGCGTATTTAAAGTTTAAACGGGCAAACGGAGCGATTAGTTCCATCAAACCGCGGTAACGTTTCGCAACGAGGCCAACAACATGACGATTGACGGGCACGAACGGGAAACGTTTTGCCGCCGCGTAGTCACTGATAAGTTATAATGAAATATTGATAGTAAAATAAAATATACGTATTAGATATGATATCAATACATTTTGTAAATATTATAACATTTTGTAAGATTTATATATTTAATACAAACATTGAAGTTGAGCAACTTTATAAATATAGGTAAGACTAAATAACAACCCGTCCCATGCGTTCCCCTTTAAAAAAGAAGTAGGGGTACGCTAGAATATCTAAAAAATTAGTTGAGGTACTCAGTCCCCCTACGTCCCCCCCCCCCCAAGTCAAGCACTGGTTTGATTATAACTTTTCAAGTTATTAACCTAATATAAGATGATAAGGTGAAGGTACTAATTTGTATACTCGCCAAAGTATAATGAAAAAAAATATATTTTATTACATATATTATATTTATTAAATCTTCAGCAGTTACACAAATTAATTAAATAACCTATTGATTATTGACAACCGTTTACATCTATTGAAATATATGTATTAAAAATTCATTAAATGTACTTAATATTCTTGTGCATAATGTATTTCTTAATATTATTATTTTGACAAACAATTTGTGATATCTGAAACAAATATACATTTTTAGAGTATGTTTTTTTATTGCAATAAACAAAAAATTACTAAAAACTTTATAAATTATGGGTGTTTAAAACTGTTGTAATTTTGAAAGAATAAATATATACTCTTGAGCCGAGAGAAGAGTTTAATTAAAAGACTGCAATATGTGGTTTACTGAACACCATATCATCATTACAAGCCATTATCATATATTCGTTTAAATCAATAACACCGTCGCCTGGAAAAAATGAAATGTTAATCAATAATAATTTCCACTACAATGTTGTTTTTAAGTATTTACGGTTATAATCTCGTTTCTTCATAATTAGATCGGCTTTATTTGGATCACCGACTGCTTTAACCAAGTCGTCATAGTTAATAACGCCATTCTTGTTAAAGTCCCCTTTACAAAACCCTTTGTAAATGTTTTCCACCTAGAAGTTTTAAGAAACACATTATACAATTTAAAAAATAAACTTTTTCTTTTATCTTTGAAAAACATGTTTAAATAATAAGTTCAGAGATTAGTGTTGCTAATTTTTCAACAGAAAAATTGGAATATCATCTTTTCCACCTGGTAGAATATGATCAATCATACTGATAAAGTATAAAAATAATATTAAAATTATAACTACTAACCTTTACCGAAGCAAACAACATTCTAACTATTTCCTCGTACTTCGTCGATTGCATTGGAAAACTTTCTGTAAACAGTTTGTGGATAATTTAAATACAAAATAAAATAGGTAACTAAATCTTTTACTACCGTTTTGAACATTAAGAAGATCGAGTACTTCTAAAACTTCTTTCTTGTTTGAGAATAATTTTTTAAATCCTTCCGTTATTTCCGATACGAAATATCCTCTCGTTATTTCATCTTCATCATTATATTCCACTGACATCTCTCTCTTAAATAAATATATAAGAAGAGTATATTATGTCAATTTAATAATGGTTATATAATTATGAATTAGAAATTTATTAATGCAAAATATAGTATAGGTACATGATGAATGGTGTACCATTAATTCATTAAGGATAACACATCAATTAGTAGTTTTTTCTTTTTGAGACAATTTAGTTTGGGTATGTTGTTTTAAAATATTAGACCACATTTAAATCTATCAATTGTTTAAACTTAAATGGTGACATACACTAAATTAACTTTTTAATTGGGAATAATTTGACGAGAATTTTGAAGTTAATAAAGTTTTAACACTATAAACTTCTTTATCCTCATGTTTCCTTTTCTAAGTTACTACATAAAAATAATACTTTAAAGTCAATTCAACGGTAATAATTTAAATTACAATGGCCAAACGAATACAAATACATCAACGGACAGAATGCCAAGCTGTTTTATTTGTGTTACATATTGTGGTCCACAATAATATAAATACAATTGGTTTTTCAAAAGAAAAAACTACAAAATTCAAAACATTGTATTGTATATATAATAAAACTGAATAAACCTGTGACAAAGCAAATATTATCGGTTTCATTTTGTCCAACTGTTCCAATCCTATTCTATAGCTTTCTGAAAATAATTTATGTCAATTATACAATGATTTTTTCGTATAACATTTTTTTATTTTTAATATTACGCTTTAAGTTAATTAAATGTATATATGTCTTTGCTTGGCGAACGGTGAGGACTCCGTTGAACTCTTTGAATACTAATTTCTGTAAATCCTCTGTGGAGATAGAACCTTCACTATCGGTAATGATGTCGTATTTGTTAAATAACTCTTGCCATTGCACGGTTCCGAAGTCAATCAGATTTGTACCTTTAATCTAGAATATTATGTGAAATTAATTTCATGCCAATTGTTTTTTCAAGAAAAGGAATAAGTCGAGTTGAAAAGTTTTAAAATAATTTGTAAAATGGAAAAACATTCATTATTTTTTTTGTACTTTTTGAGGCGCACATTGCTGAATTCCCAAATAGGTGAAATATAAAAAAAACATTAAAATAACCGAATTTAAAGCTCTTTTATTCAATATATGAATTTCATCAATAATACATCATTGATCATTATTGGTGTAGCCAAAAATAATAATTATTATAATGCCTTTTGAGCCTAGTAATAGGTAGTGAAGTCCCGTCAAGAAAAGTAAGTATAAATATTTCTACGATGCTAACTATTCCCTTTTATTGATGAAAAAAATAAAACTGTGTATACCTAGTTTAAAATTAGAGTTATGATAATTTAAAAAAATGTTATCTAAAAAATTATCAGTTATTCGAAATATTTATAAAAATAATTATTCAAGTAGAGTTATTAAAAAAAAACATGTTCCATTGTACAAATAACTTTTTAAGATACTATTTAAATAGTTTTAATAGTGTTTTTTCAAGTAACTATTTTTATTTTATTTAAAATTACTATATCTTAAGAATTTTCAATACTCTGCTTACAATATTATCTATACAATAATCTCTATAGAAAATATGTTAATGGCTAAAGTTAGTTAAAATAGGTTTTTATGTTATTTTGGCCATTTATAATATATGCTTTTAAATATTTCTGAATTTTAGATACATACCACCGTAGAAGTTTCATCAGCTATCTTTTCATCATCTGCGGTACTATTTTTCACTATAAAACACACAACACACAAAAGTAGTACAATATTTTTTGAAAACATTGTAATTCAAAATATATATGTGGCGTGTATAAGACCTGCTAAGAAATCAAAATGATCTTATTGTTATTTTGCGTTTCGTTTTATCGCTTTATATTTTTCATGTACTTCGAGTAAATACAAAAATTGAGAACAACAATCATAAATTAACTTTGAATACATATATGATAAATCAGTGTTTTTGCAACAAGATTTTTGTTTTTGACCTAGTTTGAGGTATGTACATTTGTGATAAATAAGCATAAATTATCTTACAACAGAAACCAGCTATTAGAAAAAGGCTCTAAGAAAACAGTTTTTTTTTTGTTTAGGTGACACATAAAATTGAAACTTGTGCTATAGGTCTGTTTTTTTATGTTCATACGTCAATGGAAAATATAACATTATTCATACAAAATGTATTGACATGCTTTGAACATACACCAAGTATAGTTTATGACTTGACCACACTGATGTTTTTGTACCTACTTTATCATTTACTATCGCTGCTAAAAGTAAATACAATTATAACTAATATTTACACAGATATGGCCGAGATGACGAAAACAACATACAGACCTATAGACCAAAATTAAATATTTAAAGAATATCTGCTGTGACCATATTACAATAACAAATTCTTCAGAAAACCATTTTTCGAACAGCTATAGCTTATGTATAATAAAACAAAATAATAAAAAACAACTGAATATTTTACTTTGAAACGTAAATACCTTTTAAACTAAGCGATAAGATATTATGAAAAAAAACAAAATTTGGTTTTATGATTCACACCTAGAATATAAAAAAGCCAATACGGCGGGGTCGGGGAATAGTGGCAACGAAGAGGACATAAGTCTTTAAGTATTGCTTTAACTTAAAGTGATTTTATCGCTTTCAAATAAACATTTCGATGCGAATCTGTGGATACTGCACCTCACTTGAATACTTTCTTACTGTCACATTGAGAAGGGGTTAAAACCATAGTGCCTTAAGTCACATTTTTGTAAAAATTTTAGTTAAGTAATGTTCAGCCATCCACATCAAGTATGCAAATTTCAGCCATCCAGGTTGAATACTACAATTTAATCAGTTCATCTAGAAAACTGAACAGACATACTCGTAAAATTTTAGGGAAAATCCATTCTATTGCTCGTTGAGGGCTTACACGAGGCATCTAATTTCAAAACCAGCTATAGACATTTCTAAGTTTGTTCTTAAACAACAAATAATTTCTTCTGATGGACGACTAAGATTTCCCCATAACAGTTTTAGTTATAATCTTTATTTGACGCTCCATAATAGTTTTTCATATCATGTAACACAGTGCGGCCACTTAAAAAAAAAACCTTTCCAAGATGTCGTTTAGCTGGATATGAACCTTAATGCCTCACACATAAGTAATTTTTCGTTTAACAACTTTTTAAAAAAAATTGGTAATTCCAAAAAACAAAAAAATGTATATATTCTCTTAATACGGGTTTTGCGGTGGGGTTACCTATTAGGTAGGGTTTTGAGGCCTTAGGACCACTCTAAGACGGATTTATCAAAATCAGAAGAAGAACTTTAGTAAGGAGATTGTCCACGATTGCATAACGGACAAAGCGACGGCTCTGAGTCTGATTCAGGCGGAGGATGAGGCCAACCTGCTGGAGAACAGGAAAGCGGCCATGTCTACAAGTCCAGCAATCTACTACAAAAAGGGGAATCCTTTTAAAATATATACCACTATGTCTAACGAATAATACTTTTTTTCTTTTTTTTTTTACTAAACAATTTTTTTTATTTACAATCTATATAAATGTATAATTAGCAAGTCTGATGACAGAGATACATTGACAATATTCAATAATGTGGGAATAAGAAGGCTCTCAGCAGTGCCACATGACCAGAATAATCAAATAAAACTTAAAAATGTAAAAAGATGACCGACGATTCCCAAAGGATTCGGGTTTGCCAATTTGAGTAGTACACAGTCAATATTTCATCTGCGTTCAGTGGCAAGTCGATTTTACAACACAAAAATACAATTTTTATTTTTACAAATTATTTTACTTTTTATTACTATTTACAACGAATAAGTCCATACACTGGTCAGCGTATCCGATTCGAAGGGCCACCGAAATCATGAGCTTAACATAGGTGTCATGCTGTACGTTATAATAATATTTCAGCAAACAGAAATCGGACAATAATTGTGTTATACCGGTGGGTTGTGCGTTTCTTCTATTCCATTCTTGACCGTGTGTGCACTGCTAACTGAATCAAGCTACTATATAAAATAGAAAATATGCATTAGCGAAATTGCCGTGTGAATGTAGCAAACAAAATATGAAATGCGATCAAAGGTTGATTTTGTTAACCTCGCCAGAATTTCTAATGTAATAAAAATAGCGGATTTACAGATTGCTCAAGAGTTTTATACTCGATGAAAACACAATAATTAACATTTAATTTGAAAAAAACCCATCTCAATTAACCGTGGATTTAAATAGGTCGCCAATCCAATGTTTGCAGAGTATTTGCAATGAGGGTCTCGATGAGACTTATAAAAACAATGGCCTCAGTCTTCTTAGGGATAATATATAAAATTCAAACATTGTTGTTTCTTGTTTTAAACAAAATTACATTTTTTTAATTAGCTTTATTTATAAATAATTACCTCATTTGACCGTATATTATTCGAATAATTTCGAGAAAACGCAGCCCACTGATGACATCCCAACGTGGCAGCAAAGCTTCATCAGATCAGATCACGGTCCCATGCGCAGCCCACAACCGGCGTACGCGCTACAAGCGCCGGTCGTCCGGCGGTGACGTACAGCTTGCGGCCAACAAGTACCGGACAGTCATAGATAGGGTAGAAAAATGGCGTCCCGCAGTGTAGCCACACTAATATTCATCAACTGTTCCTTTTGACTTGACGATCGACTCCGAGGTGATTGACAATAATGATGAATACAATAATGTAAACGGAAGTGGCCGGCCGAAGATAAAGAAATATCCGATTGTATTCGGAAATTACAGAGCCAAGATCCGGTGACAAGTGCCCGATAGGAGGGTACCGACGGGCGAGGCCGAATGAAAGCCCGATCCATCACCGGAAGTCCGGAGAACTCCGAAGGCTCCAATGTAGAATCACCGGTATCCGGAGTGAACACCCGACCACACGGTGAAGAATTCGTTCTTTTCGCGAGGGGGGGGAAGGAGAACCCCTCCGGTAAAGTCGGGGTATTACCCGGTAAATAAGGAGTTCTCCCGAAAAATCCCACCAAAGGTCGACCTTTTAAGGAGGTGAACTAGATGTGTTACCAGGCACACCCTTTGTATGAACGACCAAACATGAGAGGAAGACGTGCATCAAGATAGTAGTTAGTAGCAGACGCTACCGTCGGCCCAGACGTCACCTGCATCGATGGCTGCCGTCCAGCACCCAACGTTGGTCCAGACGTCGTCCGCACCGACCACGCCCGCCTGGCCACCACCGTCGGCCCAGAGGTCGCCTGCACCGATGGTTGCCCTCCAGCACCCACCGTTGGCGCATAATGAGACGACACTCGTTAACCCTCGGGAAGTCGGCCATCAATGGCTGTGGATCTACAGCGGCCAGGCGGACACAAGAAATACAACTACTTACCAGTTATCACTTACTATCAGAGCGACGGTTTCCAGCCAATCGGTTTGTCATTATCGTTCTAAGTCTAAGGATGCCAGTACTTCATCATTACCCACTGGCGATGTCTTCCAGTTCATCGGTTCCTCCTCGTCGTTGTTTATCGTAGGGTGCCTGTCAATGTATACTTCATCAGTACCCACTGGCGATGTCTTCCAGTTCATCGGTTCCTCCTCGTCGTTGTTTGTCGAAGGGTGCCAGTCATTGTATACTATCATGTATACCTCATCGTTGTATGTCCATGGCTGTGCTGGCATTATGGAGAGAAGAATAATATTATTATATTTATTGAAGTTCTGGCTAAAAAATGTATGGAAGAATTTTCAATATTCAATGTTCTTTTACAATAAAAGTTTTGACGTAAACGTTTTATAAAAAAAGAACTAAGAAAAAAGTTCCTAAATAAAAAGTGTAAGTAAGAACAATAACTTTTTCAAAATTAAAGTGCACAGTTATTTCGAAACCCTGTTTTTTCCATACAACACGTGTTTGTTATTTAAAAGATACTAATAAAATACATAAGCATTTTGACAAACTAATAATAACACTTTAAATGCCCCTGTCGCTTCATGTTCGGCATTTTTTTCGCGCCGTTGTCATGTTGTTAGAACGGACCGGCCACCATGGATTTTACTTGACACGGGTCTGTGAATGGAAAAGTATAATATAAAAATTGATTGAATAATATTATTCAAATGTCAAGTCAAAGTGTAATTTAATTGATTATTTTATAGTCCTAAATCTATCTTTAATTTAATATATGTGATTCGGTATAGCATACGAACAATCGCATACATTAGTCGACACTCGACTCAAGTCTAAAAACTTATAAAATATTTATATTTTATTACTACTGAATACATTTTTACCCTTAAAAGTACTTGATAACCTATAAAAGCCCAAGGTACATATTGTACACATTTTAGATTATGCAAAAGTTACCTGACTTTAATATTGTTCAGATAGCGTATATTGTTATTTTTTAATTGTATCATTGTGGGAGAACTTGGTTAAGGACAATAAATATGTCATCACATAAATTACAGATTGGTAATCATAATCATAACACATATGACATATCTTAACTCCATACATCCCACCCGGGTCGTAATTTCCCCAATGAAGATAAATTATAATATCACCATCAACATTAATACACTACATTGCTTAACAGACTATAAATGTATTTTTTTTTAGTTTTAAAAAAATTATTAATTAATAACCAATAACTATTATAGAAAAATGGAAAAAAATTATTTTTTTAGTCTTACAACTTTACAGGTTAAATTGCACTACATATTTTTAAATGTATAAATGTTCTCTTGAATCGAGAGAATCGTTATGAGGTATGAATAGTTCTGATTTTGTTAACAGCTTTTTTGCAAGAACGTGTCTAATTAATATGTTGAAAGATTATTGTTGCTAAGTTGTTAAAACAAAATTAGAATATTCCATCTCGTAATATGACCAATCATACTGCTAAAATTTTAATTTTATTAACTACAAACACGTAGTGAAACCGACAACATTTTTAAAATTTCCTCAAATATTAAATTATTTTTATTTTTTAACATTTTATTGGTAAAACAAACAATCTGTAATCATTATATTACAATAAGTCCGTAAGCGGAAATAATACAATGACTTGGATTCACATGAATAAAAGCAGCCGCCCAATGGCGGCACTCTTTAACTTGAGTGGTTTAAATTATTTAAGTGCTAAAATATTAAAGTATAATATGCTACGACAATGAAAAACTTGACGTCATATATACCTAAGTAAAATATTTTTCAAAATGTATTAATTAATCGATGATTACAGAGAATAAAATTTGAAAAATATATATTTTTTTTTTTAAATAAGAAAGTATCTAAATAATCTGTTAAAGATTATTGTTGCCAAGTTGTAAAGACAAAATTAGAATATTCTATCTCGTAATATGACCAATCATACTATTACAATTTTAATTATATCAAAATTACAATAACTAATAACTAGTATTGAAGCCGACAACATTTTTAAAATGTCCTCGAATTTCGGCCATTCAATTGGCCTTTTTTCTGTAATCAGTTTGTGGATAATTTAAAAACAAAATTCAGCAGGTAGTTAAGTTTTTTACTACCGATTGGACCAGTAAAATCGAGTACTTTCTTTCTGGCTTGAAAATATATCTTTATACTTCTTCGTTATTGACTCTACAAAATTGTCCTTTAGCATGGCTTCATGTTGGTTTTTATTTTCCTCTAAAAAAAATTTACAAAAAGCGCATATTATGGCAATTTTATAATGATTTTTTTTTGGTAAGGCTTATCGAGTATTGCTTGTACAAAGTGAATTACAATTAAAAATCTAATTTTTTTTTTTAATTTATTATAGTTCATTGCGCCACCCCCTGCGATATTATCGAATTTATTAAAGAAACCAAAATACGATAAAGTTGGCTTTGAAATGGTCAAAAACGAGAAAAAATACGAACTAATAGATAAAAAAAAATAGACAAACCAGGCGGGGAGGATAAATTTATATCCGAAAATGGCAGTAGCAGTCGTGGCGGTGAGCCCCACAAAAAAAATATATATATCACATACAATTTTTTTTTAACTGGATTATATCGCATCGATAAAAATCGCTCTAAAACATAATGAAATGTGTCATTCTTGATTGCTCGAGTGCGAGTGTAAATCTCATTAAACAATATGATAAGTTTGTAAATATGTTAATTTGTTTTTATTCAGTATGTGTATATACAGAAATGTCATTCAGAGAGATGTTCTCTGTTAGCATAAAATCTAGGTGATAGAATGCCAATCATATTTTACAGGCATATAACATAATTTTACCGATACTATATGTATAAACTATAATATTTTTGTTGATAACATATGTAAAATTACGATAAATCAAATAGAATGTATAATATTTACTTTTGGTATTATGTTTATTAAGAATAGAAATAGAGTACTATTACCATCCCATTTCTGATGGGACATCCTCAGCACCTACACCGTGTCGGGCCAGACAGGGTGGAACTATGAAACAAATGAACTCAGTGTACCACCCACTCGTCCGGCATAATATTTTTGTAGGCCAATACTGATTATTTAATTTGCACATTAGAAATAGCATATATATTTGTTTAATTTAATTCGTTCATATATTTATTGTTTTTTTCGTTAATTACTTTTGTTATGTGTCATGTATTTTAATTTTGTTTACTACATAGTGAAATTCTAGAAACAATTTTTTTGTTTTTCATTTCATACTTACTTTGATTCATTTTTTTTTTTGTTTCATGTTTATACATTTTTATGGTAATTAATTGCCGAAATATTGTTATATATTCGTTTTTAATATTTATAAATTAACTGTTGTTGTATTGTGATCTTTAAAAATAATATTGTAGTAAATGTATAATTTTGTTGTTATTGTAACATTCATATTTTTCTTATCCTAAGTATACGCATGTATATACGGTGTCTGTCTGCTATTAGAGCAGTATGTGTGAACATTGGAGAACATAGAATCAAGAGTAAATTAAATAATAACGATATGTTTTGGCAGGAGAACAGAAACGTACCGTGATTAGAGAGCATTTAGTAAATATCGAGTAGAAAAAGTTTTTCAGCCGAGTCTGCAACCACAAAAGAGCATTTTCATGTCTCGTTGAAGTACCGAATAAATATAGATGAGTTGTGGAATTATAATTAAAAAAAAAAATTACATGGAGCTTCCAGTTACAGCATAAGCCAAGGAGATTAAAAAATTATGTACAATCATGTTTCTGGCTAAAATTGTAGCACTTTTTTTCGGTTATGCACCGGCTAATTCTCACCCCCAACCCCATTTCCATTCCCACCCCCAACCTCATCATCAACCCTATTTCTTTTTTGGTAACGCTTTTATGGTAACGCTTTTTTCGGGTATTTGCCAGGGTTATGTGTCAGAGCTAAGATATGAAAATGTCAAAATGTAATTGTTATTCGAATCGGTTACATAAGAAAACATCAAAGTAGATGTTCTGAGTAAAAGAAAATGCCGCACAAAAATGTGTCCTTTAGAGAAAAACGATAACTGAAACTTTTTATTGAGAGTACACATTGGATGTACAAAGCAACTTAAAAAGACAAAGACAAAAACTTACAGAAAAAAATCTCTAATGCCGGGTATCAAAAACATAATTGGTTGGAACCAACATTAACCGACAATCATAACTTTCCATACAGACTTTCTCTTATATAATTGCTTTGCATACTCAAGTTAAAAAATAGTTTTCTCAGGTAACTTATAAAGTCATTTATTAATTAAATATTAAGTTTGATTATAACTTTTCAAGTTATTAACCTAATATAAGATGATAAGGTGAAGGTACTAATTTGTATACTCGCCAAAGTATAATGAAAAAAAATATATTTTATTACATATATTATATTTATTAAATCTTCAGCAGTTACACAAATTAATTAAATAACCTATTGATTATTGAAAACCATTTATCCCTATTGAAATGTATTAAAAACAAATTGTAGTACCTGAAACAAATTTATATTTTTAAAATAAGTTTTTGGGCTTCCAATAAATAAAAACTTACTAAGAACCTTACAAATTATGGGTATTACAAACTATTATATTTTTGATTAAATAGATATTCTCTTGAGTTGAGAATAAAGTGGTTTAATATCTTTAATAGCCATTATCATATATTCATTAAAATCAATAAAACCGTCATCTGGAAAAATTGTAATGTTAATTAATAATAATTTCCACCAAAAATTATGTTTTAAGTATTTGCCGTTTAAATCAAGCTTCTTGAACGTTTTAGTGAATAATTTCTCAGCGGCTGCTTTCTCAGTAGCTGATTGCTCAGTGGCTGATCCCTTAGTAGCCGATTCTGTATATTCATTCATCCATGCTTTAAGTTCATCAGCGTCAAAAACGCCATTATGGTCCTCGTCCATTAAACAAAAGCTACCGTGTATACGTAGCATCTAGAAGTTTTAAGAAACACATTAAAATATATGTTATAAACAAAATGCGTATCCATTAATTGAAAAAATTTAATTTGAATGCGAATCTACTATATATACTATTATTATACTACACATACTTAAATATTAAAACAATAAATAAAATATTAAAAACACAATTTACTACGAGAACTAAAACTTGTTGTCAAATATTTCCAAAAAGTTATTAATTAATTAACCGATAATTACAGAGAATGTAATTTGAAAAATAACATTTTTTTTTATCTTAGAAGAACATGTTTGAATAATATGATAAAAGATTATTGTTGATAATTTTTTAAGGACACAACTTGAACATTATCTTTCCACCTGTTACATTGGTAAGCCAATCATAATGATAGAATAAAAATTATATTAAAATTATAACTACTAACACGTTTTGAAGCCGTCAACATCTGTAATATTTCCTCGTACATAGCCCTTTCAATTGGACTGTTTTCTGTGAACAGTTTTTGGATAATTTTAAAACAAAAATTCAATAAGTGGTTAAGATTTTTACTACCGTTTTGGTCAAAAAGTTTCAGTACTTCCAAAACTTCCTCTTTGTCATTGAACAGATTTTTAAACTTTTCCATTATTTCATTAATGAATGTTTCACTCGAAATACTGTCAACTTGTTCGTCCTTCTCAATATTTTCTCTCTAAAACCATTCAAGAAGCGCATAATATGTTAATTTACTTTTTTAGTTGAGACATAGTCTATAGATGCAATACATGATATTACAGGATGATTCATTAAGGATACACATGCATTTTGTAGTTTTTAACAAAACAGATATCACTCAAATTTGTATTTTTCCAAGTAATCTTTAAATTTTTCAAATTTAAATAGTGACTATATATTATTCAATATTTATACTTGGGAACAATTTATTGAGAACTTAGTCTAGTCGATAACTTGTTTTAGATAGTTACTTTTGAAGTTACCAATGATCTAATACTTTAAACTTATTTATCTTCATATTTCTATTAAATTATAACATAAAAAAAAAATGTCATCGACATAAACTGTACATTTCAATTATACACGTTTAATATATAAAAAAACGACAAATCACCTCTAAATTGTAAAGCTTGGGTATTTCATAAAATTACACAGTAATATAAATAACATTTTTTTTCAAAAGAAACAACTACAAAATTTTAATAATTGATCACCCTGCATAGTAAATAATAAAACTGAACAAACCTGTGACAATACAAATATCATCGGTTTCAGGTTTTCCAATTGTTTCAATCCAATTTCACATTTTTCTGAAAATAATTATGGCATTTGTAGAATGATTTTCTTATAGAACAATGTTATTTTTTTTTTAATTTACTCGGTTTATTCGTATTAATGGCATGTGCATAACATCTTGCTTCCCTAATGGTAAGGAATCCGCGGAAGTTTTCGAATACTAGTTTCTGAAATTCCTCTAGTGAGAGAGAACCAATGTTATTAGTATCGTACGTCTCAAATATATTTTGCCATTGATCAGTTGTCAATTCAACCAGTTTCTTTTGGGCATCTGAACAAACCTTAACACCTTCGAACTTGTTAGATTTCACTGGCCGTTCATCGATTACACCCTTGCATGTTACATGAAATTAATTATTTAAAAATCAGTTACTTAAGAAAATAGTAAATATACGTTAAAAACGTATTACGATGTTAAAAAAAATCTAAGAAATGCAAAATCTCTGCTGAACTTCCTATACAGATGAAGTATGGAAAACAACAGAGAACTGAAATTAAAAACTTGTTCTATAAGATTATAAGGGCATGGGATAAATAATGTTATTAAATTTGTATAAATTTAACCGAAAGTACATAATTATTGGTTTAGCCAATTATTATTTATGATAATGCCTTTTATGGGGACGTCATAAAAAAATCGTTAAAACGTGTTTAGAGAAAAGTGTTTAGCCTGTAGGTCAAAGCGAAATGGTCATAGAAATCAAATTTTGATATTATTAAGTATAGAAAACCTTTAACTAGGATCTCATGACGGTTTTTAGAAAACTTAAAGTTTACCTAAGCACAAGAATTTCAAAAATGTCAGAATAAAAATAATAATTTTGAATGTTGGTTTAAAAAAACTGATGAGAGAACCTATATAAAGTTCTCTTACTTAAAATATATAAAAATAAGTGTCATGATTAATATTTAGTCAATAATAGACAATTTTTACGGCTCGGTTAGATTTTTTTTTTTTTTTAATCGATGATAAAGGTGCTGTGAAAATTTGAAAAATAAATCAACCACCAAAAATTAGTCCTTAAAACACATCACAGTTTAGCCTTTAAATTTCGATTTTTTTAAAAATTGCCTATACTTTACTCTTAAAAAATGGGTGGAGTAGCGTCATCTTAAGCCTAGTAATAGTAAAGTTTATTATTATATATATTATTATCCATACAATATAGTCTTAAAAATCCCCATCGCAAAATGTTACTGTCTATATTTTATTGCAATAGCTTTTTAAGTTACTTTGGCCATATATTATATAAGCTTTTAAATATTTCAGAACTTTAGATACATACCACCGTAGAAGCTTCCTCCGCTATATGGTTTATCTTTTTTTCACGAAAAAAAGGTAAGGAAAACCATTTTTTTTTTTCTTTATCTGTGGCACTACTTTTCACTATAAAACACACGACGCACAAAAGAAGTATAATATTTTTTGAAAACATTGTAATGCAAAATATGTACTTGGTGGGTATGAGACCTACTAAGAAATGTATATTAACAATAGGACATTTTGCGTTTCGTTTTATCGCTCTATATTTTGTACGTATTTCGAGTAAATACCATAATTGTGAACAACAATCATAAATTAACTTTGAATACATATTCTAAAACAGTGTTTTCGCACTAAGCTTTTTGTTTTCGGCGTAGTTTAAGTTATGTACATTCGTGAAAAACAAGCATAAATTATCTTACAACATATTTGTTTAAGTGATACACACACAATTGAAACTTATGATTTTTGACTCTTTTTTTATTTTTTGACCTAGTTTGAAGTATATACAACAGTTTTGAAAAACAATCATAAATTATCTTACAACAGAAAACAGCTACAATTGTTAAAGAATTGATATTTATTTAAAAAACAAGTACATAAATGGTAAAAACAAGTTATATGAATAACATAATATTGCTGACTAAGAAAATATATGTATTATGAACTTATTATTGCTTTACACTTGCTTTGAACAGAAAAATAGTTATGGACATATGGTCAACGTTATTTAATTATTCAGGACGGTTAAATTATAAAATATATTTAAATTGATCAAAGCCAGACCCCCTCTTTCCCACCAAACAACCCAAGCAGAAATTTACCAAGGGCGCAGTACTTGCATTCTGTACTGCGCCCGTACTGGCGTAACTCCCAAATGATAACGCTATTCTGAACTGACAGCCAGCACTGGCCCAGTACTGATATTTGGTACAGATTTTATGCTGGTATAATAATGGCGCAGTACTGACGCAGTAATGGCACAGTACTGGCATTTTAAATAATTTTATATACTGGCAGAATAATAGCGCAGTACTGGCGCAGTAATGGCACAGTGCTGGCGTGTTATACATAAAAATGTTGGTAGAATAATGGAGCAGTACTGGCGTGACACATTAATGACATTACTGTGGAATCAAACATTAAAAAAACATGCTAATAAACATATACATAGGTTATTAAAATTGAGTATAATTTATAAAACATATTATGTACAAGCAGTATGAACAAAAAATTAACTTATTATTTTTATATCAAACTAATAAACTATACCTTGTTTGCCGAGAGAGCATGCCGCGACCCGACGAAAATTGGCTGTTCTGCGCATCCCCGCGCCGCACTCAGTGTGACTAGCGTTCTCCCCGGACTCCACCTTGTCTGCCAGCCTTAGTCTTGCTGCTTAGTCTTCAGTCTACATGCGCAAACCCGGCATGCTCTCTCAGCGAACAGGGTATTTATATATATATATATATATATATATATATACATGCATATTTGTACATTAATGAAGAAAACATTAAACACACAATTCAACAGCAACTTATAAACTATAAACAAAACTTAACATATTTAACATAAAAAATTAGGCTTAAAAATTAAAATTAAAATTAGGATCCACATTGGCATTTGACATTAGCCGTCGTAATGGTTTATTTGCTAAATAATTAGTGGTGGCACGTGGGACGTAAAAAAGAGCATTAGTTCGAGATGAACGCTGAGGCACTTTAAAACAAAGTAGTGTGACAAGTGCAGACGATTCAACTTTACCATTCAACAACCCATCAATAAACCTAATACCAGTAGTGCGTCTCCGCTCGGCTAAGAAAGGTAGGCCAAGTAAATTAGCTACAGGGTTATAATCGTGCGGCGTACTAGGAATTTTAAGTAGGTAACTAGCAAAGCGCAAAAACTTACGCTGGACTCTCTCTAATTGCCTCAAATCACCTGCTGTATGGGGTTGCCAAACAACAGAACCATACTCCAGTATCGGACGCACAAGAGCGCAAAATAACACAAAAAAACAGACATACTTAGCCTAAAGTCTTTTGCCAACGTCATAACAAAACCAACTTAATAAATGTGACGGTAGATTCTCACTATTTTTTTGATTAAATCTTGATTGTTCAGTAATTCTTTGAAATGTTTAATAGTCGTTTTAGGTTGACAATTGATATTTAAAAAGTATGAAGTAAACACGGGAAAAAATACATAGTTGATCTAACTAAACATTTAGTTAGCACTTGGCCGAACTAAATGTATAGTTGTTTTAACTAAAAATTTAGTGGGCCCAACTATTTATTTAGTTATTCCAACTAGAAATTTATTGTTTCCCAATAATAACCATAATTTTTAAGTGGGCCAACTATATTTTTTTCTGTGAATTTAAAATTATTTAGTAAAAAAAAATGTTTTGGTTACCTGGTTAAAAATTTTAATTTTCCCTTTATTCTTATAAGTATCAACATATAAGTATCTCAATACTAAATATCGATTAATTACGATATACTAATTACAAGGGTTGTTTCAAATTTAAAACACCTAGATACAGACTACATTACCTATTGTTTTATACGATAAAAACATTAAATATAAAGCAAAAAAATAAATATAACAAATACACACATTTCACAAAACAAGGGTAAATATAATACAAATAAAAATTAACGTTCAATTTAAATGTTATTCAAGTTAAAACAGTAAGACGCACTCTGGGTGATGAACTAATTAACTACACAATGGCCGCTGGCGTATGCGTCCACAGAATAAGACAAAGCCTGAACTTTATACGCAGTTCTCATTGGCCCATTTAAATTTTGCGCCAAATATGTTGTTTTCAAATAACAGGCGGCGAGACGTCACCAATATTTTTGCCACTCGCTTTCCAGGTACCATCACTTCGTTCCATTGAACTAAAAATATCCTAGATTTGCAGGCTACAGTCTAGTAGGAGATCGCAAGTTTAAAGTTAAGTCAAATTAAAACTTAAAATAAAATTTGAAAAAAGTAAAATTTTATAAAGATTTAAACTTGAATCTACTGTGTGTGAACTCAAAGCCTTATCGACCGCATCCCTACGTGAAATAGATATTCTTGGCGATTCTACGCCTTATAAGCTGTGGTATTCACAGCTGGGTACTCTATTATCGCTGTAATAAAAAAACAACTGAGTATGCCATAACTGAAGTAGAGAAATATTAATGAATGGATACAAATTATTATTAATCATGTACTATTTATGTTTGTGCCTACCTGACACTTATATATCCACATGTATAATAGGGAGGTCGGTAGTGGCCACAGTGAGACACTATTAATTATTTTCCAAATAATTATTTAAATTTAAATGATACTGAATTCTAATGTGTACGAATATATTCCAAATTGTCTTAGATTTTCTAATACACATCAATAAATTGAAAACCTGAAGCACATTTTATATTAGAACACTTTTTTAAAAATAGTCAAAGTACGCCGTAGGACACAATGAGACCGCTTAAAATAAATATTTTAAAAGCAGGTTGTACTTGATATTTGAATTAAGTACCTCTTTTAATAAAAACAATTTTAATGATAATAAAGATTAAAATATTTATAAATTTAACAAATTAATACAAATAAAAATAAATATTTTTGTAAAAGTATTTAATACATCAGTTCGGTACCTCATTAGTATTTTTTTCTTCAATAGTATTTTAAAATTTTAATTTTAATACAATTAATAATTAAAAACTATTTAGAAAACTAGATAATTTTTAAGTATCACACTTTTTCTACTTAACAGTCTTTAGATAGGTTAAATTCTAAGATTTGCATTTAATTAAACAAATTAAAACACATTTTATCACTTCATGTTTTTCTAACCAGACATAGGTCTTCGGAGTCTTAGGTATAGTAAATATTATCTATATCTAAAAAAACTTAAATACATGTTATCTTGTACTGCGACAATACTCAGCCAACGCTTGGCACGAGTCTGCCGAACCCGGGCTAGCCAGTACTGTAGTTTTTGTAATGTCAGTGCTGCGCCAGTAATGGCGTAACGTTGGCAGCCAGTACTGGCCAACCAGTACTGGGTCAGTACTAAGACAACGCTTGGGCCAGTACTACGTCAGTACGGGCCAGCCAACTGTGGACAGCCAGTACTGGCGCAGTACTGCGCCCGTCGTTAATACTGGCATAGTACAGAAATTTCTGCTTGGGTAGTAGCAAATTATTACAAATTAAATAATGGTATATTGTGTACTTTGTGGCCGATAACTCCGAAAATAAACGCTTAGACATTTTCTTGATTTTTCAAGGTATTTAATTTAGTTCAACATGTTCCATACATGGCTAGTTGGTATTTATAAGACTTGACAAATATACATTTATTTTTACTATGTTCATAATAATAATCTTTAATATATTTTATCATTAATATTTTTCTTTTAAAAAAAAATAATTGTTTTTCAGTTTTGATCACTAAATTTTTTTTTTTGTGGATCCACGATATTTTTTAGACCACTCAACCAATTTCTTTATGTAGCAACTGTATAGATCGTGCATGGTAAGTTCTGTATTAGGCGTTTTACTATTCAACTTTGTTTTAAGGAAACCCTAAAAAAAATGGGAAAACCCCTTGAACAATATAAATCAGTAAAGAAGAAGTTAGCAAATTTGGGTCGAATACATTTTTAAATCTGATTTATCTAAATGTGATATTCTAAGCACCGTGGAATGTCGAAAGAAACTTCATAAAAAATTCGTCCAGTATTATAGACGGAGAAGAAAAACACACAGACAGACAGACAAACACACATCACGAATTATTAAGAAGGGAGATTATAGATTTTATTGTAAACTTTTTAAGCTATTAATATAGTATAAGGTGATAAGGTGAAGGAATGGGCTAATATGTATGCATCAAAGTATAATGGAAAAATTTAAAAATATACATATAAATACTTTATTACATGTATTGTATTTATTAAATCTTCAGCAGTGATACAAATTATTTAAATAATCTATTGATTATTGGCAACAGTTTATCCCTTTTGAAATGTATGTATGAAATGTTCATCAAATTTATTTAATATTTTTGTGCATTGCGTATTCCTTAATATTATTTTGAAAAAAAATTGTAATATCTAAAACAAATGTATACATTTTTAAAATATGTTTTTGTATTGCAAAAAAAAAAAAACATTACATGCTGTTGGTCTTTAAAAAGTTTTGTTTTCAATGATCAAATATTCTCTTGAGTCTATTTTAGAGTCTTACTTAAGCTGTACTGCTTATATATATCACTCAAATTTTCCATATATTTATTAAAATCAATAGAACTGTCGTCTGGAAAAATTAAAATGTCAATCAATACAAATTTCATGTCAATGTTATTCTTAAGTATTTACCTTTTAAACCTAGCATTTTCATTATTTCAATGAGTGATTCATTCGTAGCTGATTCCTTAGGGGCTGCTTCCTCAGTGGCTGCTTCCCTAGAGGCCGTTTCTCGTTGATCGTCGTTCCATGCTTTAAGTTCATTAGCGTCAATAACGCCATCGCCGCCCTTGTCCATTGAACAAAACACATTGTATAAACTTACCACCTAGATGTTTTAAGAAACACATTATAATATATGTTATAACACAAAATGTGTATTCATTATTCGAAGATACTTAATTTATACGCGAATCTAATCTAGCTACTACATACTTTAATATTAAATTATTTAAGTGTTAAAGAATTAAAGTATAATATGCTACGAGAATGAAAAACTTAACGTCATATATACCTAGGTAAAATATTTTTCAAAATGTATTAATTAATCGATAATTACAGAGAATAAAATTTGAAAAATATATATTTAAAAAAAAAAAAAAAAATTATCTAAGTAATCTGTTAAAAGATTATTGTTGCTAAGTTGTTAAGACAAAATTAAAATATTCTATCTCGTAATATGACCAATCATACAATTCATTACCAATCATACAATTTAAATTATATCAAAATTACAATAACTACTTACTAGATATGAAGCCGACAACATTTTTAAAATTTCCTCGAATTTCGGCCATTCAATTGGCCATGTTTCTGTAAACAGTTTGTGGATAATTTATAAACAAAATACATTAGGTAGTTAAGATTTTTACTACCAATTGGACCAATAAGATCGAGTATTTCTAAAGTTTCTTCCTCGCTTGAAAATACTATTTTATAATTGCTCGTTATTGACTCTACAAATTCTTTCTTTAGTATGGCTTCATTTTGGTTTGGATTTAATCTCTAAAAAAAAACACAAGAAGCGCATATTATGTCAATTTTATAATGAATTTTATTTGGGAAGGTTTGTCTTGTCTGAAAATAGTACTTTGTATGGGTTCGTCTTTGTGTTGACGTCATTATCACTCGAAATAGTGTCATCTTCCTTAGCCTTCGGAGTACTATCTGTCTAAAGCATTTCAAGAAGCGCATATTATGTCAGTTTACATTTTTTGGTAAGCCATAAATGCAAAAAATATTATACAGTCGATTCATTAAGGACACACAAATTTTGTAGATTTTTCTTTTTGAGACAAATTAGATTATATAATTTTACAACGTTAGACAACACTCCAATTTGTCAATGAAAAAAAAACAACACTATTTTAAAACTTAAATGGCGACTTATATACTTAATAACTAGTTTTGGATAGTTACTTTTAAAGTTACAAAAGTTTTAATGCTTTATACTTCTTTATTCTCGTCTTTTCTTTTTTTAAGTTACTAAATAAAAATAATACTTCTGATTCAGAAGTCTATTCGATGGTAACAATATACATGATATTTTTCAAGTATTAAATTGTCAATGATAACAACATAATATAGATAATGTCTTGTATTTAACAATTTGTTTGAACTTATAATTTGGTTGAAATTTGTATAGGGTTTGTTTCAAATATTTTCATGGTTTATGGTATACAAGAGCAACACGTACAATTAAATATTTAAACTTTCAGTCACAACCAAAAGAAACAGCAAGGTCTAAAATATAGAGGTAAGTTCGACTGAAAATATTAACATTAGACATAACTTATAATGGATTAAAATAATAAAAAACAATAATGGAACAACAATAATCAACATTTTGATCACATGTCGAGATAGGAAAAATTGTGTACTGTTCAGTTATCTACGTTCAATATAATATAAACAAAAAGTCCCACCAAAATGAAACCCAATCACTACCAAATTGTAATTAGTTCGTCAGGACAACTGGAAAAAAACATACTGGTAAAGTTTTAGAAAATAGTTCAAATCTGCATATTCGCTATGAACAATTGAGTGTCACTAACGAATACACACACATCAACAACAAAATCCCAAGTTGTTTTTCTTTCGATTATTTACGTAATATGGTCTTACTCTCATATTTCCCCTTTAAGGAAGCAAAAAGGAAAATTAAACATCGACCGACGACAAATTCTAGAGTGTCAGTGAATCAACCAACATCTTGAGCTAATTATTCTCAACTTACAATGTTAGTTCAATATTTACGTTATTTCTAAAGTTGGTAGACCTGCTGGAAAATTGTAAAACTTGTGTAAATTATAATATTACACAAAATACAAATACAATTTTTTTTCAAAAAGAAAAACTACAAAATTCAAAAAATGAATTCTCCCGTATTGTAAAAATAATAAAACTGAATAAACCTGTGACAAAAACCCTATTATCGGTTTCATTTTTTCCAATTGTTTCAATCCTATTTCACGGCTTTCTGAAAATAATTAAAGCAACTGTAGTATGATTTTTCATAGAATATTGCTTTATTTTTAATATTACGCTTTAAATTAATTAATTCTACGTATAACTCTGCATGGCGAACGGTGAGAAATCCGTGGAACACTTCGAATATTAGTTTCTGTAATTCCTTTGAGGAGATAGAACCAATATTATTAGTATCGTACTTCTCAAATATCTTTTGCCATTGGTTGGTTGTCAATTCATCCAGATTTATATCCTAGAAAATGATGTGACATTCACTGCTCTTAGATACTGATAGATGAAATATAAAAAACCTTCGAAAAGCAGAAATTCTAAGTTCTTTTTTACTATATATATCATAATTGGTTTAATTTTTTGTACATGAACAGATAATTCGAATAATCTGTTATTAAATTATTCGACTGTTATTCAACATACTATTAATAATCCCTATCAAAAATATGTAACCGTCTATATTTTATTGCAATATGTTATTTTGGCCATTTATATTATAAGCTTTAAAATATTTCTGAACTTTAGATACATACCACCGTAGAAGTACCACTTATAGAAGCTTCATCCGCTATATTTCCTTTACCTGCCGTACTAATTTTCACCATAAAACATACGACACACAAAAGGATTATAATATTTTTTGAAAACATTGTAATGCAAAATATGTACGTGGCGTGTATAAGACTAGCTTGAAAATGAAAATTTGCTTATTGTTATTTTGTTATTGTGACTGTATGTTATCTTATTTACATTCTAAACATCTTTTCGCACTGAATTTTATGTTTCTGCCTTAGTTTAAAGTATGTACAGAAGCCGTGAAAAACAATCATAAATAACCTTACAACCAAATACAGCTATAACAAATGCCTATAGAAAACAGCGATTTTTGTTTAAGATAATCACATACATTTGAAACTTGTGCTTTAGATCTGTTTTTTATGTTTATACGTCAATGGAAAATATAACAATATTTATACAAAATGTACATACAATACATGATACATTCCTTAAGGGAATTTATTTAAAATATAAGTACATAAATGGCAACAACATGTCAAAGAAAAAACGTTTATTATGTACTTATTATTGCTTTGAACAGAAAAATAAGTATGGTCTACGCTATTTTGTACGATTAAATTAAAAAATATCTTTAAAATCGATCAAAGACAGACTCCCCTCCCCCTTTCCGACCAAACAATTTGTGACATCAAGATTTATATACCATTATATTATACAAGATATAAAAAAATATTTGATATATTCCCTAAGCAATAATGTTAATACATTTTTGGAGTTTAAATTGAATTTGACTTAGTATCCGCCAAACTGGTCGTCAAAAATATTTTTTAAAAATGTATAACAAATATTTGTACGTTTCAACTTTTTATTTATTTATTTATGGTATGCAACTTTAAAGATCTGTAGGGAATGAACTATATGAGATAAAGTTCTATAAATCATTGCTGCACTACTACACGCCAGGATAATCCTTACAAGACCTTAAAATATACCAACATCTGTTATACCATATACGTGTTGTAGTTATTTTTCAGTAAATACATTTTAAATAAAATCGTTGAATATTGTTTGTTTTGTTTTTTTAACATTTAAACTACATATTTCCTAGCATTAGACATTGTTCATTATACATACTAAATTAGGTACTCTATACATTTCAATTAATTTGTATATTTATAATTTAATTTAATTTATATATTTAAGTATCGATTACCTAAAAAAACTTTTATTTTATCTTAATTAAATATATATGACATCATTTTTTTATTTAACCCCTCATTTTTGGAGTTGGGTTTAGGGTCTTGGGGGGAGGTGGTATATAATTTCCAATTTTATTAAAAAAAAATTGTTTTTGAGTTATTATCATTTTGTGATTATATAAAAGGTCATATACAAAATTTCAAGGTTGTAAACCTAAATATTATTCAAAATCTCCATATAAGGTGTTTAAGTCACTCTTTAGGTTTTTTTTTTATAAATTTATATAATAATTCTAGTTAAAAAGTATGTATTAAACAAAATTCGACAATTCGTTTTGTATCGTTTGATTTATGTAGACAAATAACTGTTGGTATCATAGATTTTTTAAGTTTTTACGTTATAAGAGTTGTTGTATTTTACCAATACAACTTTTTTTACTAAGTTGTTTTTTTGCCATATCTTGTTTTATTATTTGTGTTCGATTATTTAAATTTGCTTGCACGATAGTACCATATTGTTACAAATATTATAGCATTTACACATTTTGTACAAAAACCAATAATAATACTTTTTCGGATGTGTATCTTGTTTTCTAGATACCATATTTTTTAAATATTGTGTTCGTATTGTAATAATAAATGTACCCTTTGGTTTTTTCATAAACAAAAGATTTAACTAAAATTGAAAGAATCCAAATGCCTATTTGAAACACGAAAAAATGTGTTGTACCTAATGTACACATTAGGTACAACACAACATGTGCTTTTTGTTCATCGTCCAACTGTAAATAATTTTATTACATTTTTTTATGACTAGATTTTTTTACACGCGTTATAGGTATGTTAGACCTATCTTCATATTAATTTCCAGCTCTTAAATCCTAAAATTGCGCTTACAAAATAACCCACCTTCCCCCGGGATTGAGGCCGTGTGTCAATAGAAGGAACCTAATTAATGTTCTCTAAATATTTTTAAATTTTTTCGTGAAGATATAGCAAACCAAAAATGACGGTTGAAAATCAGCCAACTTTTTTCGGGTTTTCAGTTGTCTTTTTTAATTTTTACTATTATTCGTTATAACTCCTAGAAGGAGTACAAGTGTTTTCTTTACATCGATTTTTTATGTGTAGTACAGGACTAAATTGGAAATTAAATATTTTAAAAAACCAGCTGTAGCCCTATTAAAATAAAAAGCTTATCATAAACAATTATTTTAAAGGTCATAGCTTATGTATTCTAAAAAAAATTATAATGAACAAAAAACAACTAAATATTATAACGTATATACCTTCTAAATTAATCAATAATTTAAAAAGAAAAAAACAAAATGTGGTTTTATGATTCTACCTATAATAAAATAAATTTCCGCTACTTTCCATACAGACTTATAATATTTTCTTTCGAGATTCAAGTTAAAAAATAGTAGCTTTTTAGGTAACTTATTAAGTCATATATTAATTTAATATTAGGTTTGATTATAAATTATTTAACATAATACAAGGTGATTAAGTGAAAGAAAGGACTAATTTGTTTGCATCAAATTATAATGGAAAAATATACAAACAAATATTCTATTACATTTATTTTATTTGTTAAATTTTTAGCAGCTATTAATTAAATAACCCATTGATTATTGACATCTGTTTATATCTATTGAATTGTTTGTATTAAATATTCATCAAATGTACTAAATATTCTTGTGCATAATACTCGTATATTCCTTAATATAATTTTGAGACATAAATTGTAATATCTGAAACAAATATATATTTTTAAAATATGTTTTTTACTTGCAATAAACAAAAAATTACTAAAAGTTTATACAAATTATGAGTATTCAAAACTGTTTTATTTTTCAATGAATAAATATTTTCTTGAGTCGAGAGTAGAGTTATAAGAGTACGTCTAGTTTTCTTAACAGCTTAAAATCATTGCTACTGTTATATATTCATTAAAATCAATATAACCGTTATCTGGAAAAATTTAAATGTCAATCAATAATAATTTCCACTAATATGTTGTTCTTAAGTATTTGCCGTCTAAATCTAGTCAATATGAAACGACGAACCGTAACAAGTATGTTGACACATAAATTTGTATTTAAGTACCTACCTAGGTTAATTAAATATTACAATTAAAATATACTTTTGCAACCCCCAAAATTCGGCCCAACTCGCGACTGTATGTTATAGTTATTTATTGCCTTTGTGACGTTAAACTATTGTACCTGTTAAGAAGTCTCAAACATAATTAAGACTATAATGTTATAGTTATTTATTAGCTTTGTCACACCAAACTATTATAACCCGTTGGGAAATCACAAAAAATTTTTTAAAAAAATTGTAAAAAAATGCAAACAAAAAAATTCTCCTTCGGTTCTGTACCGCGCAACGTAGGCACTCTGATGGTTTCACTCGTCCGACCGAATGACCGAAGGTTATTTCAAATTTGTTGATTTTATGTTATTTAAACACATTATTGTATATTACTAATACACGTTTATTTATAAATTATATTTTTTCTACTTAAAATACGAAATATTTTGTTTGTAACCATGGTAACCACGGCCATCCTAGGGTTGGAATTTTCGAAAAGTACTATGCCAGTTATCTTCACGTGAGTGTACTCAACAACTTCCCAAAGTTTCATTTGATGAATGGTACTAATGCAAAAGGACAGACAAACATACCAACATTCATTTTTATATAAATATAATATTTATATAAATAAAACAAGACAAACGTTTATTGAAACGTGAAACCTTAGATCAAAAGCACGTAGTATTCCCTTTTATTCGGTATATTACATATTATATTACATTAAAATCACGCGTTCGTAGCTGTATTCCAATAATACAGAATGCAACAAAATCGAAATTAATTTATCGCCAACTAATAAGATACGGTGAACCGCGACAAGTCTGTTGACATCATAATGAATACAGCGAGGGTATCTTGATTTTGTCAAACTCGTAACCGTTAAAAAGTCTCAACAAATAATAACAATACATTTTTAAAAAAATTGAATAAAATTCCACTCATCGGCCTGGATTAATCTACATATAATTTCGCTGTAGTCAATCATTCATCCGATCAAAAGTTATATTTAAACAGTTGATTTTATGTTATATTCACAAATTATGTTAATATAATGAGTGTACATGTTTAGTGGAAGTTTCCTGTCAAACTTTGATAGTTTTTGTCTTTCACTTCGTAGAGTATATTGAAAACGAATAGCCGTCAAAGAATTAATACAATTTTAATATTATGTCGCATTTATTACGGTATACACTTGAGTAGCTAAATTGCCTATGCGAGACGCCGACAATGTAGATTTTGGCGCGAAATTGAACCACTTACCGGGTATTATATGTATCTGTACGGTTACCACTCAGGTATAAAACCGATAGAGTTCCGTAAAAGTCTGGTTTCAAATGAGAAATATTTGCTGGTCGAGTACCCGTTAAGAACTGTCAAACATAATTAAGACTATTATGTTATAGTTGTTTATTGGCTTTGTCGCGCCAAACTATTATAACCTTATTTAAGTGATACTTTTTAATGAGTGTGTAGGGCGGGTTAGGTTTGTTTCGTGTTTCATAAAAGAGGAGGATTTTTTTTAAATGCCTCACGTTACGCCAGATGATATGAGGCACTCAAATGCCAAACCGATTAACTCCAATTGTGAATAATTATAACATGGTTGGATAAAAAAAGAGTATAGTTTTCAGTGACCAAGATAAATAACTCCATAGTATATTCACATCACGTATTATATTACATTAAAATTACACGTTCGTAGCTGTATTCCAAAAAGAAGCAATGCAACAAAATCGAAAATGTTTATTAGTAAGGGCTCAAATTTTTACAGTATCCTAAGCTTAAGCGTAAGTACATCGTATAACAAAATAAAACTGATAATTTGTACCTTCCTGATCTAAATACTTGCTAAAAAAATCGCTTAGGACAGGTTAGGTGAAGCGAACAAAACCGAAATACATTTAAAGTCAAAGTAATAATTATACATAATATGTATACCCGAACACCGTGGATAAGCTTTTAATGATATTTTTTGAGGATTTTATGTATGATAATTGCAAACCCGAATAAATGAAACTTAACAGTAATTCGCATTTAAGATGCTTCTATTTTGTAATTTTATCGGTCATTTCAAAAACGACACAAGTCACAACATTTTAATTTTACACTAGCCACAAAAAACTTCATAACTTCATTAATAGTTTATGCAGTGATTCTTGCACTCAACATTTGTATTACATATGAATGGTTATTTGTTAAAAGGGACCTATGTTACATAATTGAAAAAAATAGTTTTATGGTAAATAATTTATCTACTTATGTTAACACATCGTTTTGTGTTAAAAAGGTCCTTCGTCATATAATGTTGTATATGTTTATACTTAGTATTCAAAGTGAAAATGTACTATATTAGTTTCAAAGACAATTGTACGATTATATTATTTTTTAATTCAAAATTTTCAATTTGTTAAAAGGAATTTGTGTCACAGAACACTTTTGACTATTTATAGAAACACAATTGGTTTTAAAAATATTTTTCTTCGCTAATTATTTTTTCATACATTATTATTTAATCGATATTGTAATGATTAATCTGAATAAGCAAATTTATAAAGAGCAAAATAATTTTTTGTTTCTCCTAAAATATTTTTAAAATGTTATATAAGTGCCGTTTAACAAAGTCCCATTATATGAGTCTGACAAATTAAGTTTTCACACAGAATACGTAACTAAGTATATAATTTATCAAATTATCAAATTTGACAAAAAGTCATTTTTGAAAAATCGGTGACTTAAGTCGTTTTTGAAATGACCGATTCGATTTAATACTTTCTAACTTTGCTGGCTTACACTGTGCGTGGTTTGGGCTGTACTGGCTTGAATATACTAACTACTGATTTGCATCGAAGCGTTTATTCGAAAGTGATTTTATCACTTTTAGATTTAAAAATTCCTATAAACCTGTGACCTCCCCGTCCCCACTATGCCCCGACCTCACCATATGTTCCGTCCCCACTAGGCCCCAACGCCACTGTACTGGTTTTTTTAAATTTGTATGATAAAAGAATTGTTGTTTTACAATTACATTTTTTATAGTTTTTTTTTGGGGGGGAAGATGTAACAAAACAAAGTTAATTATTTTCTTTTTAAGAAACGTTAACCAGAAAATACCATTTAACTCAAAAAAGTCGTTTAAAAAAAACACGGGAATATTTGACTATTACTTTTACAACTAAACATTACTTAATTTATTCTTCCTAATATTAACATATTTATTTATACGTTAGTTGTTAATTATTATGACTATTCTTTAACATCCTAAAACTCCTAAAAGAGTACAAATGCTTTTATCGATAATTGTATATCGACCATTACAGATTCGCATCTGAGCGTTGAACTGAAAGTGATTTTATCACACTCTGCTGTAATTTTTTAGCCTTATTGTGACCTCCCCCGCACTAATATGCTAATTAACATAATAACTAAAAAAAATGCTTTTTTAAGATTAACACCTAGATTACAATAAAGCCAGTACAGTGGCTAACATTAACCAATAACTATACAACTTTCCATACATACCTTAACTTATAAAATTGTTTTCGATATTTAATATAAAAAATGGTAGTTTTTCAGGTAATATAGTATAGTGCCATATATTAATGTAATATTAGATATTTCGATTATAAACTTTTTGAGTTATTAACATCATATAAGATGATAAGGTGAAGAAAGAACTAATTTGTACATATCAAAGTATAATGGAAAAAATTAAAAAATACAAATATTTTACTGCGTGTATCATATTTAATAATTTTCAGTAGTTATACAAATTAATTAAATAATCTATTGATTATTGACAGCTGTTTACATCTGTTGAAATGTATGTAATAAATATTCATCAAATGTACTAAATATTCTTGTGCATAATACTCGTATATTCCTTAATATAATTTGGAGACATAAATTGTAATATTTGAAACAAATATATATTTTTTAAATATGGTTTTTGCTTATAATAAACAAAAAATTACTAAAAATCTTACATTATTCAAAACTGTTTTATTTTTCAATAAATAAATATTTTCTTGAGTCGAGAGTAGAGTTATGAGAGTACGTCTAGTTTTCTTAACAGCTTAAAATCATTACTAACTACTGTCATATATTCGTAAAATTCAATCGAACCGTCACCTGAAAAAATGTTAATGTTTATCAATAATAATTTCCACTAATATGTTGTTCTTAAGTATTTGCCGTCTAAATCTAGCTTCTTGAACGTTTCAGTGGCTGATTCCTCAAAAGCATAATTTACATGAACATCGATCCATCCTTCAAATTCATTAGCGTTAACAACGCCATTACGGTTCACGTCTATTAAACAAAAGCTACCATATATTTGTACCATCTAGAAATTTGAAGAAAATCATTATAATTTATGTATTAAGCAAAATGCATACTCATTGTTCTAGTCTCTAGAAGATTTAATTTTTACGCGAATCTACTCTAGATTCTACATACTTATAATAAATAAAACATTAAAATAAAATGTACTACGAGAATGTAAAACTTGTCATTGTATACGTAGGTAAAATATTTTCCAAAAGTTATTAATTAATCGATGAATACAGAGGATACAATTTTTAAAATAACTTTATAATTTTGTATAATGTACTTTATAATGTTTAATTAATATGTTAAAAGATTATGGTTTCTAAGTTGTTTAGGTAAAATTTGAATATCATTTTTCCACCCGGTAGTATAACGAATCATACAAGTAAAATAAAAACTATATTTACTAACAATTTGCGAAGCCTTCAACATTTTTAATATTTTCTCGTACTTAGTCCATTCCATTGGCCATATTTCTGTTAACATTTTGTGGATAATTGAAAAAAAATTCAATAGGTAGTTAAGTTTTTTACTACCGTTTTGACCAATAAGATCGAGTACTTCTTTAATTTCTTTTTTGTCATAGAACACTCACTTAAAAGTTTTCCATATTTCTTCCACGAACGTTTCACTTGAAATAGTTTTATGTTCTTTAACCTTCTCAAAACTGAATCTCTTAAACAATATAAGAAGTCCATATTATGTCAATGTAATTTTTTTAGTAAGGCATAGATTCAAAAAATATTAAACAGGATGATACATTAAGGATAATACACATTAATTATGTAAGTTTTTCTATTTGAGACAAAATTAGACCCCGTTGAAATTTATATTTTCCTGGTAATCTTTCAATTTTCGAAACTTACAATATAAGAAAACACTCAAAATTGTCAATAAAAAGAAAAAATAATAATATTTTAAAACTTAAATGGTGACTTTTATACTGAATAAACTTATATAAATGGGAATAATTTAATGACAGTTTTGTCTGGTCGATAATTAGTATTGGATTGTTACTTTTGAAGTAACAAAAGTTCTAATGCTATAAACTTCTTTTTCCTCATTTTTCCTTATTTTAAGTTAATAAAAATAAAACTTTAGATGGTTTACAGTTAGGAATCACTCTTCGGTGAGAAACACCTAAACAACGTACTCTTGAAAATCAAGATCACGATAGAAATAGAAAACACCCGTTAGTTACTATTAGGTCTAAAAGATTAAGGTAAGTTCGACTGAAAACAGCAAAACTAGTCGTATTTTTTACTATAATAGAAATAAAGAGCGGAAATTTGTAACAGATCTTCAGTCATCGACATAAACTGTGTATAATCAGGAAAAGTTGTAAAACTTGGGTATTTTATAAGATTACACAAGAATATAAATACAATTTATTTTTCAAAAGGAAAAACCACAAGATTCAAAAAATGCATCCCCCTGCAATAACAATTTTTGAGATGAGTAGTAGTTGAAGAACAACAAAAAAAGAGCATTATACCCAACAGTCGATGTTATCGCTATGACAAATATGGCGCGACAATTATAAGTTAAATCATTATAAGTCTACACCATTTGAACATTTATTGTAGCATCACACTATGATTAATACATGTAAAATAACAATTTTGACTTGTGTTTCAAATGGTTTATTTTGGTGTATATTTCTCTTACATCAGGTCCGCTTCTAGTAGAACAAAGTGGATACGTCAAGAGATGAAGACGCTATCGTGTCAACTCTGAAAATAAAAATATGATAAATGATGGCGCTCATAAAATAATAACGATAAGTATAAAAATATTTTTATGGATCTGAAAATATATCAGTATTTAATTTTGAAGTACCCGTTTAACCAACATAAATCATTTCTATAATTTTTCCAAGTAAAATATTTAGCCAAAATAGTGTTACCTTCATTGATTATAATACAACTAATGGTGCTTTTAAGTTGGAACTATACTTTTAATATTCTGCAACCTGTAGTAACCCGCATGACTGCAGACTACTTCGAAAAATTATTATATATTTATAATAGACACAAAATGCTTACGACTTTACTGGTAGCAGTTTCACTTCATTGCAAATGAATGGTTGCAACTGATTGTAAAAGTCGCTGAGAAACTGTTTAACTTTTTCTTTATCCGGCATGTTTTTACTATTCGCCGACTATAAAATATTAAACATGTATAAAATGTTTTACAATCCACAGAGATATATGTTTTATATTTATAAAATATTAATTCTTTTTTTAATTATTTGTAAGTATTTAAGTGTTTATCTTGTTTAATGTTTCCATGATGTATAAGACTATTACAATGTATCTATTGGAGCTTGCCGTTTACAAATTCTTACCGCTACTAGTAATTTAAAGGATTGAGATAGTGGTGAAAATTATGAAAAGTAAACAAATTGAAACTGTTAACCTTACATCTTATTCTGACTGGTCAATCTTAAGTTAATCCCTCTTACAATATTTTATAACATAAGTATTTCTACATAGATAGTTTTTAGGGGTGAGCCAGAGAATTGTCACATTGTCAATAACGAAATCCTAAAGCTAGAGGCAGAGGCTACATTTTGGCTGTAATTAAATATCATGTCAAACTTTATTTAGAAGCTTATATTAGACGCTTTTCGCAATATAAAGACAATATCCCTGCAAGATTTATAGTTGTATTAATGTAAGAAGAATGTGTGGCAACAAAACGCTTGAAGCTAACTCTTCAAGTACGCAAAAGGTATCCTAATCAATTTTTGCTACTGACAAAAACATAGCTATTTTTCAGGAATATTATTTGGTTTACTATTTTAGTATTTTGTCTACGTTACCTTGTAAAATTCTTTTTTGATCGTGGCTAAAGTGTCTAAGAATAATGTTTCTGCCTTCAAATTATACTCTTTATACTCAATGTTGCTGGTTTGTAGTGCATAAAGCTCTACTTTGGATGCGTGCATGTCTTGTTTTCTTAGCCGATCGTTGTATAACGCTAATTTTGTTTGTTTTTCCAATTTTTCAGAGCGTTTCATCATCTGTTGGTACCTTAATAGGTTCGGCTCAATGGTTTCAATCTTGTCCTTCATCACTTTTATCGACTGCCTTAACTCGTCCAACTCCTGTTGAATGACTTATTGTTAATTTCAACGATATATGCATAAAGTTTATAAAGCATAAGCCACGAAGCCAGTGTTTTTTGTTCTCTTAAATTAAATACTTTAATTACAGTTAGGCCAAATCGTAGTTCAAAAATTTTAATCTGACTATTGCCTGATTTTTAAATAAATCTAAATCCATACATTACATTACATTATTACTTACACAATTTATTCTGCCCTTTTTAATCATCAGCTCTGCGCTATCCATTTGCAGGGATTTGCCTACGCCGTGTAAATGCTGTAGTTTCTCGTTCTCAGCTTTAAACTCTTGGTTTATTTTTGTAACCGTAGTTTGGTACACTTGAAGCTGTAAATTGATGAGTGGTACTACTCTAAAGGTAGTTGATTAAGAAAGACTAAAAAGCTGTTACGTTTTTCATGATTTCGTTATTCTCTTGCAACACTCTATCCATAACAGGATCGGACTCTATGAATATTTTCCTCCTTATTTCCATGCCAAAATCGACCGCCTGCTTAATCTTATCCCTCTTGATTCTTGGTATTATGCAACACATAAGTTACAAAATTATAATATTTTTAGTGGTATTGTGATTAATCAACAAGCAAATTAATTCCACAAAACCGACTGTCCTAGCTTCGTTCGACATGGTTATTTGGGTAATCTTATGCTTACACCGTCTTGCTGTGCAAATAACTGTACTCCATGTCATTCAACCGTTTTTGATGAATTTCCTTTCTTCTAGCTATGTCTTCTTTGATTTCTTCGTACTTTTGCTCAAGCATTTCTTCTTGTTCTAAAAACTCCTCCAGTTTGTTCAACCTTCCCACTGCAATTGCATGGTGCCACACTAATTACTATTAATCCGCACTGGTTAGTATTGTTGTTTACAAACCGTACACAGCCGTTTTGGACTTGATGATTCCAGCCGTTTTATAAAACTCTGCTTCTTTTTCCTTCAACATTCCTTGAAACGAATTCATCATCGACTCTTTTTCCTAAACTAAGGCTTTATATTAAATCCCACAGTTTGCAAAAATTTTGCTATATAAAGTGATAGATAATGATTTTTAATTTAATATAAACATTTTTATTTACATTTTAGCTTCGATGCGGAGCTGAGAAAGTATTATAGAAGTATACCATTGGCATATTATTATATTATATTGGTATATTTTACAATGATGTGTGTTTTTTTTTTGTGTGTCTGTAAACGCGAGAACTATTTTCCTCTGGACCGATTTACTCGAGTGCGCCTCTATTTATCCAAAATCATATACGTTTGGTACATTGGTGGGTTAAAAGTCGAAAAACTCAACCTTTTCACCCCCAAAGCCGGTAAAACCCCCCCAAAAAAAATATCAACTTTTTTTTATAAAGGAAAAGCAAAAAGTCTTAAAATTTGTATATTGAAAGCCATTTAGGGTTTGGGAACTTGAAATTTTGTATAAGGACTATTATATGAGTACTATATAACTATACAGTTTTAAAAAAAATCCGTTCATTTATTTTTCCTATATTATTTTAGCTTCGATAGTATTGTTTTTATTTTTATTTCTATATTTGTGTCTGAACCCACGCAAAATCTTTTAAACCGCTGAAGCGATTTCGTTGTGTAGCAACTCTAGAATTCAGAAATTGTACCTGAAAAGTACTTAATTGAGCCAAAAACACATCCTTTCCTCTTCAGAATCGAGTAAAACACCCAAAAAATGTACATATTTTTCATCTTAAAATTACGATGATGTATAACATTTTTTAAAATAATCGAATTAGTAGGAATAGTCAAATTTATATGGAATATTCTTTTAACATAGTGCTACCGAGAAACCAAAACAAAATTATAAACCTTTTTTCAAACAAAGTTTTAGGGATTGAGATCTGAAATTAGACCAAAGGTAGATCTAGAATCCAACTACATATAACATATATAATTTTTTCAAAAACCAGAAGCCAAACTAGTTTTTTTTATTAAGGAAAACGCCAAAAAAGGCCGTGGCAATACATTTTTTATAGACTAACGATTAACCCTTTACGAATCCACACTAGAACCAAAACTTAATTATTAAGCACATAGTTGTTTTTGGTATAAATTATTTTAAAAAATGTTTAACGTAATGTTATATACTATTTTAAAATTGTAATTAAAAAATAGTATTTTAACAAATGTAAGTAATAATATTTGTATTTACTATTTTTAATTAATTTTATTAAATACTTTTACGACTTTTTTTGATAATTTAATTTAAATAGAGACAGAAAATGTTTAAACTGTACGATTAACACTATATTATTGGATATGACAGTTTAATAAGTATATTTAATATCGTTTTATTATTGTAGATATATATATATATAAACATAATGTCATAGTAAGACGGATGCGTTGGATTCTTAGGGGTTGAAACATCCTAGAAAATGTTTGAACTAAATGATTAGGTACGTATTTTTACAATAAAAGAAACATATTATTACTCGTGTAAGACAAAAGTACAACCAAAAAATAAATATTAAATTATTAACAATAGGGAGAAAAGTCCTCTTACGGTATATAGCTACTCAAAATTAATCGGTTAATTATAAATCATATTGATTAGTGATTAACAATAGCTAACTTTGTATAACTAAAAAAAAATATGTTTCGATCAAAAACTATACTTAAAACATTATACAAATTATAAATTATATATAGACGTTCAAGACGTAAAAGATGTTTGTACGTTTGAAAAACAATTTGAAAAAAAATTAATCCTATTTAACAATTTTAGTTACATTGCCGCAAGTCTCGGCAAGTTAATGTTTCAAAATAACTTAATGATTCATATTACAATCCATTCCAACGGAAATAACATTATAATCTACTAACTAAATGTAAAATTTACATAATTGTAAGGTCATTTAAGGTTTTCTGTGTATTGAATACTCTATGGTAAAATATTTTTTTATAAACACGTTTTACATTCTTGGCGAAAATACTTAATTTTTCAACACTTTCGACTAAACTGTTAACTACATCTGTACTTGGATTATTAGATGTGTTGCTTGGAATCAGTGTTTTATACTTGTTTGGATCTTGCAATTGAACACCTAGTTCGGCTTGCTTTGTCTTGATAAGGCCAATAAGACGATCACAAGACCCCGTGTCAACTTCAAGACGACTAAATCTCTTCAGATAATATTTCATAGTTTTGAAGTAATTAAAAAAGAAAACGAAATAATCATCAAACTTAAAAACGGTTTTTAAAGACTTAATAATAGAATTTGCGTGCTTTCTATTTATCGACTTGATGTCGGGCTTCTTAATGATTTCTACGATATCTAAGAGAATTTCAGATACGAGGAAAATTACTATTCGCGGTATTATAATTATACAAGCGTGAACGTGTTGCGGGTGCATTTGGTTTTCGACTATCTCAACAATTTCTCTAACCTTCAAGTTTCTACCGTCGTGCCACGTCACTTTGACGTCGTTGATAAACGAACCACAATATCCAGGTGTGATGGCTTTCACAACAATATCTTCAAACAGAAATCTACGGAGGTCAAGGCGTCCAGAGACTGTTTCGGCAAAACGCCCTAATGTGTTATACGTGTATCCATGAAACTCATCACTGGAAGAATCATCTTCATCGTCAGATCAGCATCAGCGTCATCGTCAACGTCAATGTCATCTTCATCGTCAGCATCAGCATCAGCATCAGCGTCATCGTCATCGTCAATGTCATCGTCATCGTCATCCCATTGGTCTTCGTCAGCGAAACTAAAATCCTTATCGTCATCTTCTTCAGAATCGAAATCGTCATCACGGTAATCGTCTCTTGTGTAAGTTTTATTGTTTAGTGTTATTTGTTCAATCACGTAGTCAATACTCAACAGTAGGTTTTTATTTTCTACTTGGTGATGTTCGTTCGCGTTACAAAATTTATTGATGTACAGCTGTAATGGGTTAGCTATCGTTCGATAAAAGCGGATAATAGAATCTCCTTTAAGCTGTATATAATCAAAGCTAATTAAGCTAGAGTCTTCGGTGTTTGTAACATTAAATATCTCCAAGTTGTTGAAGTACAATAACAGAGAATACATAGCTTCAATCATTTTGTAGTAGACACCATCACGATGCTCGTATACCAATTCAATAAACTCTCCATAAAACTGTTTAAAAATCGTTTTTATTGATTTATTACTATACTTTTTTACCTTTGAAAAACATTCAACTATTTCAGTATGATCCACGTTTATCATTTTCGTTGTTAAATCTTTACACTGCGATACTAAAGCGGTGCTTAGTTCAAAGTGTTTAGTTAAAAATAATGCAAATTCGCAATTTTCCTCAACTATCTGTGAATGTCCATCTGATATATTAAACGATTCGACGAATTTAAATTCAAATTCATCTATGACATTGAACTGTTCGTTCATAATTTCTGTGGTTACAAAAATTAATGGTTTAAACTGTTCAATAGATTTGATAAACTTGTCCAATATTTCGATATATTTATTTAAAAGTATTTCATTTGAAGGTTTTACGGTTAATTGGTTTGTCTGGAATAACATAGCGACATATTTCTCTTTGATATTTGATATTGAAAAAAATCCAGTAATTGCTTCTTCCATATCACGTCGATCATTTCTAATTATTTGTTTTAACTTAATGTTGTCCAATGACCAACTCAAAGTATTATTGGAACCCAAACTTTCTAATGTTTTAAACGCTTTAATTATATATTCATTTACTTGATCGGCTTTAATCGTTTCTTCCAAATGTATGTTTGTTTCAATAATATTCGATATTAAATAGAACATTACTGAACCCATACATTCGATTACGAGAGCTTGGTATTTAACGATATTGTCAGGTTGGTGACCGTTTTTTACATGTTCTCTTATGGTATTGAGACTAACATGTTCATCGAAGAAGAAGTTGATTAAGAGATGTTTCATAGCCGAAGAGTCAGCGCCTTGAATCAGCTCGGTATCCACTAATTCTGACATCATTAAATTGTTAATAGCAAATAAATCGCGCTTATAATCTTTTTCATCGTGACCCAAACTAGACGGATCCAATGCTTCGGCTGAAATACTAGCTTCAAGAAAGGTTCTCACGCATTTAATAAAATCGTCTAGACCATTTTCACCAGGAAAAATGCATTCGTTTTTAAGAGGAAAATTAACATAATCAAATGTTGGAGGGCTACAAAATTCTGTGGTGTACGTCTCCAAGGAATATCTCATGTATGAAGTCGTACGGTCATATTGTAATAGACCCTCTGGTGATTCGTCAAACGATTTATCTCTATTAAAAATTATATGAATTCCTAATACAGCCATAAAAAAATTCTTGTTACGAACCTTAATATATTCTGCGTAATATGACGTCGAACAAAGTATATCTAAGACAGTTATTCCGTAATCGTTAAAAAACTGTTTCAGTTGGTCATGACATGAGCGTGCCGATTGTTTATTTGATATTTTATTACATGTCTCGGCGATATACTCGACGGATCGAATAATCTGATAAATGATTTTGGCGTTATTACAAGCCAACGCAGCGGATGTCATTCGAGCAATTTCTTTGGCACGGTCTTCTCTAATTTCCCATATGTTCACGTTTTGGCCAAGAATCTCGCTCAAAGAAGTCACCTTGTTGTCCAACCAAACGTTCACGTTGCTTAAAGATTTAAGTTTAGGCGGTACATCGAACGCGTTAATAATGAATTGGTCGTTGGATTCCGAAAAATGTATAAATGAAAACAAAAATGAACATAACAATACCATTAACTGATTATTACAGTTGGAAACCATTGTTAACCGTTGTGTCATCTTGTAACTACAATAGCGAATACTGAATACCATAAATTGTATTCAGTATTCGCTAGGTTAGGTTACGCTAGGTGTAAAAATTTGTTTTTCTCGTAACCCAGTTGTTTTTTATGTACATTACACGTACTACATTTGAACAGTATAACAGAATTCACGTTACACAATATTATTATATACCTGAGTAGTCAACCTGTATTTCAGCTGATAATATAACAACGCCACACTTTGTAAGGTATATAACCCGGCGCATTGTGTAGGCACTTAAGCTGCTCGTGGGATGAAAACGGCTAATTCGAGACGTTTCAATGACGTCTTTACCAAACAATTTTGTTTATTCTTCAATGCCCGTCGAAATAAAATATTATAATATGATACCGGGTGATTATTTTAACGCCCTACAAATTACTAGCCGAGACCGTCTTCTGGATTAAGAAGAGCCACGACCAAAAGAAAGAAAAAAGGGAGCGCGAGATCCCATCAATTATGTACTCCTTTAAGGGCATCGCATATTCAATTTGTCGAAAATTATAATTCCACCTAAAATCTAACATTCATAATTCATATTACACCATCATCATCTATAAGGTTAGGTTAAACAAATATGTTCAATATCATTTTATTTTTTGTATTATAAAAGTTTTTATTTTTAATTATCTTTTCAATTAATTTGTTATTATTATTAAGGGGATTGCATGCAGTCTGTTTTTAAGGAGTTTTGTATAGGCAATATTTAAGAAAAACTAGGTTTTAATAAATGTCGACCATATCAATTAGTTTACCGGTTAATTTGTATAAGCTTCGACGGTTTTTTTTAAATTTAAATAATTGTATAGTCTTAATTATATTGTTCTGGCCAAATAAACAATAATCGTTTTGCTTAGTTAGTGTCGTTTTCGGGCAGCTACTTTACTGTGTTCTGTAGGAAGCCGGTTTTTATTGAAAAATTTCAGTTTCTTGTAACTAAATAATTTAAATTTGCATTTTTTTACATAAAAACAAGCAAAAAAAAAATCTATTCCCAACACGAATAAGTGAAGTTTCCAAGAACTCGTATACCGTACATAATTAAAATCGAAACATCCTAAGTAGTCAAAATGATGTCTAGCTTGTAGGTCTAAAACTTTAAAAAACAGACCTCATTCAATCCCCTAACAGTTTTTTTTTTATTTTATTGAATTATTTTATTAATATTATTTTTGATGCAACTAATGTGTATTAAAACGTCGCCAGCATGAAGTTACATAAGTATACATAAATAATTGTACTATGTAGAAATAATTTTAATGTTCCAACTGACTTTTAAAAGTTGTTCGAGTTGTTTTGTCAATTGATCATCGATTGTATCTTTCTCGTCCAATCTCTCTTTCATAAAATTAAAATCGTTTTCAAATTCTATATTCAACATTTTGTTTCTGGTCACATAGTCGTCGTTTTCTTCCTCAAAAAGAGCGTATTTTTCCAATAACCTACATTGAAGAAGTTGTCAACTTGGATTGTATTTAGTATATTATAATATGCCATCCACCTTTTTATAGTTTTATCTTTGGCTTCATATTGAATTCTAAAGAACTCCTTGTCAACGCCGTACAATTTGTTTTCATCCTTTACGAATGGCAAGGCAACAACTTTATCCACTTTTGGCGGCATTTTAATCCGTTAAATACAAAATCATATATTTTGGTAAAATATATAAATAGGTACCAAATTGTTAGATATAAAAAAAATCTATGATCAATTAAGAATACTTGATAACAGATTGTTGTAATTGCAGTCAAAACCATGACTACATAATACGTAAATATTATGTATTGTATTATTAAGATTTATAATATTACTATCTAACCTATCCTATTTCTTAAGTTGGAACAAAGAGTAAAGAATTTCATCAAGATTAGTTAAGTAGTTTCGGAGTTCATCGCAAACAAACATTGTGACTGGAGATTTATATATGTATATGTATAAAGATTATAAATCTTAATACCTAAATCAAGTCGTCATCGATTTTTTCAATGTGTTGTAACTAAAATAACAAAGTTACTATACTTACAAACATGATACTGATTTTTACAGCATTGAGTAGATAGATTGCAAGATAATAAACTATGAGTAATAAAATAGCCGAATATTAAAACACAACCTTTTGCATCCTTTAAGCAAAATCCAAAGTCCGAATTCAAAAATATAAATCGTAAATAATAAATTTAATTTATAGCCGTGTCTGTTTCAGGGGTTGTTTTTCTTCTTCAAAGTGTACTTTGTCTGCTTTAAGTACCGACAGGGTGTAATAAATTCCAATTTTTTGTTTGGAAAATGGTGTGATTGAAAGTATCTAATTTATCAGTAATTGTTGCTTTTTTAGAAACTGCTTAATGTGTATCATCGTCTTTTCTGTTCGCCTAATACATCTACAAGCTAAAAAGGGCAACTTTTAACTTGTTGTTCTCTATTTCCATCGTAAGTGAACTTGATGTTCGGGTGCAAGCTATTTAGGATTACAAAAACTTGTCGAGGTTCTCTTCTCCATGTTGATATAACACAAATGTATCAGCCGTTTTCCTCAGCTGGCAAAGCCAATTTGTAAATATGGATGTAACCGTTAACCATGTAAATATTTTTTTTAAAAAACCCTGTAAAAACAACAACATCTTTATTGTTTTTTGTATAAATTAATGTATTATCTGTAAGTTTAGGATATAGATAGCAATTAATATAAATCTATATAAAAAAATACTGTATTAGAAAATGAATAATAATAATAATACATATAACATGCAAATTATATAGCATATAATATAACAATAATATTGAGTGTTCTCCAATGATTACTCTAATGGGACCTAGCAATTTCCGAGAAATACTGCAATAAATCTTCTATAGAAAATTCTAGAGATATCATTGAACCTGGGTAACAGCGTTGTATCAGATCTTCAATGTATTTGTACTGTTGTATGAACTCTTCTTGCATAGCTCTCCACACCACCTAAATCCAAAATATTTGTATAGGCATTACAGAAAATTGAAACCCATGGTTATGTTTAAATTTTACCTGAAGTAAATTCTCTTCTTCACTGAGATGTTTTTCGACTTTTTTATAAAGATTGTCAAGGCCTTTTTTTACTTCACGACCGTGATATTCTTTAGTCACTTTCCTAAGCTCCTGCTTACTAAAAGCTACCTGATAGCCAATCTCAGATTCTTTGATGCCTTGTGCGACTTTGGCTTCGACTCCTTCGAAAAATAACTAAACCATTCCAATTTTAACGTATGATTAATGCCGCTTTATCAAATTATTATTATTATTATTATTATTATTAATTATCTACTCACATTAAGTTTTTCAAGAGGCCTACCAAAGTAACGAGTGACGTAAGCACTCAATGCTTCGTTATACTTTTGTTTTGCGTCCTTTCTGTACGGATCTAATGTTTGTATTTTCAACTGAGACAATAGTGCATACAAATGATGAAAATTTTCTAAACAAAAAATTACCAGTTTTTAGTATTGTTTAAATTATAATTTTTTAAATAATTTCTAAATACCCATTCTGATGACTTCGGCGGGAGTTTTAGGATGTTCGTTGGAGACCGAATGGATAGTTTCAAACACAGTACTTATTAGTTTTACATACCATTTATCTAAGTCAGCTCTTCGGTCTGTCTCTCTAAATATTTGTTCAGCGGTCTTTGCAAAGTACTGCGAAACAACAATATATTAACAGTATGGTTTATTATTTACCATATAATTTATTGCCATAACGTACAAAGAAGACTCATATACCTCAAAATTGGCTACAAATGGAAGTATGCCACACTTAGATTTTTTAGCAAATCTCACGTCCTGTATAGATTTTAAATGAGCATGCATTAGTTTGTCATAATTTCTCTTTACATGCACTAATACTGAACCGTAAGTCATGCTCAAAAACGACCCCGTATCGTTGGCGGACATCACATGACGGCCTAATCTGACCAACACGGCCATTGAGTATCTTAAAAACAATACAAAAAGGTAAATATTAGTTGTGAAAAATGAACAAAACAGAATTAACGAAAAGTAATCCAATTTACGTGCTATCCATCCTCTCATGGTACTGTATAAATGCAATCAATTCTGGTTCTATGCATGCGAAAATTTCTCCCATCATTTTCCTTACATCTTCATTAATTTTCTTTTCTATTTTCGTTTTTGGTAATGCAGGTGTGGAATCCTGGTTAATTTTTCCATCGACACTGTCCAAGGTTGTTTGCGTATTCTAAAAACAGTTATTTTAATTAACTAATACGGCTATAAATAATAGTGTAAATGTATTCTGGAGGCTCATGTACTATAAATACATCAAGCTTAGAGTAGCCATAATGATTAAAACAATTATGCGTTGTTGTCACTCACTTTAATTTGTGGGCTGAGGACATCTAGTTGGAAAAATGTAACACAAAAATTTTGTTCCGACAAACAAATTGGCTCTAACTCGGAGAGAACAGTCTCTAACACTTGATCAAACCTTTGCCGCTCTTTAGCATCACTCTCTAGTGTCCAAAGTTCTTTGTCGACGCCTAATAACCAATCGGATGGAGGGCCAGTTGACCTCCTTATATCTTCTTTTGAATTTGACAAATTACCTAAACAAAATTCAATTTTACATAGTATAAAAATTGTTTTTAACCCTTTCACTTCTTAGGTATTAAAAACACAAACGTGTAACATTTTTTTTTTTTTTGTTAAATTCTAAATTTGAAATACTTGAAGGGTATTAATTTGGAATAGAATCGAATCAGATCAAATGTCTAATCAATTAACAATAACACAAAATGTGTGTACTTATCAACAACACAGCACTAGTGCACTGGTTTTTGTGAACACCAACATTTCATAGCAGCAAAAAGGTTAATTAGGTACCTGTGTTAGTTTTTTAAAAATTATCTTGTGTCAATTACCAGCGTTAACACGTAGTTTTGCATCATCTAAAAATGATTTTATATCTCTCTCGTACAATTTGGATAAAGACATCGTATACACTTTTGATAGTGCCATGAATGCTTTACGGTCCATTGCTTTGCACCAATGCATTAATTCAGTATAAGCAGCAAGTTCACGATGCAGTGTAATATGTTTCATAATCGTCAGTTCTCCGCTAGAGTTCTTTTTGGATTCTCCCACGTCATTGCCCTAAAAATAAAATATTTAAATAAACTATTTAAAAGCAATTTTTTTTTAATAACAAACATTGCATACCATATGAATAAATAAGTTGTTAAGGTGACGTGAGAGAATTTGGGAAAATTTAGCTTTCCATTTTTCAAAACGTCTTCTTTGTTCTTGTATGGCTTTTAGTCGAACAAGAGCTGGATGTATCTGTGCATTCATAACTGCTTGTAACTCTTTTGCAGCTGCAATAGCATCTCGTAGACCACTTGTTGTTGTTAAATCTGCATCGGTTAATGCCAATTGATGTTTAGGAGAAAGCTCCAATTGTTGCTGACAAATAAATAAATATATATTTTTTTTTAATTATAAAATCTATTTGGTATCCTTTTTTTACTGATCACACTTACAATTACTTTCTGAAGTTCATTGAGTAGCTTCTCATTGTTACTATTAGCTGTTTGAATATTTGCGTTTTTCTGGTCCATCTTGTCTATGGTATCCCGAACATGCCTTAAAGTCTCATCGTAAGAATCTAAAGCTGCTTCAACTATTTCAATTTCAGCAATAGCCGTTTCTAGTTGATCCATTAATTTTGTAACTTGTGGTTCAGACGCAAGAACACTTTGTACATTTTCCTACATTTTATAAAATGATTAATTAATTTTAAAATAATAATTTAAATGAATCATTAGACACGTACACCATCTAAAGCCATTAATTGTGTAGCCAACATGTCTGTAAAAGCCTTGGCGTCTTTTGAGGCAAACCCACATTCCTTCATCAATAACTCTAAGTCCTGTTCTTCTTTTTCAGACAATGGTTGAAAATCTTCAGCGCTAACAATTGGTGATGCAACTGATAAAAATACAAAAACAATTGTTAGGTTTAAGTTCTGCCATACAATAATAACTAATAGTAAAATCCACGAGTCATACCCATAGAAAGTTTTGATTTCCTGTCAGCCGGCAACACCAGTAAATCTCCTGAAGTCCAATCAAGAGGCAAATTTTTAAATTCTGGTTTTTTGTCAAAAACACAGTTAGCACATTGCTATAAATAAAGATAGAATATTTACATAATTATTTAACAACAAAAAAAATTGTAAAAAAGAAAAATTCTATTAAGAGTTAAGAATCACAGTAATGAAATAGCAAACTATGGGCATATTGTCTGCTCTTTGACGATGTCAACTTATTTAGATTTATTTTTAATACTTGTAAAGTATAGTTTTTAATATACATTTCCTTTTAATCGAGTTATGGCTATTAATTTTTTTTTTATACTATACATATATATATAGGAGAAAGACTTCCAACAGTCAGCATAGGACTTTATTTTTTTTATTACATTACCAAAATTAATATTAAATAAAAGGGGTTAAAAAAGTTTTAAAATATTTTAACTTTGAAAATCAAAGCTCCTCATTCATCAGGTATTTCTTTGATACTGTATAATTTACGGATTGGTTCTTAGCACATTATTAAAACCGAATGTTGTTGTTAAACCAACTAAAAGTTACAATTACACAAGTCTTTGTATATATAAGAAACCCAGGTTCTAACTCAGAATTTTTTGTTGCATACCTGTGTATTATTAATACCCGTTCAAAATCGTAACCCCTAAAGCCAACATAATGGTAGTAAGCAAAAAAGAAGCAATAATATATTATTATCTTCCCTAATATTTTATGAGAAATACAATCTTTAATTCAACATACCTTCCACAAAGATATTAAAAATATTTTACGTTCTTGAGTATTAGTTGCTATCCATTTGTATGGCTTATCTAAAACCAATTCAATTTCTAGGCAGTCCTGAAAAAAAATTGTATTACAAATTTTAAAACTTGTCTTCAAATAAAATACAAAGTTGTATACCTGTGAAGAAGATTTTCCATCTACAACAGTTAATTCTTGAAGTGACCACATTCTTTTTTTCTTTACATTTTTATCAAACTTTATCTACAAAAAAAAAATCCAATTTTAATTTATTTTTTTTTTAATTGTATATTAACTTTTTTTTAGCAGGGTGATTTTCAGAGTATAAATCGATAAAGATAGTATAATGATTCCAAAAAATATCCTTAAATATTCTTAGCTCCCATGTGTTCCCCCTCCCCAATTTGAGCACTGAATATATTTATACAACATGTATATATATTTTTTAATTATTAATAACTCAAAAAAGGAAATTCACAAATGGATGAGTGAGCCCTTAGTCACGTTTCCTAAGCTACCCATATTTTATTTGTTTGATAACTTTTTGACTTATCTATGAGAGGACCAAAAAAAAAGCGATGGAATTAAATCACTAAATCTATTAAATTAGTGCTTATTATGTAACAACACTTATCATACTTGCATTTCTGGACTTGACTATGGTAAATCTATTACGAAATTAAAAAAGGAAGGATTACCAAATCAAATAACGGATATTGCCTAACTATTATATTTTACAATCTTCGACACTATCAGTCTATTCGGTGATACACTTCAATTTTTTTTACCTGATGAATAAAAATATTGTTGGGCAATTCTTTTGCGTCTGACAAACATAAATAACCAAATTTCTTCTTTTTTGCGTCATTACTTATACCAACGAATGCCAGCAATTTTTGATCGCATTGATCAAATATTTCTTGCTGTAATATCTGTCTAGCCGTGGCCATTATATGGACTAATAGCAAACTCTGGTATCTTCAGGTAGGTAACTCAGGTAATTTCCAAATAAACGCTACATTACATAGGTATTGAATCCACAAACCCGAGTTATAAGTTGTTCGTTGTCTAATTTTCGGATAGCAACCAAGTGAAAATATAGTATATATTATATAGTAAATACTAAATAGGGCCGATATTAAAATAATTGATAACTGATAATGTTACTGTAATGATAACACATGATAAAATCCATCGACGACCAGTTTATGAATAACCTTGTCAGCTGTAGGCGTTACAATGTTACATACCTAGTATAATTATTGTACTATCAACCAAGTAATGTGTTACTGTTATTATAATAAAATAGGTATAAATGCAAACACAATTTTTATAATATATTATAATCGTTTCAAACGCAAAAAAGGTTGTATTGTAGTTAATTTTTGAGTAATAATCGTTATAAATTGTATAGTACACTTATTATAATTTTTATAACATATGACATATACTTCTTCATATTCCTACTATAGTAGAATTTGATATATCTCGTTTGTATTTCTAAGTTCAGACCCATAAAAATCGTTAAATTTTTCGTAGGATAAATAAAATTTAATAGCTAAACATTGGATTGTCAATTTAATTATGAATTTTTATCTTCTACTTATTAAGTATTAATTTTCGGAAGTGTTTAAGTAGTTAAGATTTATGAGTATACAATCGTGGGTATACAAATAAATAAGAAAACATACAAAAAGAATAAAAACAAATTTCAAGGAAATAGAAAAATAAATTTTACGACTTCACATAATCTATTAAGATAAAAAATGTGTAATTGTAATTATTTAAATTTTACCTATTGTTTAAAATGACCGACTTATTAAATAATAAAATAACAAAATAAATAGAAATGTTGTAAATATCAGTGTTCAGTATGCAAGTGTTTTTTTGTCATGTATTTAGAATGCATAATTTATTATTTTTCCTATTGGCTATTTGAACAATAGTATGCATTGAAATACTTATCTCTATTTAACACATATTTCCCATTTATTGGTATTGGCTGTCCTTGGTCTTACTCATAATGAGTCATGGTATAAAATATATATCTATACAAACAAATGTAAATGCAAGAATTTAGGTAGGTGCAGTGTCAAAGTAATTGTAATCTAAAAAAAAATGGTATACATAAATACAAATATACAGTGTAATAATATTTCATATGAATGTAATATTATATTGGAACATTAAAAATAATTTGTATTTTACACATTTTAAAAGATAACAAATGAAGTACTTTGTATTTTAATAGTCAATACATTTATTCCCATCCTCTACTATACATAATTAACAAATACAATTAGGTACTTATTCTAAACAAATATACTAAAAATACCCTGTTGTGAACGGGACGGATTTAACGGTAAAATTTTAAATGCTAATTCGGAACTGAAATGACCTATAACTTATCGACAATATCATATTTAGTACGTAGGTCCAGGGACTGCGCACCTCTGCGGTTGGCCATCTTCTTTTCGGCAAGCTGTTTTCTTAACTCTGCCGCAGTCATGTTTAAATTCAAACGGTTGCCAGATTCATTGGGTGACACACTGCCGTTGTTGTCGTTACTCTTGTTGGTCGTTGCTTCCAGCGGATGCTCCGGGGCTTCCAGCACGAGGATCGCACGCTGCAATGACGTGTAGCTTACCTGCACACCTCTGTCTCTGTAATACTGGTCCGCCCGTTTGTCCAACACCAACAGCTCTGTAGTGTTACCCGAATCTCCTTTGCCCCGGCGGATCCTCTCCACCACTTGGGCGTGCGTCTCGCCTTCGACGTTGTGGCCGTCCACCTCCACTATGCGATCGCCTTCCCTGAGCCCTGCAGCCTCAGCCGGACTCCCTGAGTCCACTTTACCGACATACTGGCCGGGAACCTTGGCACTGACGTTGTTGGTACCGTTGGCGGTTTTGGCTTTTTCCGCGTGCAGGTTGAATCCATAACCGTCGAATGCGTCGGGCCACGTACGCAATTTACACAACCGTATGGTGGGCTCGACGTCGTTGTCTTGTTCCGCGGTGGTCGACATCGTTGAAGGATTCTCGGTTTATTATTGCAGAAGCGATGGGCGACGGCCAACGCCTGAAATAAACACTCGTGTGTGTGTGATAAGAACGAATCAAATAACGTATTGTAAATTATAATAATTTGCACTTGCTTACAACAGGTGTGGCCAACCTGACACCATACACCACGAACCTACAATGAGGCATGAGCCATGAGCTGATATTTGTATGGCACGAACCAGTAACAGGTTGCGGTCTGTTAACGCGGTGGAACGTAGCGATCTACCTGTTGTTTGTAACAAAAGAATATGGTATGACTGTCGACTGCCGAATGATGAGTTCTGCGCATGATCTGGTGCCTGCTGCTGTCTGCTACGTGTTGCGTCACTATGTAATCAAGTCCTATGAGTTATGAATTATGAGATATGGCTTATGCAGTATGCTGAATTCACATTTAACTTATTGTTTTTACCCGACTGCACCGCGCTATGGAGGGTTATGCGTTTTGTGTTAATTTAGCTTCGACAGTAGCTAAGACGGTATTATTTTTAAAACGTATATTTATTATTTTTAGATTTGAGAAACACGAAGATATTTTTACCATTGGTTTTACAATGAGTGTTTTTGTATCTAGCAACTTTTTGATAACTGGGCCGAATTTATCTTGTATATCGCATAAAGTTTATAGATCAAAAATCATACACTTAGGTGTATTTAAGCCAAAAGTTGAAAAATGTACAACATTTTCAACTTAAAAATACCTACGACAAAAAATCGAATTACTTTCATAATTCAAATGATGGTTTTCCTAGGACTTAGTACTACTGTATACAATCAACACAAAAAAATAGCATTAACCCTTTCTTTCAAAAAAACATAATGACAATTTTTTTTTACCATTTTCTCATGAGAACAGCGTTGAGTCATTTATACGATTTATGATTATGTTAAATCGTGAATATGGCCCATTAAACTTACATAATTATGATCAAAATTATGTTTAATATTTAGGTAAGAAATATTTGTTTAAGGGGTAGTTTTTATTAGGTACTTTTGTATAGATTTTATTTTACAATGTAAAGCTTAACAATTAAAAGAAGCATAATTATTATTATTAATATAATGTATACATATTTAATTATAGTAATTGACAGTGGAGGGGGGTTACGGGGGACTGAGTACTAGTTTTTATAAGTGGTGGTTTTTTGGAGGTAAAAAAAATACCGGGTAAGCTCCTTTTTTAATGTAAAAACGTTCCCCTACTTTTACTTTTCCATTTGACATTGGTATGGTAACAGGTAATTGTGTTATTCATAATACAATAAGATGAATTTTTTAGTACCTTGCAAGGGAATTAGAAGTGAGACATCGGAATTATCTAAGAACCTGTCTGGTTTTTATGCCAGGAAAATCGACGATGGAACCGGTGTTTTGTGTAATACTGCTTGTAGAAAATTATAGATAGAAGAAGTAAAGCCTAGTATGTTTTTTTGATAGATTAGATAGAGCAGGTGTATGAAATACTATAATAGCTCTGCTGTTCCAGCCTTCAACAACATTATTTGTCCTGTGTCTTTTTTGAATCAGTTCATAAGCAAAAAAAAATTAACGAGTAATCGCAAAAATTCCGACCGCATCTGTACCGACACCTCATTAATTGACTGTGCAGTGTGCTAAAACTATAAAACATTACACGTCATTGTCATATAAAATTCATAAAAAATGTTTCTTTTACTCTTTAAAACGATTAAGACTTTCTGCTGACATAATTACAAGTCATGGACAAGCAGGCTTTAAAATGGTATGCTTTTTTATACACTTAGCGTAGGTATGGCTAACATTTTTAAAAATATGATTAGGATGTCGTTAGAATATAGCTTCTATATCTAACTCCTTTATAGCGTAAGATTTTATATAATCTAGATCTAGGGGTTCTTAAAAAAAATGTAATTACCAAATTTAAATTTTTTTGTTGGCGAAAATCGGAAACCCCGGTCGATTATGTATGGGAAAAAAATATCCAACCCGAAATAAAAAAATATTAGATGACAATGTCCGCAAACGACTAACGAGTCATCCTATAAACGGTAAAAAATTGTATTATGTACACGAACGAGTTTTCGCCGTATAAAGAATTAGTAATGGAATAATAATTGAAATAATTGAATATTCGATTAATACAAATAGTTGTATTTATTCAAATTAATTTTACAACCATTCGAGCATTCGAATCCAGATTACAACCCTCAAAGAAAACGATATAGATAATAGAAAAACGTATATTTTAGGCGAGTAAGTTTATTTATTATAACAGAAAAATTGTAAATGAAAATGTATTTGTTGACATTTGTTTTATTCTCTTTATTCTGACTTTGAGCGTCTGGCAAATTCGCCAAGCTGTCCGCATTGGTACATCAATGACAAATGGGGGTGTACCATAAGTGGCCCATTCTCTCCGTTTGCCTGCAACCGTTGCATCAAGTAAAAATATGAAACATAGGTTTAATCATATAGGTAATCAAATCTGCTAAATAAAATAATGTGGGATCCGTAGAATGGCAGGTCGCTCAGAGCTTTTATTTTTCCATAAGGTTGCCCACCAAAAAAAAAATTCAATCAATGCTAATCTTCTTAGTACTTAACTGAAACTACTACCTAATAAGAAATTATTTGTTTTAAAATTATGTGATTTTTTTTTTTTTCATATCAAATCCCAAGATTAATAATCACTGATAATTTTCCACGCAGCATAGGTATACTCAAAAATTGTATTTTATGAATTTAATTTTTTTTTTAAATTAAATATGTTTTCCAGAATTTAACAACCATTTTACACATTTGAAAAAATGTTTTAATTATATTTTTTATTGTGTTATTCTCTCCGGAACTTTTAGTATACAAATTGAATTAATTTGTTCCGAAGAGAATACCTCAGTTAAAAAAAATGTTTATACCTTTTCTTTAAAACGAATAAAATTATTATTTGATTCCGGAATACATATTTAATTTTAGAATACTTCTTTTGTTAAAATGTGAATTTTATCCTGATCCTTGACTGAAAACTTTAAATAGTAAAGTGTCTAAAATTTGTAATTTTGTAAGAATTAAAATCACATCATACTTGTTTAACGTAAATTTGTTTTTCTTCTTCTGACATATTGTCCCAACTGTCCGATATGAGTTTTCGGACATAATCCGTTGGCAAACCAGGTTGTGTCCAATGATACAAATTCATAGTCTTTTTTACATAAATCCTCTTTGCCTCGTCATGATTCCATCCAGATTGTTGAAGTCTCTTAGTAATCGGCTTGACCTTGTATACATTTAAATATATTACATGGACAACATTAATGTGTTATGTAAGGATTTAATTCACAAACAGTGACGTCATTTGGAGGGTGACAGAGTGGATAGTCACAGAGTGGCTCAGTTTTGGACCAGTAACGGTCACCGGTATTATTGCTTATTGTATTATTATATTGGTCCGGATACACGCAAAAATCACATTTTTCTCACTAACCATAAATACAAATGTTTTTCAAAATTAAATTCTAATTAGCGAGACAATGTAGTTTTATCCGCATATAACATATTATTGATTATATAAATAATAATCTTAAAATTAAGACAAGTAGGGGTCGCCAGTATCGTTATGACAACATAAAATAATTTTGGCTCGTCACAGAATTTTCGCTTCTATTTAACTTTCAAACATTTAAATAACACCTGTCACCACTGTTAACAGGCGTTATTATAAACAACAGAGCTTAGAATACCGCGAAGTTAAATACCATAGCTAACGTGCAAGGTCCTAATAACAAAAGTTTGTTTTTACAATTTACTTTGCAGAATATGCAATGCAATGACATGAAAACAAAGAAAACAATAGTTACATGGGTAAAAAAATTTAGAGATTAAGATCGAAGAACATTCTATTTTGTAAATAAAGCCGTGGAGAAAGAGCCAAGAGGATTTGTCTGGCCTATCTATCGTATTTGCATTTAATTGGTGAAGAAAAATAAAGTACTCATACCTTGGTTCTAATAGGCCAAAAATGTAAAAAATTTTGAAAACAAATTACCTTGCGCATATTAGGATGAACGGGGAAATTTGCAAATGCAATTGATCCTGGTTCAAAGTTGTCTGGCAAGCTAAAGTATCTGGCATCTGGTGTTTTTTTATGCGGTAGAAATTTCTTGATGGTATCCACGTTTAACTGGGTTGAAGAAAATGACTAAAACGAATAAAGTTGTTTCAACAATACATATATCATATATTAGGTACTGTTATGTAAAAACTAAAAATACAAATAAACGATAAAATATAAATTAAGCATGTTTAAGACATGTAGGTGACAGTGAATTAATCGTAATTATTTTTAAGATAACTACCAAAATACTGTTATTTCCAGAAAAAACGTTTATAAGTTTAATTGTTACCCAGTGGCCAGTGTACATTAAACAACATAAAATGTCAACCTAAATCTCAATAATTCGACTGCCGTAGCGAATAAAATCTTAACTTAATTTTTATTAAACTGGAGTTGATATATCAAAACAAATAGACAATAGTCCTTCTTTATTCTACCTTTAACAACAAAAATATTTTCAAAAATCGGAATGGGATTTTAAAAAAACTTGTACAAAAATACATAAAAAATAGAATAAGTTATCAGTTTAAATTTTATTTTTACTCTCCTTAAAAGTATGCCGTCATTTTAAGATGAATAATGTGTAGATTTTTTTGGCTTTTTCTCGGTTTCAAAGAGGTAGTGGTAAATTTTTCCTACTTTTGTCATAAAAATGTAGCTTTTGGGTAAGAATTGATGCGACGAAATGAAAAAAACAGTAAGTATTTAAAAACAAATGCTATCAGTTATTAGTTCCTTTTTTATGATTTCTAAAAGAAAAAACTAAATTTCTAAGCTTTGCATGTACCGTGTACAATTTTTTTTTTTACAGTAGAAAATACAATTTTTATTACATAAAATACCTACTATATTAAATAAACGAAAAATACATTTTCTCCGTTATACGATAAAACATAAAATTATGCTTTTTTTCCTAATTCTATATTATAAGAAATTTAGTTGACAATTGAAAACAAATTCGACGTTTAAACACCTTTATCAGGTTAAATAGCAATTAAATGTTATTAGGAATATACATTTTAATGAATTAAATACATTACCATTTCGTCGTCCATAATAAATAATTGTCGAGTCTTAAATAATTTCGAAAATCTAATGGTGTTTAGTGAATCAAAAATAATGAAACATTTACACCATAAAAAGTTAACATCGTTTTACCAAATTATCTTAATAAGTAAAAAAGCACTATAAAAAGCAGATACCTTATATTATGTTTTTACATAGAGAAGATTAAATCAAAGAAAATACTTAATGTAAACAATGATTTTCGGATGGAGGCGCCATTTTCTCTTTTATCCTAAAATTATATTTTTTCATAACTAATGTATAGAAATAACATTAGGTACACTGATTGATAAATGAGAAGATGACCGCCACGTTTTTTACATGTATTCTTTATTTCGATGGTAATAAGTAATAACTAATAAGTATATCCACTTCAGCCTGGTTCTTCTTCAATTTATTTTTATCCATCGATGAATTCAGTAGGTAGTACCACGGGTTTCGTAGCTATTAGCTAATCAATGAAATTGGTCGACACTCGGCAGATGATAATGGCTAGAGCTGCACAGTCTCCGTCTTTGTTTTGTACTTTAATTTTCGGTCATAAATTAATAAAATAGCTAAAATCAACGGCTTCTATTCCAATTTCCATCGACAAGAGTCCGATAAATTTCTAAGTAGACCATAACCAGCTTTTGCTTCAAATTAAATTACCCATTTTTAAATATTTTAAACTTGAGAAGTGCTTTACATACGAGCATATTATAGCGATACTATAGAAATATGTTTAATATAATATGCGAGTACTACGTTGTCATTACAATTGATGATATTTTTAATCATAGTTGTTAAATATCACTTTGTGGTTTAAGTACAGATTTATTTGCAAAAAAGACCAAGTTGAGTTAGGCATGCGTTTCAATCTTATCATTTCGACCAATCTAGCTCCGTCTCTCTCTTATTAATTATTATAATACGTAATGTTTGATTCATCGTAATACGTTGTCTGTCGGCTATATGCACAGTATACATTAAATCAAATTCACTCTTCAGTCTTACATATATTATTAAATTTATATTGTCATCTCAAATATTATGTCATATCTTGTATTATAAAAATGTATTTATATAGTTTAAAAACAACTAATCAAAATTGATGCATAGTGTATGAAGAAATACAAAAAATAAGTTCAATATTTAGATGTCATACAGAGAATCGAACCCGTCTTTTACCTTATTTTTGACATCAATTTGACATCAATCTGTTACCAACATAATTTTAATAATTAGGCATAGACAATTTATAATATATAATTGAATAATAAAATATAAAAAAATACTCTTCAACAGAAAAATGTTTCATTTTTTAGCAGATGACTCTTGTTTTTAAAAAGTTTAAGCCCTTTACACACAATATGATCTGGTCGGTACGACAGGATAATTTGGGCAAATTAGACCAAATTAGGTCTGACTAAAATTCTGTCGGGTCTTGTCAGGTGATCATGTCATTTAACAGCCCGATTGACTAAATGCCACAAGTTTATCACGACCAGATTGTATTGTCGTAGAGACCTTAAATACTGACCATTCAAATGTATAATTTCCACTAAAAATTATGTACTAACTTATAAAACTTTTAAATTGTTGATGAAATCTTGTTTATAACAATAATATCATAATGTGGAGCCAGCTAGATAAATTAAACTATTCTATTACTACTAATAAATGATATTAATATAATGGTATTACTACTAGGTATTATTAGTAATAGTTTAACAGAACTGGCTATTATAGTACTATTATAACATGCTAACAAAAAAACAACAAAAAAACACTTCAGTAACAGTAAATATCAAATAATAAAAATTTTCATTATAACAAATTGACATAATATTTATATTTTATACATCACAGAAACTCCTACGATTATGTTTGGAGCCATTATTTAGTGGAGTCAATACAACATTATTCTTTTCACAATTTCCTTGCCACATAAATCCATTTTTATCGATCAATTTCATCAATCCCACTGGAGAATTGTTAATAAATGATAATGGATATACATTTCCAATACTGGGTAGATAGAAAATTCCACTTATATATTTATGTGTTTTTGACAACAGGCCATTCAAGAACTTTGTTTTATCTTTAAAAATAATTTCATCCACACTTATCAAGATATCTCTTTCCCATTGACCTTTATATACAGTACCATTTTTCTTGATATAAACTCCATAACCTACAAAAATAAATAAAAACATATTCAAGAAAATTCCTTACTTTAAAAATATATTAAAAATATGTAACCATGGTAAAAAATATTTGGTGGATTGAGAGTAGCACGAAAATGTCCAACATATATATCCCCGTTTGGAAAATTAAATATATCATGGCCAACTTGTACACTCATTTTTAAAAACTTTAAAAATAAATAATTTATATGAAATTTGTATACAAATTAATAACAATCAAATTTCAATGAAATAAAATTAACTCTTAAAAAAAAAGTGAATTACATAACATTATACATTTTTTGTAACTGTGGCAACACAACAAAATATTAGGACCTTATTTAAATGTTTTATTATTAAAGCTGATATGTAAAAAATAAAAACTGGATAATTGACAGATTAATTAATTAATTCTTCGTTATGTTATTTATAATATTCTAATACTGTGAAAAATTATTCTCAAAAAATGTTCACTTAGGTTGTTATTGTTAGGAAGCCACAATATAGAACCACAAATGATAATGTATTTATACAATAAATAAATCAAATAAAACTAAAAAACAAATATGGAACGCAACCAAAAAAAAAAAAAGTTATGATGTATATATTTTTCTATTTTTTTTGGTCACGTTTCATAACAATCATTTGGACAAAGCCAGAAGTTTAAGCACCCGACTATAAAGAGTAGATTTGACAAAAAAACATGAAAACCATTTAATAATGAATATTGTTTTGTTGTTTTGACGGTACGTCTCACTCTGTAGTCTAGTATGCATAAAAAGTTGGCGTTACAAAAACATCACACTGTTAGTGGTAAAGAATATACATTCAGTATGGGACCTTGTGATTTGAATGTCTGATTACGCACAATTAGTACACTTTAGAGCGTACTACCTAGTAAAAGCATCATCTTACTTTAAAAGTTTTATTTCTTTCGTCGCAACAGACATTGCACACCCAAGATACTCAGGGCAGTGTAGACAATAGTATACCAATTTTAAATTCATAAATTAATATTTACTAATTCTTTAAATACTTACTTTTCATTTTAAGCTGTTATATCTAACTGCAATGGTGGTATTAATTTCCAGACATGCTGTTTTAATGTTTGACATTGTAAATTTAATTTGTACTGACCAGGATAAAAAAACACCACTCCACATTCATGATACATGCTGTCTTGTTCTTCAACCTAAAAAAATGCTAGTATTGAGTAAAAATGACAAAATTAAAATCTTTACTGAGCTATTCTTAATACTGACTTTTGATTTATACGTTTTAGTACACCCTGTGGTGGCTAATCTGTTTCCGAGCTGATAGTTTGTAGTACCATTTAAATAATCTTGATAGAAATTTAATTCTAACGTTACCTCATCTAAGGCAGACCTTAAAGAGTTATGTACCCAAACTTGTAATTTCAATAATTGGCCTACATTAAACTGTGACGACTCTGGTGATAGTTTCTCGTTACATTCGCTGACAATTTTTTCTTCATTCAAATTGATTTCTTTAAAAATTAAAAATGTTATTTTTAAATAATACATTAAAAAAATTAGTCTATATTTTACCCCAATAAATTGGAGATGTGCAAACAATGTCTAACATTTGAGGGCACAATGTAAGCCCATGCAATTTTGCCATGCCCCACCTGGCTGGTAAATCATCACAAGAAGTAACTGACCATTTCAATGAGACTTGTTCAGCAATATGTTTACTGCATTTAATAACCATTTCAACTTGACCATCTTCACTATTAGAAATCTAAAATAATGTTTTTGTACTATTTCATCATTACACAATATAATCTCAAAACATTTACTTACTTGTTCTAAACTATGAATTAAAAATCTGTCTACTGGAACTGGAATACGATACGATTCTTTCTCTTCCATCAAAATACTTTTGTTTGTTGCATATTTAAGTTCCATCTCTTGATTAGTAACATTCACAACATCCAACACCAAATAAAACTGTGATCCACTGTAAAAAAAACAATATTGATGTTAATATATTTTTAATATAATATAGTTACAATAAAAAATATAATAATTTATTTAGCATTTAAATGTTAGCTTACGTTTCTGCTTGTAAAACATCCCATCCTGTCACTAAAACTGAGTTAAGGATATTAACTGACAATATACATGGGAATACTCTACAGTATCCAGCAACCATTCCTTCACCTCCTGCATATTTCACTTTAATATTAAATTCAAGCATCTAAAATACAAAATAAAACATTTTAAATAACTGTTAACCATATGTCCAACATAAAAAAATATTTTGTCATATAAAATATACGCCAAAGAAAAATAAATCATTTTTATTAGTACATTAGTTGTTAGACCCGGCCACGCCCAGTTAGGCATTTAGTATTTCTAACTAAAAATAAATCATAAGTCATAACAGGAGTCAGACTGGGCCAATGTGCTTTACCTGATGTCAACTGTTAAAAAATTCATAATTAATTTTAGATATTAAATTTATAAGCAAATGATAGTAATTGTAGAAAAAACTGTTAAGTAAACTTATGGTTAAATATATAGTAAAGATATAAAATCTACTTGAACCCTAAACCATAAAAATTATACACTTCTTGCATACACGTGTTACGACAACAATGTTGTCATCTTCAGCGCTAGAAATTGGACTTATCAAATTTGAGCTCAGTAGGTGGAAGAAACCTAAGAACATAATCTAGATGTCACAGAGTAATATAAGACCAAATCATTCTTTCATATTAGTGGAACATACTTGCATACTAACTAAACTATATTTAAAGTTAAGCACATAGAAAATAATTATTTATTTACTTTTAATGAAGATGTATCAGTAGGACTTCTGTACCTAGAACTATTTGAATTTAAACTGCTCTCTCCAGATCTAAAAAATACAACAATTTTAATAAACAATATAATGTTAAGAGTAATTCATAATAATTAAGTTTTTTTACCGAAAAGAAGAGGCAGTCATAGGAGAAAATCTATCATTTCTCTGTCTAGGACTAGGAAAAGAAGGATACGAACTTGGTCCTGAAGTAGTCAAGCTACTCTTCAAACTATTTAATTCTAAAAAACAAAATAAATATTGTTTATACTTATATTACTGAAATGACACAAAAATTATTTTTTTTAATTTTTAAAAGTAAATTAAAAAATAATTATTAGACAGGTTTTAGAAATACCTGGGAGGGGAAACTGACTACTTGACAAAAAGTTCAAAGCACCGTTTAATTGCAAACTCAAGATAATTTCCGACTTTGGATCTAATGGTAAACTATCCGTAACAGTTTTTGTATCTATTTGAATTATGTTTTTTTTTAAGGACTGATCAATAGTAGATTCAATGGAAACTTCTAGCAGCTCTATTGGTATTGATCCAACATTTGTTAATTTAAGATTGTAATCAATACTATAAATAATTCACATTAAAAATAATTTAGACACATATATTTTTTATTAGTAAACCTTTCGCCAGCAAATAATGTAACAGATGATACACATTCTCCATTTACATCTAAAATTTGTGCTTCCATTTGTGGCATTGAAGGAATAACTTGAACATTATAGTTTGATACAGGCACATTTGGAATATTTTTTAAGCGGCAATTCGATTTTACACCCAATGTGTGTGTTGAATAACCATTAATTTCTATTTCACCAACTTCTTTAGGAATACCAGTCAAAACAACACTCTGAGAGTTACATTCTGGTGGTAAGTTCACAGAATATGGAATACTTTCAAAAACAGCACCATTAGTCAAAAGAAGCTAAAAATACAATTAAATACACTGATAAGAACAAAAGAGTAGTTTATAATATTATATCAAAAGTTAAAATACATAACAACCTTTAGTAGAAATCTAATAAAAAAACACAAATATAATTATTACTTAATACAAATCTTTTAACCACAAACAATACCCACTGTAAGTAAAATACATAAATAAGGACTTACAATATTTGTGACTTCTAATTCTACGTTCAATGGATTACTGAGTTCAAGTATAACTTCACATGGCTCATCAATAACCCAAACATACTCCATTTTATTACTTTTTACATTATTTTTTTCCATTGATCCAAATTTCAGAGGCGTAAATAAAAATGGTCCGAAATCTTCCTTTACCTTAACTAGTTTATGTGGTCTTAAAAATACTTTTAAATTCTGAATAGTGAAATTCCTAAAAAAAAAGTAATAGTTAACATAATCTAAATAACCCTTTTTTTTAGTTTACTAGTTTAATTACTCAGGTTGAGGTATATTTAATAAATTAGCGGGTGGTATAACTAAACCATTATCCAACACTAATGGCACTGGGGATCCTTCACATTGAGCAGACAACACAGCCAACTGTGTAGCATAACCACTTCTTTCAGCTTTATCCATCATCCACCACATGGTCTGCAGTAAAAATGTACAATGCCTTGTTGCCAAACTAGCATTTCCAACTCGTTTTGCAGCTAATACAATTTCATTGACCACCTGCCTCTGAAGTTCAGGCCAACCTATTTGTCCTCCAGGTACATAGTCACTGGGGTCCAACGACAACTTGTGACCAGGCAACATTTGAAGCAGTAGTTGATAACATTGTTCCCAAGACGTGTTTGGATTGCTAGCAGAAACATAACGTTTTGATGCAAGCCAATGAAAAAATGATGCTTTACGATGAAAACCGATTTCAGAATATAGTTCAGCCAACTTCATTAAACGTTGTATCTGAAATATAATTCACTATAAGGAATTCATTAAATTACTAACAAGTTATAGTAATTATTACTTTTTCTTCATCAGTTAAAGTCAAGTTGATAGGTAACACATTTTGTAAAAAATAATGAACATGAATACAGTGAGAGTGAACAACTGCTATCCTTGCTGCTTTCAAACTTCCTTCAGTCAGTACAACACCAGCGTTTAAGTACTATAAAAATGCAATTGATATAAAATAATGAATTTAAAAAACACATAATACAAAAATTGTTTACGCTATTAATATAAAATAATTCAAAATAATATTAAAAGAAAATACTTGCCTTACTGTAGTGTATAAGTGCTTCGCTATAACTTTTATATATTTCATCAATGTTAAGAATATTTTGAGGTATTACAGATCTAACAGCATTATCATCTAAAGAAGCAAATCCTGTACTTGATGATAACGGTCGGAACCTAAGAAAAATAATATTATAAGAAAATAAATTTTAATATTAGTAAATAGTACTTAATACTTGAATCTAGAATGGCGTTCTTGGAGTGAAGCATTTCGTTGCAATGTGGTTTTGGAAAGCTGATTCTGAGGTTGTAAGATCATCAATGATGTTGCACACAATCCTTCCAAACAACCTTAAATATTTTATTCATGTACAGTACATTACATTTATATGCTATACATTATTACATTTAGGACAAAAATAAAAAATGTTAGATACCTCCGAGCCAAAGCCAATCATTACAAGAACGCAATGTATCTGTCGCGGTATGATAACAATTTAGAGCGTCATGTAACAATCCAGTTTGGAGATTTAAATCAGCTAAATGCTTAGTAACACGTCCCATACAACGTTTCTTATTAGCTCTAGATTCCATATCCAATCCAATTATGTTTCGCTTTTCAAATGGAGCTATCAATAATGTAGCTTTATCCAACTGCAAAAACATTGATATAAATAAATTAATTAACCTTTTCTTAATTTTTTATAATTTATATTACTTTTTATGCCAATTAAAAGTATACAAAAATAAATGAGGGGAAACAAGTCACTTAAAAGTTACATTTAAAGTCATTAAAAGTTTGCTGATTTTAGAATTGCAAGACAACCTGTGGTACTACCAAACTAATCATTTTTCCTGATGCCTATGCAAAAGGGTAACAGGGATACACTGTTAACACCTATTAAGGATAGGATTTTTTCTCAAAATACTTTAATAAATTATGCAGTATGTGTTGGTAGGTAAAAAATATGAAATATACATTAGTTTCACCTCTCCTGTGAAATTGTTAATTTAATTTCTTAAACTACATTTAGCAAATTAAGTTTACCACAGGCTAACATAAATAGACCTTTTGTGGGAGCATTAGGTCCTTAGAAAACTAGTCTAAAGTCAGCCTATGAAGCTGATGTTTCCCTTTCTCGCACCTTTCCTTTATACCATGGTTTCTTAAAACTGTGACCTTTTCCTAGACTGTAGTCTTCAAACTTAACCTAACCTAACCCCACCTTTACATGCAGCCCACTTCCATGGCAGTGAGCATGAAAGTTGACAGCGCGAGTGTACTCCCTCCAAAAGCGATTTTTTGGGCAGCGCGAGCAGCAGCCTAACCGGCTAATGTAAACAATGGGCAATGTAAACACTCACTGCCTACGACGCTGCCACTGAAGTATTTTGGGAAGTAAATACAGCAGTGCAAGGAGCAATGGCAATGGCTGAATGTAAAAGTGGCATTAGATACTTAGGAGTGCTTTCATTATCAACTACCTACAACATTTAAAATTATCTATAATATAATATCTATCTCATGTTCCCATTCATTTTTTTTCCATATTTGTTAAAAAAAAAGGTTACCAATATAATAAAGTATATTTGCTCTTTAATTTCTTTAAAGATAAAGTAGGGGGGAAAATACAAGTATTACCTATTTATGTCACGGTTTCTTATGCTTTTGATGTTTAATTGTTGCTATTTAATAGATATGATTCAAAGCTATACCTAATCAATAAAATGGTAATTTTTTTTTAAATTACTATATTACCTTATAAAGAGCAGTGTTAAATGTTAGAGATACAATTTTAAATCAGTGGTTATATTATTATGTTGTGAAATTCATGAATAGTATTAAAAATAATACATACCTTCTCTTTGGATTTTTCTAATCTTTTTGCATCCAAAACCCAAAATAGAGAAGACAAGAATTCATTCAAATGCATTTCAACTGAAGGATTAGGATCATTGTCACTAGAATAATAAACATCTCTAGATTTGAAATTTGATGGAGTGCTAAATTCTGGACAATTTGGAGCGTTCACACCAAATATAAAACATCGTGAATCATACAATGTCGACTGGTATTTGACTTTTAAACTCTCATGTAAACGACATACTTCATTTAATTCAACTTGTAATTTACATTTAGCTAATAACATAAATAATAATAGTTATATATTAATACCAAGGGGCTTTAAACCAAAAAAAACCATAACACGGAACACCCGTTATTTAAGCAAAACCCCATAATCCAATAATACCATACACTAAGTATTAAAAAAAAACAAATATGTTTAGATATTACTAATGTAATAGTAATTTGCATTAATATTAATTTGAAAAAAAATGTTTATTTATTAATGAAATAAAAATTGTTTCGAAAGTAATCAAAATATTTATTAAATACATAAAATGTTATTAAAATGTATACTAATTTAATAAATAGATTGAATATTTTTTTTTATTGTTACACAAATTTATCAAATTACTAATAAATAATTTTTAAGTTGTAATTTTGGCCTCTTAAGTATAGAACAACCAATATCCATATAAACACCAACATAAATTAGTATTAAACATTTTTAAAAACTCTGTGATGACAACACCCATAAAACTGAAAAACCAAAAGCACCCAAAAAAATATTCGCTTCAAAGCACTTTAAAAAAAACTAAATTGATTTAAATTATTTAAAATGATTACTTACATACAGTGATAAGACCTAAAAGGCGTCTGTGTGTTTGAAAATCTCCCCAATCATTGTTTCCGACAGGGTAGTCTTTAATATATCTAGCCTGAACACAACGCTCCACTCCAGTTCCATCGACTACACGCAACTGGTTGACACGGCAAATACGTTCAAACAAACGGTTAAAACTCTTTGTTGATAGTTCTTCACCTTAAAAAACAAAGCCCAAAACAAAGAAACACGTATGATAAAATATACCAATATAAATAAATAAAGTATTGACTTATAAAATGTTGTTTACCCAGGTGTTTAACCAAAACGAGTAGAGTGCTGTGATCGTACACAGTCATCTCATAATCTGGGTGCGACATATTTGGATCCTGTGTTGGAGTTGACAAAATGGCACTGACTGAAGATCGCATTGATCACTGAGGAGGAAATATGAAGTGCTGTTAGCGAATTACATGTAAAATAATCAAGGTTTACTTTTACTCACCAGATTCGGAACTTGGCGTTAAATGAACACAAATTGCTGGTAAGCAATAATCGTAAATTAATAAACCTATCTAAATGTTTTTTAGTCACCTATGGCGTAAGCTGTGGCCGATCTAGACCGTACAACGACGTGTTATTAATATTTTCAATAACGTTCATAACTCAAATGTGCAACATAGCGTAAAAGGCATTATTATTATTATTTACCTACTACCGTTTAAAATGTACGCATTCCGATTGTGATTAATGATAATAAACATTGGGCCCACGATAAGGCGTCAACGGTCGGCGACACGATAACGGGCCACAGGGTAATATTATCCGAGTTGATAGTGGTCGTGCGTATCATGGGGTATGCGCGTGTGTGTGTTAACAAATTCAAACAGCAAACGGGATTCCCGTTGTTGTCGACCACCAAAAATAGCACACGTCAAGCAAAATAGTAAACACGCATACCCGTGCGCGGAGCGGTTCTATTTTGTAATAACAATATTTCAACCATTATACTCCCAACGATACTATGATGCGCCGTGCATCAGATAGTTTAGTACATGTCCAAACATCCAACTCAACGATTGATATTATAATATCGCACACCGATTGCCGGGAGTTGTCGTACGCGGTTGTCCTGGTCAATAATTAATGTTGATGCTTTTCGTCGTTTCTTATTTCCCGCTCTCATTACCCACTACCGTTTCGCATATTTTCACGAATTAATACGTCTCACTGTATAGTCATTACCATCATGAGTTTTATCATTATACCGTTGTTATTATTATAGTTCTGCACGATGATCCTCCATGACGGAATATCAAACGGTAACGATGGACTATGTCAACATAAAATCTATGATCGGGCTGCTGCGTTTTTGCAAAATTTACCGTTGCGGCTTTTCAACAAGATTTCGAAAGAAAACCTCGACCACATTGGCGGTTCACCTCGGAAAATGGTCTATCACTATTCCAAGAGATTCCCTAATATGTGTATGAGCTCTTCGTTTTACGACGACGTAATGAACATCGCAGAAATCCACCTTAAGTATTATCGTAAGTACACCGAAAGCATATTTTTTAAATATTATGTTGACCTAAACGGGCCCCCTAATTTTATTTGTACATTTTACAGTTGTTTTACCTTAGCAAATCCCACTTATTGTCATGAATGCCCGGAGGCCTTTATTTAAAGTTAAATCAACTTACAAGCCTAAAAATTCTCAATATATGTACATACATAGGATAGGACCCCCAGGATACCGGGTAAATCCCAGTAAGCCTTTTTTGTGGTACTAATTACATTTTCTAAGGTTTGATAAAAAATTATTCAATTTCAGTCAGTTCTGTGTAAGTAGCTTTAGGCCATTTTGTATATTATGTTACCAGTAGCAAATTTAACCTAGTATACCTAGTTTCTTGAGGTATGTCAGAATATCATACCTGATTTAATTTAAATTTAAAAGATTTTCAACAAATTGCTCAGTTAAGCAAATAATGATTTAAGTATTAAAAAAATCAAAGTCAGAAGTGTTTTTGTGGACATAACATTAGTGGTAAAATAGAATAATTTAATATTACCTAATTTTTAACTTCAAGCTGAGAAGGTATTGTTTTTTCAATATGTTTTTATTTTTTGTCTCTGTGCGCACAATATCTTCTAAACTGCTTAACTGATTTCTTCATTTGGCAAGTATATGGATCAAAAATTGTAGCTAAAAGGTATTTGGGCCAACAATTAAAAAAAATTCACCCCTTGCTCTACAAAATGTCAAAAATAATGTATATATTATTCAACATAAAATTATTTAATATTTCTACTGTTTTCAGATACGTTTCAAAGCATTTTTTTTAAAGTGATTCTATCTTGTTAAATTATAATAATTCCTGAAAACTTGTGACCCAGTTCTCAATATGCCCTGTTCTCAGTATGCCCCAACCTCACTTAGAGGCTTCTTTTTTATAATTTATTTTTATTTTTTGACAGAAACTCGATGGTTTGATTTTGGCCAGCTCTATGTACAGCCATCAAATAAAAATACTGGTCATTCATGGAGTAAACGCCCAGCAATACAACCATTACTGACACCATTTACTCAAACTATAAATTACAATAGTAATAATATTAATATAAATAATAATAATAATAGTAGTCAAAAAGATTATTCAAATAATCAAAGTGTAAATGTCAACTTTCCTAATAAACTAGTCACTCTTCTAGTTCCTACACCTAGCCCAGAAGAACCGACTTATTCATCTAATTCACCTTTACATTTTGAAGACACGGTTACATCTATAAAAACACTGCCAACAAATAATAATGATTATAGCAAATTGATTGAAGAAAATAATAATAAATTACACATCATCGATAATGATGATGAAATAAAAAGTTCCAGTATTAGTTCAGATGGTTCCAAGTCAGACTTTGCAGATGAAAAAACTATATCTTATGCTGAAGTCATAAAACATCCTAAACCACCTAAAGCAAAAAAATCAACTAGAGTTCATACAACTGAAGAATACAAAAGAGATGATCCTATTAAATCAAATAGAATACCTCCATCCAAAAAAGTATCAATTAAATTACCCGATGCTCCATATTTACCAAATAACCAACACTGTGCTTTCTGTAAAAACAATGGCGAAGAAGAATCTGTTTACAGGACACATTTTGTAAAAGATGAATTAGGAAATGTAAAATGCCCATTCTTATCAAGATACACTTGTCCACACTGTAAAGCAACTGGAGCAAAAGCTCATACAATCAGCAGATGTCCATTAAGTAATAAAAATAGGTCGAACAAATTCAATAAACAGTGACCAGTTACAATTTTTTTTACATTGTTGACGTTTAATATATATATATTTTTAAGTATTGTTTTATTAATTTATTGTTTCTTTTATCTATTAGAAAAAGTCATAAGTTTTTATAAATTACTTCATTAACTTTTTTATAATTTATTCCTTAAGATTTGATAAAAAGCAAATTGAAAAATGTGTGTAAATTCGGACAATTATTTTTGTCATATATATTTTAATCAAGTTTATTATGTTTCTATGTTTTAAGACTAAATGTTTTTATAATTTTAATTAAAATATGTTGATAAGTGATATATTTAAAAAGCTTGAAAGGCTTTGTTATTAAAAAAAACAATTCATTTAATTTTTCTTTTTTTTTAATGCCCTTTTAAATGCCAGTTTTTTAAACTAATTTTTCTTTAGTAGTATACATTCAAGGTATATTATAGTGTGCAAGTTGAAGTACAGTTAAAATATAATCTCATTTTTAAAAAAAATAATGACTAACTCATATCAACAAACTGACGTATTTTATTTTAATTTACATTAACGGAATATAATAAAACATTCAAACAGAAAGCATTTTTGAAAGATTCTTATTGTTTAGTAGTTAGGTTTGCCTTGTACACAAAATTATGTAACTTCAGTATGTTCTGGATATAGAAGCTTATTTTTAGATCACATAAGAAATCAAATTTTATAATTCAAAATATTAGAACTTTTTTTCCATGCATAAGGATTTTTTTAGTAGATTATTAGTAAAGTATTAGTACACTACACTAATGTGCATTGATAATTTTTCAAAATTGTTATTAACAAATATTGTATTTAAAAAAAAGATTTTAGGTTGTCTAAATAAGTTGTAAATGGTAACATGACTGCTAATATACCTAATAATATGAATGTAGATAAATAAGATTGCAGTTAAATACAAATGTAACAGAAATGCATGTGATTTATATATTTTGTTCATATCAAAAAAACATATTTTATTTTAAATATATAAAGTAGTAACAAAATCATTCAAAACACATTTAGAGCTATTTAAAAAAAAATATGAATAATGACTAGAATAGTAACTAGATACTTGATTGCAGCTGGTTCAATTAACAGTTATATGGTTTATAGAACAATATAAAACATTAAAAACATGAATAATTATCCTTATGTTTTTTGATTTTTTTTATCTTATTTTTTACATTAAAAATAAATTAACTAGACAGTCAAGCCACTAGTTTCATGAAACATAGTTTGTAATAATCATTATAAACAAATACAAATAATGTCAACTTTTTACAATTTAAATTTCAATATAAATCTTAATTATGTCACAAAAAGGAAATGTAAATATTACATTTTATATACAACATTTTAATAAAAAAAATATAAATCTCACATTATATATCTATAAATATAATTTATATTGGGACACAATTTTTATAATGTGCAAATATTTTTTACAAAGTTTATTATATATTTATAAAAACAGTGTAAACTGTTCATTACAATTATTTTTGAAAATAGTGGTAACACCGTGTTTATTCATTTAAATGTATTTTTGTTATACATATTTATATAAATAGGAAATATATTTATACTTCTTAGACACAAAATGTTTAAAAAAAAATAGTATTCAGTATTAAGTCAAAAATATTAACTTTTAAGAAAAAATGTCTTTAAGTTGGTGAACATATTGTAAAACCCTTTTATTTCTAGTAAATTACTTTATTATGTTTATAGTTGAAATGCTAATAAAACGATTGTTTTTAGATCTGGTATTTTAAAATATTTTCATGAGGTAGAACCTCATTTTAGGAACTAACTTGTTTTGACCAAGCACCGAAAGATAACTATTATAATATGTATTTAATATTTATAAACCAAGTGATTAGTCAACTATGACCCAATCAATAACTTAGAATATATTACTTTTTTAATTAATTTTTTATACTTTTATAATTATTAGTTGGGATGTTAATATATTTTTAAAAAAATATAACCCATTACTTTTATGTTAAAAACCTTATGAACTAAGTTTTTTCAATTGTAATGTATATATTTAATTAACTTTTTAAGTTAAGAATATTTTGCTGAACATTATGACTGGTCCATAACCAGTTTTGGATAATTATTTTTGAAGTTACAAAAGTTTAAAATAAAGGAAGGGTGGAGAGATGTTTTTTTTATCTGTGAGCCTACTCAACCAAGTTAAAAATAATGATCCAAAACTGATTATCGACCAGTCAAAATGTTCAGCAAATTATTTTTAATTTAAAAAGTTAATAAAATAAATATGTTTCCGTTGAAAAACTTAGTTCATAAGGTTTTAACATAAAAGAAAGGGATGGGATTATATTTAAAAAAAATATATTAACATCCCAACAAATAATTATAAAAGTAATATATTCAAAGTTATTGACTGGGTCGTAGTAAACCAATCACCCGATACATTAATATAATTCATTTTATGCCAGTACTAAAGGATTTAACTTATCTGGTATTATTATTTTGCTTCTAGGTTTCTTTTTCTCGTTATGTCTATGTGGAAGAGCATATTTCAGTTTTTCCCAAAACAGATAATCGCCCCATTTCACATAAGTGTTCATTGATAAATAAGCTTTAAGTTCAGGATCCAATGCTTCTGTTGGTACATCTCCATAAAGAATTATTATGACACGGCTCCGTCTTTCTTTCAATGCACTTGAATGTGCTGTTCGAAATTCCATACGACCCCATATACTTTCTAAAAAGTTGGAAGACAATACAATAATAGTTCTTCGAGATTCGTCAACTGATCGAGCGATTTGAGCAGGGATCCAATCTCCCACAACCCAATCTCTACTGTGTAAACAGAGTTTGAAAGAGTTTTCACCTCCCTCTAAGCCAGGAATCAATTGTTTGGCAACAAAATCTTCATCTTTATGAGAATAACTTATAAATGCATCGTAGAGTTTATGACTATCAATCGATTCTTCTGCCATTGGCCACCTTATGTGATGAGCATACAACCATACTTTAATTTCAATTTTATAACGATAATATATGGCAAATAGAAGACCAAGAGATAAACCAATAAGTGCAATACATATTGATGTAGCCATTAAAATAGTAGATTTATGGCACAAATCATCAACGAGTAAATTTTGTAATAGAGTCGACGATGAACAAGTAACATTGGAATAATCTGTAATCTTTATAAAATGTTCACAAAATATTAATACAATGTATTATAACTAAATAATTAATAGATTATGTAAAAAACAACTTACTTTATATGCATATTTATGAAACAAAGAAATTGTATATTTAGTCTCACAGTTGCAAAGCCATGGATTACCAGCTAAAATTACACGGTTTAAGTTGTTGAATATTTCTGTATCCGACGATAAAGATGATTCAATTGATTGTAATTCATTATGACCCATATTTAGTTCCTTAAAATAAAATTCAAAAAATATATTCTCAATTTAATTTTTTTTTTTTTTACTAAGTCATTGGTGTAATTGATTTAAAATTTTAAAAACCAACATAAATCAGAACACGAAATATAGTAATGTTGTGGTGATCTGATCCAACGTTATAATTTATTTAAAATTACTTTCTGAGTACAGATTAATATAACATAGTAAGCTATACTTAATCTATTTATAATCCTTTCATAAAAATATAGTATAATAAATTATTAGCTTCAATGCAGATCTGAGCAAGCAAGTATTAATGTGTTTCTTCAATACATCTTTTAACACATATGACTATTTTAAAAAAAAAATCGAAGCATTTAGTAATAATTTGCCTATTTGTAAATTTGTACTGAGAGGAGAAGAACACATGAATTTTTTTATTTTTCTCCAAAGAAAATAAAAAAAAAAAATTCAAAAAGTTACTTGTAAAAAGTACACTATACCACACTACACTACTATACATAATATACTATCTTTATTATAATTTTTAATTCTTAAGATGTGGTTTTTTTTTTGTTGAAAAATAAGCATTAACATTTTGAAAAATCATCATTGTAATACTATCTCTTCACCAAAGCAAAATTCAACTTGTAATATAATAATTCTTTTAATATTATGACTTGGTAATTGAAGGTAGAATTCAGGATAATTATTATATCAACTTACGATTAACTTTCTTGGTAAGCATGACATGTTTAAAAAATTTAAACTGTTATTTCCAACATCCAATTTCCCAATGTTTACACTAGTGTAATCTGGCAGTTCTGTAATCAAGTTATTTCTTAAATTCAGCTCCGTGTAGTTGAGATTTTTACTAGTAATAATTTTTGTAGGTGCAAGCTTTAAATTGCTGTTAGAACAGTTCATAATTGCTGAATTATCAAAAGGCCGATAAGTGCATATACACTCCGAACAATCTGTTTTATTTTCATCATCAAATTGGTCCCATCCACATGTCAAGCTATCCAAACTAACGTCTTTAAAACTCATTCCATTATTGCATGTCAAATCCTGTTCAATTTTAAGATATTTGTACATATTGTCTGTCATTAATTTGTGTAAATATCTTCCAAATTCATAGTTATCACAATCACAAGAAAATGTATGACTTGATAAAACGATTTTCTTTGTGTTATACATTGATGTTTGTGAATTAGCGATAACATCTAATCCAGATAAATTAACTGTTTGTAAAGGATTTGAGCTAAAGTCAGTCTCAATGTGAACAAAATACTGAAGGTCTTCAATACTCAGTTTAGATATGTTGTTGTTTGATAAATTGACATTCTTTAATTTTACCAGATTAACCCATCCTGGATCAATACTAGTAATTTTATTATGAGCCAAATCTAAATTTTCAACATTCTCCAAGTACTGTAGTGAAAACTGTAAATTTGATGCCAAGCTAACTATTTGATTATCAGCCATTTTCAATTCTTTTAATTTAGGTAAATTTAATGCTGCATAATCAAAAGTCCATATTTTGTTTTTTGCTAAATTCAAATTAACTAGATTAGTTGAATATTTTAAGCCAGTGTTTATCCGTGTAAGATAGTTTCTAGACAAATCCAACTTCTCTAACTTTTTTAAAGGTCTAAACAATTCTTGGTTAATATCTTCAATTAGGTTTTTAGACAAATCTAACTCTATAATGTTCTCAGAATCTTGAAAAAGTAACACAGGTAAATTCTTTAAGCGGTTTGAGGATAACAATAGCGATTTAATATTTCTTGATCCCCAAAATATATTTTCTGGTAAAACTTCTAAATTCAATGATATCAACGTAACAATGTGTAGTTGATTTAAATCAGTCAAGAATTTGTTTGGTATAGTAAAATTTCCATTTTTATAATTTAGAGTTTCAAGGGAAGTGTTTGTAAATGGTTTATCCTTCATTCTAGTTAGGACATTTTTGTTAAGATAAAGATGTTTAAGATTATTTAGATTATCTACATCTATAGCAGTTAATTTATTATTACTTAATTCTAAATGTATTAAACTTTGAATTTTTAAACTTAAAGTAGTCAAACTATTAGAATCCAAGTTTAAAATCTTTAATGGAATACCATTAAAAAGATCAGGATCTAAATTTGTCAATTTATTTCCGCCTAAATCAAGTCTTTCCAAAGCAGTGAGTTGTTTAAACACATACTTAGGTAAATGATCAATATTATTACTCCTTAAAAACAACTTTATTAGATTTGGAGTTCCATTGAATGTGTCATTAGTAAGTATTAACTTTGAATCAGCCTTTGAAACACTAATTTCTAAATGTTTGACATTCTGCAGGTTTGATAAATAAACACTTCCAAAACTACTGTAAAGTTTTATGTAATTTAATCTCATTATTTGAAAGTCATTGATACCCAACAATGAAAAGGTATGGCGAAAACCTCTATCTGGTAAATGACAATTTTTGTAATCAATTGTTGTGATATTTATTTGGTTAAAAACCTGATGCCACATCATTTTTTCTGATTGACACTGTATTTGAACTAATGAATGCATAGATTTTAATTTGACGTCTACTGAATTATTACAAATAACTTCCATATCGTCGTGGTCCATACTCATTTGACAAAAACAATTTTCATTTTTTAAACATGTCAATTCTGAGAATGCCGGACTTAGAAGATAAACTACAAGTAAACTCAATGTCCAATTCATTCTGAAATAAAACAAATAATTCATTGATAAGTATTATTACAATACTAAGTTCATAACAGGTTTACAATACGATTACATTCACATGTTATTGAATATAAGTGACCACATGACTAGTTTACCTTGAGACTTTTATCAAAAATACCAACTATTAAGAAACATTATATTATAATTTGTATCGGGATAGTTAAATAATAAAACATGACTTCAACCAAATTATGGAAAATTTAATTAATCATATATTTCAAAAACTGATACTGTGGTTTTAAAGAATAATGCTCAATACCTACTTTTAACTATTAATAACATTATTACGAGTTTGTAGATTACACATATCTACATCTGCATTTTGTCATGTAATTTTATTAAAAGGCCTAACAAACGAACAAAATCAATTATAACAAACATAATTTAAAAAAAAAATATGTATTTATAAAAGGTGAAATGTTTTTTTTTTAATTTATAAATTTAAGATTGAGTAACTGTTTAGTACAAAAGAAATCGGAGTTTGTTTTAACACAAATGCAAATTTGTAGAATTAAAAAAAAACAAATATTGATGAAAATTAGCAATGCTAAAAAAATATTAATGTTCAGCTATAACATCTAAATGAAGGTTGGTTTTCTAGTAAAAAAATTTAAAGATTATTTTAAAATTGTATTTCATTAAGCTTTCTAATTAAAAGCTCAAATTGGGTTTTTAAGATGTTTTATACTTTCCCTTAAAATTATACATAAGAAAACAAATCTTGAATAGTAAATTTAAAAAAAATTTATAAATTATTTTAAATAAGTTGATTTTTTAAGTATTTTCATTGTACCGGCCGACCAAACATTTATTTTTTCTATTCAAACATCTTTTTTGCTAATAGCAAGAGATTAAAAAATTTGAATAAAAAAAAGGAATAGTATATTATATTCCTATGCTAGATAGGTATCAAATTTGATTCACGCTACACAGCAAAACGACCGTTATCCGCTCAAACCACACACAACTACACAAGTTTCAATTTATAAGGGGAAAAGGTTATAAGTCAAAATGAAATATAAGATATGTATGGTACATAATTGAGTATATTGGTATGGAAAATGAAAAGTGTTCATAACTTTTAGACATATTTAGAACTAATTTTGATGGGTTTTAAAATAATTACCCGACTCGGGTAACCCGAGAATATTTTGAAAAAATGGCACAATAGATAATGGCACGATATATGGTTCTTTATTAAAAATTCAAAAACAAAGTTTATCTTGAAAATTAAATATTAAAAAGTACCTCGATTTATCAATTTTATTTTTATTTTATCATAATATTATAGCTTCCCATTTGCTGATTTCAACACAAATACTTTGATAAATAATATTATAACATAAACAATGTTAAACAAATTGACTCAATTATTTTATTTTTTCATTTCTGTCTTCATAATAATATTATGGACATGTCACTGATAAGGTTCCACAAGTCACAACAGTATCCTAAGTCTAATATCTTTACGTAGGTATATAATATTAACATGAACTTACGTTTCTCCGGGCAATCCGTAAAACGTTGACATTATAATAATAGTTGTATTATTTATCTACTAGTATTTGGAATGTGTGGGCGCAGTGCAAAGTTCCAATAGACAAAGATATACCGTCACCTTCCTGTCGTTCAAAGGCATCTCCATACCGCCAGCAAGTTAAATACAGAATATTGGTCACGACACACCATTCTGATTAGTGCACAAATGTTAAACCTAATATTAGGCTGTATATATATAGTCAGTCACCAACTACATACAAATATCATTACACGACACCAATCACAATATCCTGTCCACTATTAAAATTTAAAAACAAACAAAAAACACTAAAGCGGCCGAATATACTATTTATCGTATCGTAAACGCTAGACAGATAGATATATGATTTTGTAAATTATTAATATTATTTTATTAATAATTTAATATATCCGTAATTGTAATTTGTATTTAAAACAATATACTGTACAGCACGCGATTAAGAAAAAAATATTTACGATTTAAGACGCAATTCACACACACTCTGTTATGAAATCAATTGCACACTAACAGTAGTGTTGTTGCTTGTTAGTTGTTACATTCATTACATGGACAATCTGCACGTAATAATAATAGGTCCGGCAGAGATTTGAGGCCGCGTGTCCCCTCTAAAGCACAACCGGTTTCAAATCGTTCAATGTCCAAGCATGATGATAGTATGGTATAGTCTATGCGCACACACCAAAATAATATACCTCTATATAATACCACATACATTAACATATTATTATTATTCATACATATACAGGGTGTCCCACAAAGATAAGACAAATTAAATAACTCTTGTTCTAGTGAATATTTTTAAGATTTTTTTTTTTTAAATTAATTTATACGCATTTGCGCTATAAGCACCACGTTTTTTATTGCTCTTAACTATTTTACTATTTTTAATTAATTTTTTTTCGTTACATTTATTTTTAAAAATTCAAGATATCCATTTTATTAAGAATAATTTGCTAGAAATGTTGACAGGTCGACAACTAGTTTTGGATAATTACTTTTAAAGTTATTTAAGTTTAAAGGGTAGGATGGGAGGTAGAAGTAATGCCGAATGCGTGCAGATAAAAATAACAATCTACTGCACTCCACCTCCCATCCTACCCTTTAATCTTTAATAACTTAAAAAGTAATAATCCAAAACTGGTTATTGGCAAGTCAAAATTCTCAGCAAAGTATTCTCAATAAAATGGCTATCTTAATAATAAAAAAATAATTTAAAAAAGTAAAAGTTAAGTGCAACAAAAAAACGTGGTGCTTATAACGCAAATTAGTATAAATTAACTAAAAAATATTCTAGAACAAGTTTTTTTTATTTGTCCCATCTTCGTGGGACACCCTGTATAGTAACTCTTGGCTGTTACTATTCGTATAATTTTAATATTGTGTATACTGTATACTATATACATTCATCGTCTCGCACCAGCTATATTCCAGCGGACATAATATACCTCCATATAGAGAAACAAACGTCCGACAAACCATTAAAAACGAGTATAATGACAACAACATTTCAATAATATTATGATAATGGGCGATGGTGAGAATACAGTGAACACGAACAATATATTAGTATTGCCAAATAAACGGTAAACTGTTGTAGAGACTAGAGCCGCGGTTTGTTATAGATATATCTATATGGAACCATAAGGTGAGTTAACGAACATTTTTATTGCCCACCATGGTATTCGCTGTAATAATAATATATTCATAACGTCAGGAGTCAGTTTACCTACCGTGACCCCAGCTTAATATGACAAAGGATCTTTGCACGCGATTCTCTAGTTAGTTCACGTGAAATAGATAATATTTTATTTGTACACATTATTAAACTATCTTTTTATATGATACGATTATAATATAAGCTGTTACCATTTATTTTAGAATATACAGATAATAAAAAGTATAATACACAAAAACGCAGAGATGTCTTTACCCTAAGGGTACGTGGGGCACTGGCCCCCGACCTGATGGAACCCCGAATAATATAATTTACATTTTTTCTTTTGGTTTTCTTAAAGAGCCCCCAAAAACTCTGTGTGCCCACGAGGCCCCCGCGTAACCAAAGACGGCCCTGCAAAAACGACGACTGATTTTAAGTGGCATTCCCGGTGGCGAAATTATGAAGAACCGACAAAATATATACACGGTTCAAAATAAGAAGCGACCTCGCGGCTATCTGAAAGCCACGTAAAAAACCGGGTTTTCAGGTAGCCGCCGAGGTCGCTTCTTATTTTGAATAGAGTATAGGTTTATCTCTATTTTCTTAATATATGCAAATTTCCATAATGCATTAGAATAATAAAATGAAATCGCTCGTTTATTTATCTGAAAAAAGGTATATTCAGTATTCTTAAAATGTATGAACGGTTACTAATTAGCAATTAGTATTGCTATTCCCGCTGGCAGCGGAGCCCAGAAGTACCCTCGTCATAGTTTATGGACGGGCGGATGGTAAACTATGAGTCTATGACGAGTACTTCCAAAGCCAACGGGAATCCCACATACAATCTGTGTATTCTAAAATCAATGCTAATTAGTAATTATTATAGATAAATTAATACACTTATTGCATATTTCAATGTTTTTCTTTAGTGTTAGTACCATTAATGCAAATCGCAGGAGTCGTAGGGCATCCTGAATTTTAAAGCTAGCACACCGAATCCCGTGATTATAGTACCTATCGGCTATATTTCCATTATATATACAAATTTGAAATTTTATTTAATTATTTGTTTTTATTGTATATTATATTTGATTTTTTTATAATCATGATATTAACGAGAAATAAACATATTTATTTACAGAAACATTGGTTAAATACAGAGAGATAACCTACGTCGTGTTAAAAGTCAGCCGCTCATAAATGGGAGCCGAACCATAGAAAGCGCTAAATCTGTAGTTTATTTGATCGAAATGGTCTTTTTGTATTTATTTTTATTTACATTTAGTTAAAGTATAGCTGAACTGAAGATGGACCCTGCAAAGAGTCCGAAACGTTGGTTAACAACCATTGACGCGGATATATCCGAAAATTATTCATGTGATAAAGTATAACTGTTATAATAAAAACAAAATACTTTGTTTTTGTAAAAAATATTATTAAATTTATTCTTTATAACGATGCATAAACACAATATAAGTATAGGTCATAGTACTAAATGTGTATGCAAAAGATTATCGGTTTAAATTTTATTTCTAAAATTTACATAAATGAAGGTTATATGTATGGGAAGATTATAGAGGTCGGATGGGATCAATATATCTGTTTAAAAATAAGTTCTTAACAGGAATCCAACTCAAAAACATTGGGAGTGAAATTGTCACCCTACAAAATGTTTAAAATACAATATCAATATATAAGTAGGTACCTAAACACGTTTTTGTGGGCTATATCCCCCTCCCCCGATTTTTACCCATGTCAACCAGTCCCAAAAAGTTTGACTTTTATTTAGAATTCTCATATACGTAGTTATACAATAATAACAATATGAAAATAATACACAAAATAAGTAAGAATATATGTATTTTTTTACGTCAATAGCAACGATGAAGTAAGATTTTGGTGGCCGAATTTTCTTTTAAAGTTATAAGCCAAAACTTAATTTAAGTACTTTAATTTTTTCGAAAAAGACGTCTCTACTCATAATTTTAAAAGTAAGTCTTTGTAAGCTTCGTTAATATCATTATATTTAACGAGAACAAATTTTGACATAAATAATAAATAAAAGCTAATGCGTTAAAACAAAAAATTAAAAATAAGTTTATGCTTATAACTTCCAAAGTAACTATTCGACCCCTAAAATCAAACACTCAGCGTGAAAAACATGCCAAAACATATCTGTAGCTAACTAGAATCAGGTTTATGTAGAATCGAAAATTAAAAACTGTATTTAGAAGAGTTACTAATAACCAATTACTAATTACCTAAGTAATTCAATTATAGTAATTAAAATACTGCCCATTCCGGGCCAGTGGTTAGTTCAAAAGCGATAGTGGGATACAAAAACGATGTCATGTCGTCATCTGTTTTCTTTTTTTAAATAAATATATAGAAATGATGATTGATGATCAAGTGGAGCCTTACGGCTTTACTTATAAGTATATTGATCGCTTGCCTAAAATTATATATAGCTTAGTAAATCACCTGCACAGTAAAAAGGTGGCTGAAATACAATGATTATTTTAGCTTATTACAGTATTAACATAATATAGTTTACCTATAAACATATGAACGCGAAAAATATATGTTTAAATCAACAAATAGGTCTCTCCAGAGAAACAAGTAATATATATTAGTATTATAGAAGTTTTGTTATTACTTAAATAATGTTCCATCTTTATAGTTTGTCAAATTTTAAATTCGTTTGTAAATTTTAAACCGTCCTATTTTTTTTCGATATCTTTAACCAAACTGCACTACTTGTAATGTACTTTCAAAAATGTTTTAACACCAGAAGACAAATGAAGGCCACGGTGCAATAACCAGGTACGTCAATTTTTCAAAATTGTTCAGGAAACATAAAAAACTATCTATAAAATTGGTAAATGAACCAAAAATTAAAAATGTGGTGATATTCTTTTTGTAAGAATAAGATACATCAATTAAACCCATTTCCATTGGTTTACATTTTATATTTATGATAATATTTATAAAAACTAAAAAAACTATGATATTTATATTTTCAATGGTTACAATAACCAGTTACGTCCAATTTTGTTTTTGGACATAACTGGTTATTGCAGCCAACTAATTAACACAATATTTTATTGTAGTAAATAAGTCATCTATTATTAGTATGTACGTTAAATAATAATCATATAATTTTTTAATTAAATAGTTAACTAGAGATTAAGTCATTGGAATAATATAATCACACAAGGTTATTTAATACAACGTCCCTTAATGCATCAACAAAATAAAGTTTAAAGTTTAAAGTTGTTGGGAGCAACAACCAGTAACGTCCGGACGTATTTGGTTTTTGCGCCCGATGAAAAAAAAATGTAAATATAATGTTTCCATGGATATGTCCGGACATACCTGTTTATTGCACCCAACAGAAATTAAAAAATCAGTTTTTATTATTTTATTTCAATACTATTCATTGGACGTATTCGGTTGTTGCACCAATCGAAAGAGATTTTTTTCTCAATATTTCTATATCAAAACACGATTTTTAAAAAAAGTGGACATACCTGGTTATTGCACCGGGGCCTTCAAATGTAGTTGAAATTCAATACAGATTGTAAGTAGTTTGCATTAATTATAATTTTTTTGTTAGAAGTACTAAACTTAACCTTGTAATAAAATACTATGAGCTGTATTGAAAAGCTTTTTACACCCAATATGTTTTTAATTTTCTAATATAATATTATTTTATTCTGGTCTCATTAACAAATCCTAATAAGCATACTTTGATTGAAGTTGTAAATTTTTGTTATTAAAGAGATTCATTAAAGATACTTAAAATTTAAAGCAGTCTGTTTTTTTTTTTGACGTTTTAGACCAAAAAAACTGGCAAAATGTAGACTACGTAGAATGATTCATCTGGAGGCTTGATGGTGGCAGGTATGTGACATATTCTAAGTATGGTGAGTAATATATTCTGGTCTCACTTGGAATAAAAATAAAGGTAAAATATCTGAACAATACACTAAATATTGCGTGGATTAGATCTATGTACGATGATACGATTTTATTTTCAGTCCTCCCTTTATAAACTGTTTTGGACAACCGCAAAACTATAATTTATTTATTTAAGTCAATTTATACAATTTAAAACTACCATCATTTCAGCTAATTAAACTAAACTTCTTACACAATAGTAGGTCACATCTGTTATAGGTACAATGCATATTAAAAATATTTCATATTTCAATATCATTCAGCTAACACTCGTGCACTATTCTAATGAATAATATAAACAACTTTCCTCAAAGGTTATTTCTAAATTTCTTCAGACATATTAAAGCTATTCTATCGACAGTGGCGCTAATGCTCGTCTTTTGTTTCACAACCTTTTTTCGTTTGTAACTACTCTCTTTCGCGTTAAGGTCGTTCTTGTTATGGTTCATACTTCATACAACCATTTGAATTTTCTTCTTTGTAAAAATTATTTACTTACCATAATATTCGTGTCCAGTTAATCAAATAACAACACATTGTACATATATACACCAACAAGTTTTCTTTAATAACTTAAATTACTAATATCTATCCCACGATCCTGCAGGATAACTTCATTGGTACACGCTTTGACGCTAAAGTCCTAAGTCCACCATAGTCTGTCGCGTGGCCGCCCAAGAAATCGATGGCCGGATGTCTTTGTAGTATAAGGTTAATCTTATGTTATGCCCGGATCGACTTCGGAGGCCTGAGTCCACCATCTTCATTAGTCCCATTATCTTTAATAGCATTGAAAAGTTCACGCTACACACACAATACCAATTAAGTACTGATTAGCTCACTTTACTAGACGCCCCTACCACACATTGCTGGTTGTTTTACAGTAAATACAATTTGAAACATCATCGTAGATGGAGATACCACGTTAAAAAAAAACGAGCCAAATACTCTACCTCATGGGTGGTTTGGACACGAGTATATAATGACGAATTAGTAAAAATTACTTTTTCTTATATACAAAATTTTATATAACTTTCTGTTTTAAATATAGGTATATGCTATATGTTCCTTGGCTTTAGTGGTTCGCCCCGAAGGGATCCCCTACGACTGCGGACCGACTAGGAGTACTAGGTGCTAATTGCGGGCTGGAGAAGGTGTGTCACAAGATAAAGTGACCAGTCAGTAGGCCACTTGTCAGTTGTCGGAGGGATCTACGTCACGTTAGTCGCCTTTTACGACAGGTGTGAAGAACGCATTTTTCAGTCAGATGATTAGACATTGCATTATAATAGACATTATGATTAATGACATGTGTCCACTCACTGCTTGTGAACTTTTTTTTGTGCCATTATTTGAAAAAGTTTATACTTTTTAATAAGTAGCGTAATCAGCATTTTTTTCTGGGGGACGATATACATAAAACAAATTTTTACGCAGCTACAAGGTTTGAAGTAAAAAATTCTAGCTATTAAAGTACATTATTTAACTTACTTATAAATAGTCAATTAATTTGTTTTGTTGATACTTTGTCAATTGTCTTCTCTAAGCATAACATGTACAAAGTACTCTCATTGACTATCTCCGACCACACTTTATCACCTCCTCTTTAGTGGGTTGTTAACAATATTTTTCTGAGTAGGTCCAATGATTACTTGTTTTCAAATTAGCTTTGTGCAGGCAAATTCCTGATTTGTATCAATCATGAATTTACACAGTATTAAGTAGTTTTTGCGCAATAAGTTAAATATGTTAAACCGTTATTTAACCACCAATTGTTCCATGGCGCCAGATTTTATGGTGTTTTGGAGGCGACTAATTGTTTCTCTAATGATGTTTATAGAGAAGAAATCTGCATTTTGCCCATTGGCGGTAGTACAGCTCGATGTGGCACTGATTGCATAATATGTGTACAATGAGCGTTTACCATATTTTTTTTATATGCGCAAAAACTACCTATAAATACAGTAAAGAAAACCACAACATATAAAAACTTTATTATTTTATTTTTATTGACTACGGTAATATGAGTAACAACAGATAAAATAATTTATAACAACGACACCTAAGGCTATAATGGCTCGGATCCAGTATACTTCTTAAGCCAATTCAAAATTTTTTGTCAAGCTTGTATTTAGTTTTAATAAACATAACATTAGTTTTAATTAGTAATATTCAATTTTTTTAAACATGCTATTTCATGTGTCGACTAAATAAAAGAGTTAAATATTTAAGTTATAATAAAATATTAAAGTCATATTATTGTATATTAGCATATACTAATTTAAGAAATTGTAGCTAAAATAATTAGAAATGAATAATTAATGATATATAATTTAAATAAATTTACTTTTGTATGATCTTTTTTAAAACTACTAAAATGCTTTAACAATAAATTATTATTTTAACATTTTGATGAAAGTTAAAAATACATCCTACAAATATAGTTATGTAATTGAAACTTTTTGTAAATATAAACGTACGTGCATAACAAAATATTATAAATAAAAAGCGAGATTCTAATTATCATAAAACCGGCCCATTAAAGACGAATATAATATAACGTACAGGCCCAAAAAACTAAAACATGAGCAGCATAGTCCGTCCTACTTAAAAAACATTGATCAGTCATGAACAAATTAAATAAAGATTGGTGAATTAAGTATTAACAATAGTCTATGTATCAGTACATGGTACATAATATATCCGATGTTACAGTTTGTGTATAATAATTTATGTCTAATAAGATCCTTGCTTACTTATTATTTGTCATTTATTAAAAACATGGAAAAATGTTATTAAAAATTATCATTAAGAAAAAAAAAATTATTAAAGTAATCGTTATACAACAGTATAATAAAAATAAATAGAATACTTAAGTATTAATATTACTTATTATAAAACAAATAAATCACAAAAAAATAAGGTAACAATAATATTTTTAGAAATTAAAAACAACAATATTGCATTAAAGAAGCAAAATTTTAAATTAAGTTATACTTAATTATAAGGTAAACTATTAATTAATAACTAAATAAAAATTCATTAAACAAAAATGGACATTTAACGTAAACGCAGTAACACCACTGCTAACTGCTCATATTATATACAAAAGGCAAAGGTAAAGAAAAACGTGTAAACGGAATAATACTGCTTAATATATTTTACCATAATGCCTAATTGACTTTCTAATTTTGGAATGCTTGTCCTAACTTCATAAATGAGAATACACCATAGAATCAAATTATGAAATATAACTAATGAATCATGGTGCCTGTATCTAAACATCCTTCTTCTTCCATTTTGGTCAACAGCTTAATGGCGCGAAGTTTTGGATCTGTTTGGCGGACCATATCGATAAGAGCCAACAGTTTCTTTATTCCAATGAATACTCTAAAAAAAAAACACGTTTTTCTTTAATAATTAAACTAAAACAGTTGATTTTTAAATTTTGTTTTGAGCCTTTAAAACATACTTGTGTCCAGTTATTTGATTATGAATTTTGTGGATATCTTGTTTTGTAAACAAATCAAATTGTTCCAAAACAGTAATAAGTTCTTCTGGCTGACTGAGATTTGGAACGTGAAGAATAGCAGTGAAAGCAGAGAGCATTTCCATTTCATCTAGTACTTGCTTCCGACTGCTTGTGCATAGTACCAATAACTTTTTACCTTTAGGTGGTTGTTTTTTTAACAAAACGAGTAATGCTTGCAAAGTGAGATTGGAATACCTAGGACCAATAGAGCCATAATCCAATAAACGTTCAATATTATCAACCAAAATACAACTAAGTTGAGATCTGTAGGCGTCATCAAAAATCTAAAAAATAAAATGTCGTATAAATGAAATTAGTTCAATATTACATTGAAATATTGCATACTTTTCTTATTTGCGTGCATTTGGCAGTCTCTGTAAAGCCAACCATATCTTCGGGGGAACACACTTTGACAAACGGAAAGTCAGAATCTTTAGCTAATTTAGCAGCTAATGCTGTTTTGCCAGAGTTTGGGGGCCCTTCAATAAGAACTGATACAAGTCCAAAAGAATCTTGAGCACGTGCTTGTTGAGTAAGTAAATAGCCGTCTTCTAGTATACTGGTTACCGAAGGTCCCCATGTGATAATGCCTCTTGCTAAGAAATGTTCCAATGCTTCAGCACTAGCACCAAATGCTGGTTTTATATCATGTTCAAGAGCATGCAAAAAGTCATCTCGACAGACTTGAAGTTTCTCAGAAGCATCAGGGTCGACTTCTACTTTATTATTGGCTTTTATTAAGCGATTCATGGCAGTAGATTGAGCTGCACGAACTAAACCTTCCAATTCAGCTCCACTGAAATTCTTTGTTAACGATGAGAGTTCCTAATTGTTGTAAATAATATTATTAAAGAAATATAGAATATTATTTTTAAAAAAATATATATATATTAATAATAAGTTTGTAATAAAAATATAATTTTTACTTTCATGTTAACGTCGTTAGCAATTTTTTTGAATTCTTTCATGCGAGTTGTATGAATAGACAAAATTTGTAGTCGCCCATGTTCATCTGGTAAACTTATTTCCATTTGTACCTAGCAAGTCATATTAAAGAAATTAATAACGCTGTAACTTGGTCGACTTTTGCAGGCATACTTCAAGGCGACCAGGTCTTAATAATGCTTCATCAATCATATCCCTTCGATTTGTCATGCCTATGACCAGGATGTTGTTAAGTTGTTCGACTCCATCTATTTTAGCTAATAACTGGTTAACCACTGTATCGTGCACTCCGGTATTTCCACCAACTGATCCTCTTGCTTTACAAATAGCGTCAATTTCATCAAAGATGATAATGTGCAAACCGCTACTTGGTCCACACTAAAATAGTACAAATAAAATTAATAAAAATACATTTAAAAAATATATATATTATATTATATAAAACCATACTCTTTTTTCTTCCTCTTCAGCATCAGCAAACAATCTCCTAACATTTGCTTCAGATTCACCAACATATTTATCCAAAATTTGAGGGCCATTAACAATTTTGGGCTCACGCGCTTGTAACATTTGACCGATCTGTCTAGCCATTAACGTTTTACCAGTTCCAGGCGGACCATATAGTAAAATACCTTTGACATGCTTGCATCCTACACAAATCATGCATCCCAAATAGATTCATTGTCTTGTACAGTTAACAATATTACAAATATTTACCTAGTTGTTCGATAATCTCTTGTGGAAATACTCGTGAAGCAAAAGCTCTTCGAAATATGGCATTGAATTCATTGTCGAGACCTCCAATACCCATTTTGTTAAAATCAAAATCCGGGTTTATGATTGACACACGAGTTTGCTGACTGTAAGTATTAAATAAATAATAAAGTTTTGAAATTATTCTGAATAATAATTTAAGTTGTTACCTCTTTGCTCTTCCTACCAACAAGAAGGACGCATTCGGTCCAACCACAAACCGAACGACTGTATTACTTAAACATTTTCCAAACTGCACAATACGCGGTTTAGCTCCAGAATTTATTTCATTAGAGTTTACGCCTAAACAAATATGTTAACAATTAGATTACCATAATTAACAGAAGACAAAACTATTTAATAGGTTTAGTGAAAAACACTAGTAATTTGATAACAGTCATTAATTTGACACTTCTTACAAAAAACAGTACATTTTAAATTGGCAACAAAAAATAATACTTTTGTGTATAAATGAATGGCATTGTTATTGTTCGTTATGATGGTATGATAATGATGTACTGTTTTTTATAAGGAACATGATTAATAATAATATCTATTTCTGGTAACTATTATTATATTATTAAATACAATAAATAAGCTCAAAAACTCTAAAAATGAAGAAATAATGTTTACATATTAACCAACATAATATGAAAAATAATATTATAGATTTAATACTTGAATAAATTGTTTTAAAGTTACTATAGTATACTTAACTACAAGTACTTATTGTTAGTATAAAAACAATTTCAGGATGTCTATAAATACCTTCAATACTCTTGACTTTAATGAACATTAATGGTTTTTCTGGTAATTGAAGTAGCAGTGTTTGAGAAACAGATAACACATGGTTTGAAAATAACATTAGAAATTCTTTTGCCATCATGTCAGTATCAAATTGTTCGTTAGTCTTTCCTCTGATAATAATTAAAACACAAATGTCAAAATAAAATATTAATAAAACTAAAAATAGGATAGTTTTAACTAACTTTTTATTAAAATAATCGACTTCAACCTCAACAGACAACACAAAATCGATTGGAACATTAGCCGGGTGAGGGATAACATTAATCGCTTGATTGATTGATAGCTGCGCCCATTCTCGCTGATTCATAGAGAAGGCAATGCATCCACGTGGAGGAGGATTTTTAACTGATCTCACAGTGAACCAGAACTTAATATCCGGCTTGGTTTGGTGTTGCACTTCAATATATCTATACAAGCAATTGGTTAGAACTTGGAACTTTTTATTAATTCATTTTTAATCGACGTTACATACTTTGTATCACTATGGAAGTCCTCATCGTTTATTATAGCACAATTAGTTATGGCCCAATCGTCCGCCGAGCACTTTACTGCCTTGAATACCTATACAAGTAAGACCACAGCATAAATACTAATTTTTTTCATAACTCGCCCTATTGACTTACCACCATTTTTATTTCACTTTCGATGTACACAGTCTCTTTATCCAAATTCAATTATTGTACACAACTGTTGGTCAACGAAAATCGGAAAAGTTTACATTTGTCTCGTCGACACTAACTGAAAAGCAATCGACTGAACGAGTTGTAACGATTACACTATTCAGTCGGGCAATGGGTATTCTCCTATCAACATTCAGCCCTTATCAGGCTGAATTTTTAAATCAATAATCGAAAGGCTAAACATGATGCGCGTGTGCAGTGACACATATTATGATTCCTAGTCTCCGGGGTTATGCAATATGGTGCTCAGACTATAGGAAAATCCGAAAATGGGTCACTAAAAATCTCAATAATGGCCTGGCTGTGTCTTGCGGGGACGGGCTAAAAATCTAAGCATTTCGAGTACACTGTAATGTGTTATATTTGTAAATACTGTACTGTATAAATATTGTAAATTCTTAGCTTGTCCCATTAATATAAATATAAATAAATGTGTTCATAAAAAAAAAAAAAAATATCACGAAACCATAATATATGAACATTATAATGTCAAAATATATTTAAAGCAAATAATTGATAATGATTGAAATACAAAAATTTTCACGTTTAACATATAGTCAAGCGAAGAGTTAGAACGATGATTTATCTTCGACTATTGTTCTCAATCTCGTTCGTCGCTTGTTAATAACCAGATCTTCCAATTGTTGAAATTCTTTATATGGAAAACGGTCATCGAAAAGTCGTTGAAACTTTACTCCTTCCATCGATGAATTTTGATTATTGGCTAGATTGTCTATTTCGCCGAAAATACAACTCAAAAACTTGCGTCTGGTCGATTCCAAACGTTTTTTACAAACTACATCGCTGTAAAGAAATGTATATTGCAACAATAATATTAATGCAATTGTTGTGTTCTCACCTACTAGGTATTTTTTGAACTCATATTAAGAAATGTGACTGGAGGAACAAATGAATACTAGTTGATTATAAAATATTGATCAAACATTTTTAGGTAGTAACTAAATTATATTGATTTAAAAAAATAAAATTATAACTTTTATAGCTTGATAACGTTAAAAAAAATAACAAAATAATATCTACACATATATTGAGTACACTCATTTGTATAAAAAATTCAAATAAGTTATAATATTGATGAATTTTCATCAGAATCTTCATCATCTTGTTCTTTATTATCATCCAAAAGTTGCGATAAATCATTTGCTTCATCTTTATCTTTACTTCTGTTATTTTCATCATCATCATCGTCGTCGTCATCATCATCATCTTCGTCATCACTACTTTTATTCTATAATAATAAAAAAAATATTGTAACAACATAATAATAATTATTTTAACTACATTGTATGTGTTTAAATTAAAAATAATTTTAAGACAAACCTGAGATAATATTTCTTCTCCTTTGATATCCATATTTTTCATAATACCCATAAATAAAGCATCTGTACAGCCATTCATTACCATAACATTTTTCACCTTTAAAATTAATGTTTCCAGTATTCCTCTTATGCTTGGTAAATAAGTACTCAGCGCATTGTCTTTAATGACCTTTAAATTAAAATATTTATTAAGTTCTTTTATTATAATTTAAATTAATGATGTATCCATCTTACTTTTGTGTAGTTACATATATTTTGCATGAATCTAGTTATCACTTGTAGATTTTTTAACACTTTTGAAACTTCCTTTGAATGCGATTTAAATAAATTTTGGCAGACATTCATTCCTTCCGCAAGGAATAGTTTAAAAATTAAACTAGAACCCTAAAAAATGCAAGACATTCTAAATTTAATCATATTTAATTTAATACAAATCGTGGTGAAAAATAGTGTTATTTATAATTTACTTTCACAAAGGCTAGAAGGTTATTACGTGAATCCTGTTTTTTTACTACGCAAACTACTTTTTCCATTATAAAGATGGATGACTGCCATACAGTTAGACGATCATATTCACTCTCAGATTTTTTTAAACCCTTTTTTACAAAATCCAATAAAATACTCAATATGACACTAATTAAAAGTTTCAAATTTGCTCTAAAAATTAAAGATTAAAAATTAAACACATTTAATTTATAATTCAGTTTTTTTTTTTTACTTATTGATTGTCGGTAGTGTTTTTAGTTTATCAGTTTTAGATTCCATAACCAATACTTCTTCTGCAAATATTTCTACCAATTTAGTTAATTGACTGACATTGTCATGGCACTGGAAATATGTATTAAGTAAGAACTTGATCTTTTCATTGTACTTTGTACCATCTTCATGTGAACCCTGCATGGTGTACCATTGTCTTGTCAAAAAATTCCAGCAAGTATCTCCTAAAATGTATACATAGATAATATGAGACGTACTCATGTTATTATCATGTCATACCCAACTAAAAAACAAATTTTAAATATCTGTTTAGACAAAAAATGTACACTGTTGAGTTTGATCAAAATTGACAATTGATATGTTTATCACATCGCTAATATATTAATTACCAAGCTTGATCAAACTCAATTTAATACATTTTTAAACTACAGATTTTCGGAATTTATTTTAAATACATAGTTTGTTACATTTTTAGGTAGGTATTTAATTACTGCCCAACTATAAGAATAAAATTACTTATTAGCACATCGTTTTCAAGATCATAAGAAAAATTGTTCAGTAACTTCATAACAGTTACAAGGCTAACAGCTGCATCTATATGAAGAATAATATCTTGGTAGTTTCCCAAGTACTTAATTTTTTCAGATAGTAACTCTTTTTTGCACATTTGGCGTCTAGATTGAGTGCTTTGACTGCATAGATCTGTTCTACTAATCATTTTCCTCAAAGCATCTGAAATAATATACATTAATTATTATAATAATACATTAAAAAAAATTATATAATTTTACTTATAAACAGGTCTTCTGTATCAGATGACTTAAAATCACTCCATTGGAATAAAACCACTATAGATTTTAATATCAAACCTACACATTGTTTTAGTTCAATTGATTCAACCATAAACATTCCAGTGGCATCCAAGATATTATCGTTTACAATCAAAAGATTCTGGGGAAAAAAACCTCAGTGTTTAGTTATATATTTTTTTTCAAAAAAAAAAAATAAATATCAAATTACTTTAAAAAACTCTGAAAGAGCTTCTAAATCTGTAAATATATGGGGAAGAAGTTTTATGAAATTTTTTAACATAGTTTTTTCTGGTACCATGGACACAGTGGTAAAACCCACTGTTTCTTTAGATTTAGACTTAGCCAAGGGACTGATTTTTTTATTTTTAAAAACTACATGTTCCAGTTTTTGTAGAATGTCTTCTAATAAATATCGTAACTCTGACGGCCCAAGTTCTGGAGAAAATTCTTTGTCCTAAACACAGAAAAACAACACTTTAATAATGTAATGTTATAATTTTATATTTTCAAAAACAGACATCAAGGTAGTATTACCTTTTCAGAATCGGGATTAATGACAAATTTCTGTGTAAGAATTAACCAAGTATCAATGTCCAGTTCTCTAAAATAATCTTTATAAATGCTAATATCAACTTCGTCTTCAAAATTGTTGTCATCATGGCTTGTATGGGTGATATTAAAATTAGTCGCACTTGTTGTATTTACCGAGATATTTACTTTTCCTTTGGCTTTTTTGTCACCTTTTGTGGACTTTGTTGTTTTTGATTTACTATATACGCAATTTATTATTTAATTATTTAAATTTTTTGGACAATCCATATATTTTCCACATACTTTTTGATTTTATTAAAGTTTGGTTTTTCCACTGCCAGTCCATAGTAACAAACTGGAGGAATATATTCAGGATCATACATAACTGACAAACATTTTTTTAAAGATTTTATTAAGTATGTGATAGTTCTCAAACGGATTAACACCTAAGAAAAAAAGATACTTATAAATACTTTCAAACTTATTTGTTTTCATATTAAATATTACTTTACTGCCATTCTTCTGTTTTATCAAATAGGAAAAACAGTTAATGACTTCATGAAACCAATTCACAGTATGAAATAGTGTATTGACAACTACAATTTGTTGTTCAGGTGATAACATCTCAAAATTATCCATTGTTTGGGTATTTGGAAGAATAATAGGACACCCTAATAGAGCATCAATCTCACTTAAATCTTCACGCTCTAGTACTCTCACTAACCTAAACATGGAAGTTAAAGCATTCGAGCGACTACTTTGAAAGCCAAGCACAGCTTTTTCAACTTTATTTGTTTCATTCATAACGACAGGACAAATATTTACTGCTATGATCTCGTCAAGTTTTTTATCAAGACAAAATGTCAAAGAGCAGTCAAACATCAAATTTCTGTAATTAAGAAAAAGAAAAAAAATGTGAGTTACAGTTAACATTGAATAATAGGTTATAGGTACAACTAGGCATTTAGGAACAAAACAGATTTAAATTATTTTGTATGCTAATAATATGTGGGATCATTATGTCTAATTCATACTTACTCGTTTAAAAATTCATTTGCAGCTATGAGAAAACTGTATTGAAAATTTGTCTTCAAAACTGTGGACACTGTATGCTGTAAAATACGTTTAAATAGACATTATCATTATTTCCATTTATAAAAGAGAAATTCTGATAAAAGTAAATACTTAATTACCATAAATGTTTTATCCAGGTAAGGACACTGGAAAAGCATATGAGCAAATTGATCAAAAAATAAAATCTGAAAATCGGTGTCGGCTTTAGTTCTTGTAAGCAATAACTCTGGAATGATAAACACAACTATTTATATTAATTTGGCTTTGATGCACAAAAGAATTTGGAGTAATAGATACGTTTTATATTGTTGCCCTACTACATGTTAATTACATATTTTTAAGAAAATGTTTATATTATCTAAACTAGTAATTATCGGGTTTCTGTGACTTTGTACTGGTTTTAACTATTATATACGCTAAACACTACTTTTTATTTTATAATTGGTACAATTTACCTATAAGAGAATATGCTTCTTTTGCCTTTGGAGTAAGAGGAATATCTTCTTCAGAATTGGAGATTGTTTCACTAGCTTCTTCAGGGGTTACACTTACTATATGTTTTATCAACATTATAGCACCTATTATGCCAACTCGCTGAGATCTAAAAAAATCAATGAAAAATGTAGTGTTTATATACATGGAAAAAACACTTCATTGAAAGCATCTTTAAACAAAATTAAACTCTTATTACATACATAGTGTCAATAGAACAAAGTTCTTTTTGCACGAATATATTAATTTCATCTTGAAAGACCGAGCAATCGTTAATACCATCTGGTCCTTCCGAATAGGCAATTTTACATAACATGTCCATAACTTGTGAAATTTCTCTTATTGAAAAGTCATAAATTTTATTCATAAAAACTGACTGAAAGTAAAAAAAAGTGTTGTAGACAATTGTGCGAAAATAATCAAACTTGATAAATACCGTTAATCGTGTAGCAAGAGGTTGCATCTTATTGATTCTTTGTTCGGTGAATTCAGAAAGTATATTTAATACTACTTCAACAATCAACTTATTACCAGTACCCATTAATACAAGAAGCTCCTCCACGATCCAATTACACCAGCATTGGTCAATATTATTAAAACAGTTTCTAAATTTAGTAAAAAAATGTAAGTATAATAAAAGTATGTACACATATAAATTCTGCAAAAAACTTACACAGCCATACTCGATACCACTTCAATAGAAACATGGTCTGTTACTTTGACAAGATTCGAAAACATTTTAATAAATGACTCAAAATACTCCTTAAAGACCTAAAGATAATAAAATGGTTAATGCATATAAAAATATATCTATACTTTAACTTACTGGTGTAAATATTTTAAAAGTCTTTTCCATTATGTCGGTTCGGAAAAATCCATTTTTTAAACGATCTTTAAAAACAGACAGTATTGAATTCATTGTCGACGAATCATTAGAAGCTGACGAATAAGCCAAAAATAAAATAACAACATCCATTGGCCTGTAAATTAAAAATACAATTATTTATTTTAATAGCATGTTCAACTTATACTATTATTAAGTTTATAAATAAACTACTATTTTAGAAATGAATTTGTATTACTTATGTTCAACATGAGATTGTACTTGACTTATTGTTTTAACCCATACATCCAATAATAATTTTGATGACAAAAATCTATCGTAAATGCAACTAAAAATGACAAGTTGTATGCTTGTAAAGTTTTCTGAGTTTGCAGTTAGCTGTGAAAATTTGTCCAAATTTGCAAACGGTAGTTCAGATCTTAAACCATCTACTATCTATAATTTAAAATAACATAATATTACTACTGTAAAAAGAAAACAATTTATAATACTTGTTTTGTTTATGTGACCTTTTCTGCAACTGTCAAGTCGTCTACTTTGATTAAAAATCTAACTAAGGCTGGAAGTATATCTAACGGTGTATGACTGATTTCAGGAATCATGTCCATTTGTATAAATGTGAGATCCTCTTTCGCAATAGTCAATAGACCAATAGTTTCCAAAATACAAGCCATTAGTTGTTTATTATCTCTGAGTAGTTTACTATTAATGACATATAAATATTTAATTATAGCAGTGAATTTTTTCTTTAATTCTAGTAAATATAATATAGTTACGACCATAATTCGTCATGCGCATCATGTTCTTCACTGTCAAGGACTATATCTGGGATGGACGCAATTAACTCCCGTTTTAAATCATCATCAGACACTGCAGTCAAATTGTCAAACAGTTTACTACAAACTTTCCTTAAATCAATAATACTATAGAGCTGTTTGAACGGTTTGAGTAACAAACGTACCCATTTCTGTGTGGTCATAATCGAATCGCTGAAAAATAAAAATAAAATTATAACACATTGAACTACATAGTTCCTAAAAACAAATACTTACGTAACATCTTCTAAACATATTTCAACCATTTTATCAAATAAAATATCAATTAAGTTGGGTTGAATAATAGGAACTTGTAATAAAAGGCGAGCCAAAGAATCTCTTTGTTGTCTGAGTTTATTTTCTGGCATGGCCTAAGTAGAAATACATTTCGGTTAAGAATAATAACATCTATGTAATAAAATATTAACCAGATATAAAAAGTTACCAAAATTACATAAAACAAAATAAAATAACTTCTCATGAAAATTTAGTATTTTTTTTTTTTTTACTAGATTATTAACTTACTTTACAAGGAGAGAGAGCTACTTTAAGATTAATTTTATCATTAAGATATGCTTCAAGTACTGTTACAAACTTATTTAATAGATCAAATTCTGCAATATCTTCAGAATCAGTAGTTAATTTGGATTTAAGACTCTGAATAAATTTGTATTCCTCAACAGCTAAATTATAAAAACAAAACAAAAAGTTAATTGTTATCTATATTTATATAGAACCACAAACATAGAACGTTAATTTTTTTCTATCATAGCACTAGCCTTTAGTGTTGAGAAAGATATATACAAATCATAAATATAAATTAACTTACACAAAACATTTTGATCATTTTTTAAATGTAGGCCACAACTGGCCAATATTTGTGTTAAATATGAAAATGGATCGTTATTTAATGGTGGTTCTGTATTGTCTAAAACATTATCTGCAATTTTACGTTTTTTTTCCACAGGCAACTCGGGTAAATCATCTAGTAATGATGGCGATGTAGGGCATTCGTCAATTGAATAATTTCTAGATATAGTCGATAGAGTCGGTGCTTCCATTGAGAGTGAGCTTATGTTTTCTTTACGCGTTGATGTGGATATATTTCCGACCAAAGTCTTTGTCTTTGGAAATTTTCTTTTATACATAACAAATAACGTATAGAACAAAAACTAGAAATGTAATTGAGTGTTTCAGATGATAGAAAACGAATTATATTAAATTTTTAATTATTATAAAGAGTTCAGAAATAAATGATGTCCAATGTTGTAAGAGGTAACGTTATCGCATGCTATACTCTATAGGTACGATTACAATAACGAATAATGTTATTATAATTGAAAAACAAAACCAATTATTATTTATTATCATAACTTAATTCTTATGAAAAATGGCGCGAATAAAAATTTATCATGAAAAGAATAATATTGAAAACGTCATTTGTTCTAAATGACAGCTGTACCAACCTCAAATTTCGAATCACAATTACCTTGTTGAGATTTCAATTAATTATTGTAGCTAAAATATTAAATAAATAATTACTGTAACTATAAATAATCCAATAACTGAACAACCAATTTAATTCACAATAAATTTAGATTTAAAAAAACCATGATGTGAAGTATGATAAAAAAAAGGGACGCAATCATTATATCTATTTACAATCACATCCTTATCGAATAGTTGAGAAACCAGTGTTGAGGTTATGTTTCTTATAATAAACGACTTACGAGGGTACGCTTACGGTTTTAAACATAATAATAAATTGTTCTTTGATTGGAAGTTTATTGTTTAACATCGTATTAAGATGAGCTCGAAAGAAGTGACAGCAGTTCCTGAAAAAAAGAAAAAAGAGAGTATCTTAGATTTAACTAGGTATAATATAGTTAATTAATTTTAGTAGTTCGTAGACCATAAATTTATATTAATGTTAAGCGGTGCATGTTATAAAATGTAGATTATTTAAAATTGTGACATGATTAAAATATTGTCATTATCTTATATAGTTTGGTATAAATTTAATATATTAAACATACTGTATTCATATTATGTTAATATTTTTAGGTACTTGGAAAAAGCTATAAGAGTGAAGTTCTCGGGTGGTCGAGAAGTATCTGGCATTCTTAAAGGCTTTGACCCATTAGTAAACCTAGTCTTGGATAACACTCTTGAATATTTACGTGATCCCGATGAACCTATGAAACTTACAGAAGACACCAGAACATTGGGTTTAGTGGTTTGTCGAGGAACATCAATTGTATTGATTTGCCCAGTAGATGGCATGGAGGCTATTGCTAATCCATTTGTACAACAAGAATAAATTTGATTCTCAACTATTTACTACGTTTTATGACTTTTTAAATTTGTCATTTATCTATCATTTTGAGTGTAAAAAGAATTACATTTTGCATAGCATAAATTAATAAAATATGCTTGATCATTGAAGGGTTTAAATCACAAATGTTATTAATTAATTTCTCATGTAATTATAGTCATATGTGTAAGGACTTATTTTATACTTATTGTAAAGCTAAAACTTATTTTGAACAATGTAAGTTGTTAATATTTAATTTATAGTATTAATTTACATCCCTTTAGTGTAATTTCACAGTTGCTATTAGTGGACGTACTTACAATTTCAATGTATATTAAACATATAATAAGTTATTATAATATATATTAAGAATACACAGTATTAACTGTAGTTGATAATAATCTCTTTTATAGGTGAAAGCACTAACTTCTATTTCCAAATCTTCATCCACTTGTGGATAACAATTCAAAATGATCTGTGCCTCCTTACATTTATTATTATTTGATTCATTCATTATCTACTATAAATTATTAAAAAAAAATACATATATTTTACATACTGGAAAGTTACTTGAATAATGACGTGTTAAAAATCAATTGGCAACAGCTAGTAGTAGATCCAAGAGTTTCTCAGTTTGGAATTTGGATGTCATTAATTGGGACAAATGTAATAACAATGAACAGAGGAGAATGATAAAAATAGGTTTTATGTCTACTATATGTTATGGCTAATACAGAGGAGAACGGGAATTTTTGAAACAACTAAGCATTATCGAAAAACAATTTTAACAGAAGAAATCTTCTCTCTCAGAACTTCATTAAGAAAAAATATTATGTATGTTTTAAAAATTTGGAGTTGCGTTACTTTTACAATGAATGATCCATATATTACTATTTCATAAAACTAAAGGAACATTACTTGTTAAATAATGCTACCTAAAAATGATAACAATTTTATTGTAACTAATTATTTAAGTTTTTATTTAACAGTTAAATACACCAAATACGTGCTAAAAACATAATAATGTGTTCTTAAATTCAACTAAGTTAAGTCCGCTTTGTACAATAATAATAATTTTAAAAAAAGCCTACAAAATAGTTTATTTGTGTAACAGTTTTTGTAAAAATAGATTAATATATATATATATTTATATTTATCATATTATATAATATTAACAAATGTATTATTAAACTACTTATTATAACATATTACCTTGGAATATTTTGGTTAACCCACAATATTTCAAATATATAGTATAAGCAGGAAAAGTGACGAGTATATTAAATAATATTTATCAGTGCTTCAACTTAGTTTAAAATTACAGTGTCTAGATAATTTTGTTAGCAAAATATACTTGATAAGTTTGAACACTTTTTTTTTTACAGAAATTAGAAAATAATAAAATCCACTTTAATTATACAATATACATGTAAATATATTAAATATTTTTTTCGATTATTTATTATAAATATATCATTTTACAATAAAACTATAACAATTCTATAATATATCAACAAACATACATTAAATGTAAGATTTACATCAATTTAGACTTAGGAAATAACGTAATATACATTAATTAAAAAATATATAGATATATATTACACATACAAATCAAGGTGTAATGCAAGTAAAACGATAAAAAAATTATATATATATATATATAATAATTTAAAAGTTTAAAATTAGTAAGAATACAATTACATATGTCTCCAAGAACCTTTACTATCCCTACGGTCACCAGATTTTTTGAATTTTTTCTTTTTAGGTTCATCTTTTGAACTACTCGCCCAATAACCAGATCCTTTTTTGTTTTTACTTGGCGGATACGGGGGTGGAGGTGGAGGGTGTTGATACATTGCATTATATGTGAAACCAGGTTGATTGTAATTGTAATTGCTTTGATCTGGTCCCACGGGTGGAGGTGGAGGTTGTTGAGGTCCATACTGGTTTGGGTACGTATACCCAGGTGGAGGATAAGAATAAGGCATCGGTGCGACATAATTCATGGCCATGTATTGTGTATTGTAATTAGGTGGAGGTAAGCTTGTATTTGGATTACACGCAACAGGGAATTCGTCTTCAAGACCAGGCGGTGGCGGTTCAGTTGAAGTTACAGAAGGATTTCGTTGGCGAGGGTCTCTACACTTTTTTTCATTGTCTGTTGTAGCTTTAGATGGTTCCACAGCGTCTACTGGCTGCGATTCTTTTGTGTTAAAAGAAGAAAGGATATCTTTTATGTTGCTAGGTAGTTGAATGTCAGTGGTCAGAGGTGCCAACTCACTTGTTGGACTGTAAACTTCTTCATCAGGATCCAAAACCTTAAATAAAAATTTAAAAAAAAAACATTATTTAATACATTTTAAATTGAACACATTTAAAATTACATCAATATTAGTAACTGCATTTTGAGTCCCAGAAGTCATTAATTGAATCATCAACTTTTCTTTTTCAATTTTCCGTGTTATTTCTTCCATTTGTTGATGAATATTTGATGCAGACGATGTATCACTTATTTCATTGGACATAATAGGTAGGTCTTCATCAATAGGAGAATATGGTTCTTCTTCTCCAGGTACATAAGGCAAATCATCGTCTGTCAACACTGAAAGATTAAAATGGTTTTATATATTTTATTTTAGTTTATATTATTCGACATAAGAATTTAAAAAAAAACTTACCACTGCTAGCCGGTAAGACGGGTGTTGGTAAACTAAGAATTTTATTGGTCGGAGATCGTGGAGGCGTATAACTCTCTTTAGGCGAATAACTGTCTTGTGATAAAGGTAAAGATGGTTTTAAATGAGGAAGAGCTGAACTTTCGCTAACAATTGGTAATTCATAGTTATCTTTAGGTGGTTTCCACACTTGAGGCCATGGTCTTTTAGAATTTCGCACAACTATTCCTAATAATAAATGTGTTCTGTTATCCTCTAAACCTGGGCCATCTAGTGGTAATAGCACTTGTGGTATTGAACTGTGACTACCAAGTGGATAGATATAAAAATCTTTAATATCTGGGAAAGGTTTACTGTCAATAACAGCTATACGATTGTTTGCACTTAAATACTGATAGAGACTTAGATACGACATTTGCTGCTCTATTCCACCAGCTGATAATTTAGTAACAACAATGTCTTTTGTTCCAGTTTTTTTTAATTTGCTCATGTAATCCCAGACAGTCTGCTGTTTAATTCGACCAACACATTGTAATACGCTTAGAATAAGTTCTGATTCTAATCCTGTCACATTACCAGACAATCTCGTCATAGTCACAATGCACCTGGCTACATCTGTAAAATTAATAGTTCCTTTCCAAATCGGACTTGCTTCTTCTTCTATCCGTGGAGGAGTAGCAATTACTACGGTTGAACTAGGTTCCCTGTCACTTATGTCTTCGTCTTTTCGAATTTCAACTTCTATAGGAATTTGTGTAGGTTTGTTGTCAGCTTCCTTATTCTTGTCAAATTTTTTATCCCAACTCCTACTTCGATCTCTACTCTTACGTCTTTTTTCTTTGTGTGATTTGTGTCGACTTCTGCTAGATTTATGATGCCTACGATCACGATCTCTGCTACGGCTTCTTTCTTTGTATTTGCTCTTTTTCTTTTCTTTTTTATCTTCTTTAGGTAGCTTCAATATTATTTGTGGTTTTTTCTCTTCAATTTTAATGTCTGGATTGAGTTCAGAAACGATAGTTTCACATGTTTTATCTTTAGTTTCGATTATTTCTTCCCCTTTGTGAGTTTTCATGAGCAAAGCTTTTGATTGATTCATCATATCTAATTCTGTTTTCCTAATCATCTCAATTTGATGTTTATTTTCTCGCTCTCTCCATTCCGCTAATTCTTGGGAAGCCATTTCATCAGCTGTCATGCGTACCAGCTGAGAAGGAGTAACCCACTTGAATATAATTTTTTTGAAAAAATGTAAATTTTTGGGATCTTTTATATTAAACACCAAACTTCTATACTTGGTTTTATATTTTTGATCAACTTTTCCAAACTGATTATACAGTTCCTCTTCAATTTTTGTTATTAACTCATTTAAATTTTCTTCTACTCCTTTATGGTTAGGCTCTTGAGACATTCTGCTGCTTAATGATTCTAGTAATGATTTCTTTACATTAGAACGTAGTTGTGCTTCATCTCTTTTGTCCATAGCCATTTCTTTAATGGGTTCTGGTTTTTTCTTGACAACTTTTTGTACAGTCAGTGTTTTTGGAGGCATTGAAGTAGACGGTTTAAATGATAAAGACGATTGCACAGGTTTAGGTGTTTCCTTTGGCGTAATCGGTGCCACTTTGGATTCTTTTTGGGGCAATGAAGATTTCTGAGATTCTTTTTTCACAAATACTAATTTCATCTTATCAGGTTGTAATAAGTCTTGAATATCTGATGGTTCTTTTTTTACTTCTTTTGTCTTAATCTTACTTGGACTTAGAGACAGTTTTTTAGGGAAATTAATATTTTCTTGTTTTATTAACTTTAACATATCTTGTGCTAATTTTTGAGGATTTAACATTATTGGGGGAGATAGTCTTTTTCCTTTTTTAGGCCCACCTGGTTTTAAAATTTGGTAAGCTGGATTTCTGACCATCCATTGTTTTAAATTATACAACTTAGGAGCTTTATCACCTAAAAAATAAAATTACTTAAAGTATTATTTAACAACAAAATAATATTATATACCTGTTATAAGTCTGCTGTTTTTCTTATCCAGTAAAATAATATCTGGTGATTCTAATGTACTGCAAGCTTTTATAGCAGTAACACTGTCTCGAATATGCTTATCTAAACAAGTTTCATTGCAAAACACTCCTGTTGCAATCTTTTCACATGTAACACATTTTTGTTGTGACGGCGATTGTATTTTAACTACTTTAGAATCAGACTTTTTAACTGGCGTTTTTGAATTGGCTCTTGTTTTCTTTTCTTCCTCTGATTTCAGCTTCAAGTCTTCAGATTTTTTACGAGCTTCTTCGGTTTTTTTCTTCCTACAGGGAGGGCAATTCCACTCAACACCACGAGCTTCCATTTGTTCGCCAAGAGCTTTTGTAACACCAACACACTTCCCATGAAACCAATCTTCACATGTGTCACAACATATCATAAATCTAAAGAAAAATATAGTTTTGACACTGCTTGATATGTGGTTAAAGGGATAAAACAAGTTTACCTGTTATTATGAGGCTTTTTACAGACACACCAAAGTCTATTAGGGTCATCTTCAGAAGTCATATTTCCATCTCTGTCAGTATCGGATTCCTCACTATAATCAGTAAAGCTTTTTGAACTATAACAAAATTATTATCATTAGTATTATTAATTTATTTTTAATTGCAATTGAATATCGCATACTTCTCTGATGTCGTTCTTTGTCTAACAAATTCTTTTTTTGAAGCATCAACAGTCTAAAAAAAAGTTATTATTATTTAGAAATAGTAACAAATTTAACATAAAATTATTTTTTCATACTTCTTTTTTTACTAATGACCGTGTTTTTGGAGTTTCAATAGGAGGTAAAGTTAATAGTCTACCAGATTTCCCATAAACTAAAGTAACTCCTTTAGACTTTTCATTTGGCGTAGATGTTTTAGAATCAGTTTCATTCAAACTTTCGTCAAATAGAAGAGTATTCATCAAATCATGACTTGAATTAGAGGGGGCAACAAAAGTTGACTAAACAACAAAATTAAGCAAAATTAAAATAATAAAAAATGTTTTAGTTTAAATATTGAATAACATACAGAGTTAAGATCTTCATTGAGATCAGCTAACTCGTCTATTAAATTTTCTTCATCAATAATTTCTGATTGGCTAGCTATTTTAGAACTAATATCATTCAGTATATCTTCTACTGTCTTAGTTACAGTATTTTCAACTGACTGTACTCTTCCTTTAACTGGACTGTCCTTTAGTTTACTAGAAATTGTTCTAAATTTTCCTTCTACTTCTTTCATTACAACAGCATCAGAATTAGAATTAGAATTGTCAACACATGAGACATTTTTACTATGGTCTACGTCCGTTTTGTTTTCTGAGTCCAATTCTATATTTTCTGTTTTATTGTGAGATTTGTTATCATCCATCTTAATTATATCTGGTAATGAAAATAAGTCTCTTACATCCAAAGTATTTTTCACATGCTTCTCAGGACTTAATGCGATGGAATCTACAGAATTAACTTTACTGCCAGGTTTTTCTTTATTCTTTTTCAACAATAATTGGTTTTGTATGTATTTTTTTGGTTCAATGCTAGATTGGCGCACTAACTCATTCGCATGCAACAAATCTTCATTTACAATGACATCCTGCTGTTTTTTCTGACGACTGCCTTTGTTCAACACAGTTTGCCGAGCTGAATTAGTTTTCTGAAAATAATTAATTAGGTAATTAATACCATTTACAATCAATTTTAATTATATTATACGATTTTTATAAAAAAAAATATCTTAGTCTATTTTAGAAAATGAACTGTTATTCAAGAATAACAAGATGAAGAATACAAGTATGGACGTCTAAAAATTCACCACTAAAAAATCTTTTTAACATTAACGTATTATAAGTTGTTTAATACTAACAAAATATTTCATGTAAAATTATAACAAAAATTGTAATGAAATATCAAATAGGGTAGTAGCTAGAAAAAATGATTTGCAAATAACTAAATGGTACTTTAATTAGTAAATTACCAACCATTGGTAAAAGTCGCTTAATAGTTTTTGTAGTTGTAGGCGTATTATTAGGTTGGTCATTGATTTCCTGATTAATTTCAGAATGCCTTTTGTTGAGATTTTTTGAAGTGACACAACCCTTTCTTGATTTATCGTCCTAAAAAAAAAAAAAGATAAATTAACGAAAATATTAATAAAATTATAAAGAATAAAAAAATTAAGTATTTTTATTTACTTTTAAAGATCTTAAGTTTAACGTCTTCTTATTGTTTGGCTGATAATCAGGTGATGAGTTTTGAGAAACTGACGTTTTGTTACTTGTTTTTTCAACTGTAAAATAAAAATCGAACAATATTATAAGTACATAAACACACTTGTAAAACTATAATATAACACACATAAAAATACACTTTTAATATAATTTCATTGGTTTTAAAATTTACATACAAACAACTACCAATTTTCTACGCGTTTTATAACATTGCTAATATGTATATTTTAAAACCAATGACAATATTATATACTGTGTTATACTTTGTAATCATATAATATTGATGTTACAATATCAAATTACTTATTAAAAATTAAAATTTGTACAAGAAACGTTCAAGAAAAACAGTTAACAAATATTAACTTATGAAAAATACTAATTATCGTAATGACTACCAAATCTTTAGATCCTTCAATTCAAACAAAATATATAGCCGTATAATTAGGCAAAATTTCAAATTTAGATCACAGCAAAAACATTTATGATATAAGCAAAGTAATAGTATACCTTCGCCTAATGTAGATAGTGAATCATCATTTGACTCGCTTTCTAAACCAGATATTATAATTTCCTCAATCTCTTCAATTTTATTTTCTACTTGGGTTTGTCTCAATTGGCCTAGAATTTCAAAATATCTGGTAAATAACTGAAAATTCTAAATAAATTATGTATAATAATATTATTTACTTGTAATATGATTAATTTCTGCAGGAACAGAATTTTTATTATTCATATTGTTCTTAATACTTGCATTTTTAGATGAACAATCCTTGTAATAACAATGATCTAAATATATAGGATTTTGAGTTACTTCATCTTTTTGAAACATGTCTAGAATTTAAAATTTAACTTGTAGGTAATTAAAAATGTTAAGAACAAGTAAGATTTACTGAGAAAAATTGAATAATTTTAAAAACTAAAAAAAAAATATAGTTTTTACCAAAAATTGATTCTTCTTGACCAAATATCATCCTGTTAACTTCAGTAGTTAAAGAGCTTTGAATTTGCTCCAATTGTTCAGCATTAAAACCTCCTAATAAGTCAGTGTTAACTTCGTCTTCACTTGTTGATACTAAAAAATTAAAATATACAACTTATATTTTGTAGTTTAATATTATTTATTATATTATTTAATTTAATATTAAAATAAAATTATTTCAACTAAAATAATATGATTATAGTATTATTTCAATTATTGAATCTCACCTTGTGATAAAAAACTTTTAGTGGAAACTGATGGATAATAGCCTTGAACAGTCAAATTTATTTCTGGTTCTCCATTTTCAGAATTTGTAGAAATGCCTTTGTTGCTACTGTTCTCAAAATGTATTATGTTCATAGTTTCCTTTTTACTTTCTATACAAATTACCAAAGAATCATAAAAATATTTATAAAATACAATTTTTTAAATCAAATATTATTATTATAGATGATTTAAATTTCAAAATTACCAATAACTCGATTAAATGCAGCCTGATCTATAGATACAGTACCATCTGGCTTAACCACCACGACTAAAGTGTCATCAGCCTCTTCTTCTGCTTCTTCTTCAGCTTTCTCAGTTATTTTGGAACAAGACATATTTTATCGGTTTTTGTTCTGAAATAAAAATATTAAATTATAGGAGATATATTTAAAAAAATAATGTTATTAGTAATTTTTATCAAACAGTCCAAGATAATAATCAGAATTTCCAAGCAATGAATATTATCAAATTTTTTAAATAGTTATTAACGAATGAAATAAGACTCACAGACTAAAGCCAGTATAAAAAAAATAATTTATGTGCCAGAGCTCTACATATGAAAGCAAACCCTGTTTAGGAGCTTATTATTCCAATGCTAGATTACAATTATTTAACGAACTCTTATATGACTAGCATCTAAGATTCTTTAAACCAAATTTTTTAATTTTTATCCTTTTTTTCAATAATTGATTTTTTAACTGAGCGACCAAAAGAAATCTTACACAACTGTACTACGATAGTAATCGTGTGTATAATGTGAAATCATTGTGTTACTAGAGTACGTGTAATTCCGATTGCTATATTTAAAAATACAATATATAATTTACATTATGTATAATGTATATAAAGTAAATCCCAACAAGACTGCCATCACGAATAAAAGAAAAATCAGATAATTAAAAAACAATACAATTTAACCAATTTCCGGCCGCCACTTAATAATTATTATCATATATGATTTATCAGCTAAAATGTGTGCAAAATAAAGATATTATATATATATATTTTTAAATTTTCCCTCCAACCCACTGTTGTCTCTTCCCCCGCTTCATGTAGCAATATCAAAACAACGGATTACCTAAAACCGAAAACGAGATTACACAAAAAATTGTGATGGTAGGACTTGAAGTTCGGAGTTGTAAGTTAATTAGTTATGTTGAGACGTACTTACCGACGAGTTTCAGTCAAATTTCGTTGTTATCTTTGTTGAACTATTCGATCATAATCCCCGTTTTGCAATTCCGACTACTCGTCTCGGACGGTAGCGGCGTTCATCACACACAATTGCCGGCAATTTAATATCCCGTTCACGAACTTAGGCGTTTTCCCAGTCTCATTTGAGATTGTCACTGCCGTTTTACATTAGATTTTCGGCAGCCGACAACCAGCGACAATTTCGGTTCAATGTAAATATTGTTATTATATCAGCGCAGCGCGGGAGGCGATCGACAAAATGTTATGGTTATGGCTGTGGAGTTCTCGCGACTCTCGGTGAGGTTTTGCGGTCCGCCATTGTATTTCATGGATACCACATGCAATGGCCGCTCATGGAAAGTGAAAACGAATGATAACACAGATGGCCGTTTTGCGTCTATCTCATTAACGTTATCAAAATATCAAAAATCGATATTCAAATATTTTCAATGTCATCGGCCGCCGCCGCGCGAAACCATAATATTATATCATAGCAATAACTATTAATATTGATTATAATTTATAAATACTACTAGTCGTACTTTATACTTTGTATTATTTAGTAAAGTCAAGTATTTATAATCAGTGGTAATAATAATAATATTTTTTTGGTGCCTCTATTGACTATTGTCCACATAACGTGTGGTGTATCCCGATCGCTGGCAATTATTGGCCATACTCATTTTTGTATTCGATAATCTTTAATAACCCACAACCGGCCCTCACCAATAGCAATCAAACATCATATTATCATTGTACAGTACAAGAAGTCTAGGCTTGTCTTTGCAGTACAATATACAACTAATGCTAATAATTACTATACGTCTTATACTTTAGCTGCATTTGTATTTTATCCATAACGTAAATCGTAAATGAAAAATTAGTAGGTACATCGTACAGTTTCAACTTTTTGTCCTGTATTAAAAAAAAAAAATATCCGATCAAGCTAAAAATATTAATAGTGATATTATAGAAAATAATCGAAAAATACTACATTATTTTAAAACGCGCGCCTATTGTTATTATACTAACCAAATTATATAAATATATTAATTAAATTGCGAGTTAGATACAATAAACAATTTAAAACTATAGGTACTTTAATAAACATTTTTATGATTAAAATCTTCAAAATAATTATATCTTCCTTTCTTTATAATGGATATTATATTTTGACACAATAGCATTTTAAAAATGAAATATAAACTTCGACTAGACTTTTGTAATTTGTAAATTGTATGCAAACATAAAAATCCTGATATTAGAATGTAAAAATCAATTGTAGATAATGAATTGGATTTTTAAATTACACTTTTGGGTATTTAGGTTTGTAAAATATCCAAATTTCATGTTACAGTAATTTTTTCTAAGAGTTATGAGCATTTAAAATTTAGATGAGAAAAAAGTGTGGGTTTGTAGTGCATGTCTTTTAACGGAAATAAATTAACAAGTAGTTGGTTATGGACCATTCATTATTTTTATACTATCATTCTAAATTTAAAAAAAAAATCAAAAATAGATGTTAATATTAGATTTTTAAGTTACTTATAAAACTAAAACAAATAAGTTTGGCACCCTAAATGGACAATTGGTTAATTCTCCCTCAGACGGTCGCCCGCCCAGAGGAACAAACCGCCAGTGGCCAAGATTCGGACCAGCAAACTGTGCAACTTATTGTCCTCTTATCTCACTTAGCCATTTGCTCGCCAGATATATATACAAATATTTTCTTAACCTTCCCCCCTCTCTTCATTCTTGATTAATTTTCAACTACATCACTGATATTATGACCCTAAATGCACACAAAAAATTGTAAACAATCATTGGTAATTCATGTCTTATTATATAATTATATAAGATATAGCGTGATGGGGGTATCCAGATATAAGTTTTAGATGGTTAAAAAAAAAAATCAAGCCACAATTTTTTCAAGAATAATTTATTTTGGGAGGGGATAATAATACTCCCTGGATACGCCACCTATGCAGTGACACTTAAAAATTACTTTATTATTTAATTTTAACAATTTAAATATAGTAATTAGCATTAATTTGTGGAATAATCTTAAGGGTTTCAAAATTGGGTTTATCATAATAAAAAATTCATAAGTTATCTTAAGTTGCATTTACAACTAATGTACATTTTCCAACAACAGGTTATATCTGTATTAATTATTCAGTAATTATTATCAATAATTTATTTTGCTTATGAGTCTTATAACAAAATATTAATTTTTAATTAATAAATAAGAATGTTAATACTATGTGCTTATACTTATTGTGTATTGTTACAAATTAATTAAATTACTATTGAACATATACATAGAATAAAGACATTTAATATATTATACATATATATATATATATATATATATATATATATATATATATTAATTTGGAGAAAAATTAAAAGAATTTTATAGCTAAATATTACTGAAATAATAAAATTATAAAAATGATCACATCATAATTGTGAGTGGTGCAAAATTATTTGTTTAGAGTCCATGTTTTCATTTTTATAAATAGTATTTTTGGGTAGTAGTAAATATCATATAAAAACAATAAGGTTATTAATAAAAAAAAGATACTTAAATCAATCGGCTATTCGAATGTTCTTTAGCTTGAGATGCCGCTTACAAACCATTATAAAAAAAAAAAAAAAATTAGAGGAACACAATGTTTTTAAAATGTTTACATTGGCGGTTCTTGACCATTAGCTTCCTGATTTTTCATAACGTAAGGTAATTCCGGCGGTGAAGAGTATGGTACCATATCTAAAGCTTCAAATTCGCCATCATCCGTTCTGCAAAAAATTGTGTATACACAATATCATACATATAAATTATAATTATAATTTTAACATAAAATTTAAAAAACTAGTACAGTGGGGTTGGGGCAAGTTTGCCCCAAAGAATGTTTATAGAATATACTGAAGAATAGTCTATAAAAATTTGGAACTAACTCACGTATTGTTTAAAAAAGTTGTAGTGTGCCATAATTTTAAGTTTAAAAATATGTAAATATTTTGGTTTTTTTCTCAATTTTCAAAGGAAAGAGATTAACTTTCTACTTTTCACCCACCAAAGCACCAACCACATATGATTACGAATCAACTGAGTTGCTACTCGAGTAAATTGGTTCACAAGAAAAAAAGTTAACGGAACTTCATACACAAAAAAAATATATACATATATCATTATAAAACTAAAACCTTCTTAGCTATCGCATCAAAGTTAAAATTAAAACTTATTTTATTTTACCTTAATGCCAAACCAATAATTGCCGGACATTGTGCTTTAGCAATATTAGCATTGAGACCACATTCCGTCAAAGTTTTAGTGTCGTCCATTATTTCATCTTTATAATACAACTGTTGATTTTGTGGAGGTACTTTTATTATACCTATATACAATTAAATCAAAGTAGACATATCAATAACTATTAAAATAATTTAAGTTTTTATTGCTCGACAAGTAATAAAATCCCACATACATGAGATAATTTTCTTTAGCTCGTGAACTAATATATTATCTTTGGCATCCGTAAATATGGTCAGCTTCTTTCGCTGAATCATCATAAAAGCGTCCTGAAAATATTTAACTTATAAAACACAACGTTTAGGACAATATAATATAAACCTTGAACGCAAAGAACACATTACCATTTTGAACGCAGAGTGTCCACGACAAGCGACTAAGAATATCGTTAAAATATAAGTTCAAGCAATCATAATTAATTGAATAAATATTTAATTTAATTTAAAAAAGAGGTAGTCTAAAATAATTTTAATTGCAAATTATATTAAGTAATTACAAACCTTACTTAATACTTAAAGTAAAACAAGTTTTAATCAGGTTGTTGGTATCAACGTTATATTCCGTTTTTGTTATCAGTCCAACGCTGCCATCTGATTTTTCCAGGTTGTGCCCCACATCAGACACGGTAATATAATTTTTATTGTGTACAATTTTAGCGGCAAATCATTTTAAATTATTCATATCACGAACATTATGATGTATTGTTTGAACTTTCTAACGTAAAGTGTAGACTGTAGAGGTCTTTTTTGGGAAAGAAAGAATGGTATAAAATTTATTGACTACTTCAGAGAGACAGACTATATGATAGGGATATTTATTTTGTATGTCTACAATACTATCATCATACAAAAAAAACAGATTCTCCATTTTTATACAATTTATATTCAATTTACAATTCATAATATATATATATATATATATATATGATTTAATATTACTAATTATAATAAAAGCTAGTCTCGAGCATGTAGACCGTTAAAAAAAAATAATATAGGCTTAAAAATGTTAAAGGTATCTAACAAATATTGGATATTTTTACAGTTAATTATTCTTACGTAAGTTAAAGGAATTAGTTTTATATACAATATTTTAACTATAGTATTATCATGTATATTTCGAAATTGTTTTCAAAAGTGAAAAATCAGTGTTAGTGATTTTTAAATGAATGTAATTCTCAATGTTGTTATGCAACATTTTAAGGATATTAACAGCAGCGTCTTTTTTTGTTACATTTATTTTGTAAGGACTTCCCGTAAAATCTACCATTAAGTTGAGTGCATTCAACTGTGTTTGGAGTATCAATAATAAATATTGTACCGACATCCTATTGTAGGCATAATGAAAATCATTAAGCTGATGGTGAATTTCGACTAAAGAATTAGTATATTTTACTCTGCCTATCTGATTTGATAATTCATAGAACCAAATGCGGACGACTTTAAGATAATTATTTGGTTCATCTTGGTCGCCGAAAAATGTGGTGTCGGGGGTCATAACGTGAGTAATGTAAATTTTAAGGTAGTCAGCTAAATATTCGTAGAACGTGACTAGTACTGTGAATACACTTAATTTTTTGTACTGATCAAATAGAAGACCGTGAAATTCAGTTTTTAAATCTTCATAAGCTTCATAAGGATATATTTTGGCATCATTCCACAGCCATCTCACGCTTTTATTGTAAACTACAAACTTATCTGGATTTAATATTTCATAGGTAAAAATTACGTGTGGCATGTAATAACTGTTTGCTTCCTTTTCACTTATGAAATGTATTCGTTTGGCGAAAGATACCAACTTTGCAACTATTCTTAACATTTTTGTCGGAATGATATCTTTCGAGTTCTTTTTAATTGACGATTGATTGCCTGACCTAGGATTCCATTCATCAATTGCTAAAACGCAATGATTTTTTGAATAATGGTATAAAATGTCTTGGATGGTGGCGCGTATCATAATAACTTTTAGACATTTTTGGTGGTTATCAGTATCTATCATTACTGGAACGATGCTGTCGTTAACAAACAAATTTAACGTCAAAGTGGCTTGCGTTAAGTACGGTTGGTCGTCGAGCGTGGGTAACGGTAAGGTTTTGGTCAGTTGTTTAAACGTCCCGTACCATAAAGCAGTTACTACACGAGCATTCTTTATTAATGGTTTTATGACATTCAAATACCTTACCCAATTTTTCTCGTTTAACTTGTCAAATCCCTCATTCGGTTGATCTTGATATTTAATGATTACTTCATTTTTAAGTACGTCCAATAAAAACAGCCAATTACTTAAATATTCGATAAACTTGCAGCTCATAAATAATTCGACTCGATTCAGATAGTTTGCCAGCATCTTAACATCCCGATTGGTGATTTCATTGCACAGCGTTTTACCTTTTTCGATTACATCTCCTAGTTTTTCACCGAGTACTAAATCTCCTGCATAGGTGTTTCAATATTGATTTTTTATCAATTGACATGCTTTTTATCATTCAATGGTTTTACATATACAAATGCTTTGGCGTTCCAAAGGACAGAAAAAAATAAAATAGCCACGTTAACCAAATTCATTTTCGAAAAAAATAAACACATTTGTATCGTTTACGGATTTTTACAAAACAAATAACATTACTTAAGTGTTTTCACAACTGAAAACAAAAATCGTAAAAATTTAGTCGTAATACGAATTATATTATAGTTATTTGTTGTTTATTTTATTTTGTATTATAATGATTTAATATTACTAATTATAATAAAAACTAGTCCCGAGCATGTCGACCGTTAAAAAAATAAAGTGATAGGCTTAAAAATGTTAAAGGTATCTAACAAACATTGGATATTTTTACAGTTTATTATTCATACGTAAGTTAAAGGAATTAATTCTGTATACAATATTTAAAATATATTTACTTATAATTTACGGTGTATTGAGCATTAGATTATAAAAACTGCTTGATGAGAATTCTATATAATATTATGTATAAAGTTGGTAAAGATGGGTATATATTTTTTATTGAAACTTAGAGAAAGGGTGCATAACTAAGGAGTAATACGTAATTACTGTCACATAGGTATTAGAAAACTCACTGGATGGCCTTAGACAATATTTGATTAATTGCAAATTAGTAAAAAGTATAGAACCCATATGGTGGAATATGTAATAGCAAATAAACATATGGTATCATGAATCATCATTCGTCTATTGCTCACTTCATCTAAAAACATTTATGATTTAGTTTAACTTTGAACAAAAAAAAATTATCAGTATTATATTTTTGAAATGTGTGTTTATTAATTTAATTGGTTTTCTGTAATTAAAAATTTGGGAGGGAAGTTTTATCCTTTATCCCACCTCCCACAGCTATGTAACTGTGCTAATTTTTTATTGCGCTGATGTCTGGGCTTGGCATGGTGTACGAGAAGCTGTAACACTTAACTTTTTTTCACTTTCAGTTTTGATATGTTTTTACTATACTAGGAGAAAAACAGAAAGTTATTAACATACATTTTTGGATTAAAAAAAAAATTGTTTTTAAAATAATTATTAAAATATTAAAAATAACCTTAAATTCCATGTTATATATTATTAGTTATATATTTTTTTAAATAAATATATCTAGCAGATGTTAGTTGGTAATTTGTATTTTTTTTTTTTACAGAATATGATATCTTTCACTCCGGGGATGTGCATACAGGATTTACACCTTAATCTTATGATTTCTAAACAAAATCATTTTTTCCATAATCTATAACACATACTGTATGATCTTTTTGCGAAAAAATATTAAAGCTACTAAGGGGTTAATTCATTTTGAAAATGCGTTCTAAGGAGTCTTTCTGCCGTTGTACGGGTTAGATTCATATGCCGGTTATCAGATTCCACCAATAGAGGCATAGATTCAAATATATATGCTGTAGTGTAATTTAGTATATTTATTCTATGATAGAGGCAAGACTATTATAATATGCTTCCACCCAAATAAATGATTTTTTATTATTTTTCCCACGCAAAAATGTTGATTATTAATATTTTAAGAAAGATTGCGGGCATGTGGTCATTTCGTGTTATAACTTATAACGATCCGGCTAGGCTGAATACATTACCGTAACCGCATGTAGGTATGAAACGATAATAATATTAGTCCGCCACTCAGGTATCCAAGCGCCCACGTGTGATCACATGTCACACCTACGACGGCCCTCACTAGAAGCCGTTTCCGTTCCTTTCTTCCGATCCCGGACTGCGGAAAGCGCGACTGACTGACTCATATATTTTGGAAGAACGAAAATGATAAAAATAAATAGAATATGTGTGTGTACACTTTGACGACGACAAAACATAAACCCGACGCATACGTCACGTGTTTTAAAAGAGGAAAAACAATGAAACGTTCCTGGTGGAACCATTTATTTTAATTTTTTTTTCTTTACCAGATAGAAATGTGTCTGGTGCTCGGAGCGTCGTGGAACATGTGCGGAGAAAGCGATTTGCTGTTGTCAAAATCCGCTCGGGGTTACGTCTAACGTCACTCCAAAGAGTCCTTTATGGGAGCTTGCTAGTCGTAGAAAATATATTATGTACACCGTACATGTTATAAAATACAATACAATAGTAACGACTTAACGGGTCCGCGTTTTCTAACCGTCCTGACATTATTTTATGTAAACTGCCCAAAAACTGCAGACGTAATTCAGAAACTCGGTACCATTGAGTATATATAATATATATATAGATACAAAAATGCAAAAAAAAAGTACATTTTAAAACTTAACTCCTCCTCTATCATAATTGGCCAATACACTACTGTTGTACCCATTTTGCCCATAGGTCATCTCCATCTATATAAATGTTTTTTTTTATCGGAAGTACTCTATTATTTTTATTTCTATTATCAACTATAAAAACTAATTATTTGAAATTATAATGCTCTTACTAAAGTGGCAAAAATGATATATTTATATAATATTAATATGCATTGGTCGACCATTAAATATAAATGAGCTAACTATATATATATATGTACACGATGCTCGGGACTATTCTTATTTTTGACTATGTAAGGCGCACAGATTGCACATTATGATCGTTTATAAAATATTAATAAATTACATATTAGATAAACACTCACAGACAAATATTCAAAACACAAAATTGAATAATTATTTAAGTGTTTAGTTCATTATAATTTTAACATAATAATCTAATTAATTATTACGCAAATTAAAGGTTTCAAAATGTTATTGTCGTTTACATTTTTTTTTATACTAGGGTACATAGTTGAATTAGACAAAAAATTATACTTGACAATTTTTAAGATAAGTTAAATTTAATTTTATAAATGTATTATAATAACGGCAGCCCGTCGGAAATATCACTGACGCCGCTCATTATATTAATTATTAGTCCAGTCAACAGTGTGTATAAACTATAAATATATCATTTTAAACGCCCTCTTGGGAACAAAGGAACCGTGTAACTAATGACGTCCAATCGTGTGCATAAGGTTGGCACACTGTTATTATGTGTGTGTGTATGCATATAAATTTTTGAAAA